TACTCGTTGCAGATGCTTGAAATTTTAGCACACTCTTTGCTGAAACATGCCATTTGGTGTATGGAAGGGAATTACCGCCAAAAGTCTATGTATCTTGCTTTTATTCTTATTCTGCCTATTTCTTTATGCTTTGTTATTATTGTAATTTAATATGTCACTTTATTGTTTTCATATTCATCTTTATTACATTTCATTTGACTTTTATCCTTCTTCATTTTGTCCTTACTTCTATGTTGCTTTATTCTTGTAAATTCATTCTACTTTTTTTTTTAAACTTAAACAGTTTCTTAAATAAATTATTCAATCACGCAAACAATGAAGCATATTCAATGAAGACGAATGGAAGTTGTCAAACCGTCAAAATTTAGTGCGGCATTATAACGCTAGGTGGTGTGGTGTTCGCTACGAGTGTTGGTAAAACTAGGTAACCAAACCCGGGTCGGGTTATTTGAGATTCTTCAATACGCCTTAGTACTTTAATTATCAATCGAACTTCTGAAGGCTGGATCCAATAATCCGATCCAACAATGGAAACTTCATATTTATTTTCTCTGGGCACACAGGAATAGCGGCCTCTTTTTTCAGACATAACTTTATACTATACTGTAGCTGCAGATCTGTAGCTCTCCGAAAAATATATATATTGATAGACCGGAGAGCTACAGAGCCAGCCATCGAAAAAACTGTATATTTATTGCGCACAAAAAAAATGCGCTCGGTTCTCGATTTATTTCTCTATGTTTTTAAAGCCCTAATCTCAAAATATTACTAACCGTGTGTTCCTAACATATTCTTTGACTCTTTCCACAACAAAACATTCCTCATAATTGTTGTTAATAGTCCTCCTGGCCCTGATATTGCAATCATCGGACATTTCGCTTATCTATACTGCCATTTTGGTTTCAAAGATAATTCGGTCCAATGTGCTTCGTTCAGATGTCAAATACGAGAGAACTTGATAGAGGAGGGAGTAATTTTTTGAAATCTTCCATTTTTTGCAATTGAGGTAAGACTTTGGAAGAATTAATCAAGAATCGAGCGCACTTTTTTGTGCGCAATAAATATACAGTTTTTTCAATGGGTGGCACTGTAGCTCTCCGGTCTATCAATAATTTTTTTCGGAGAGCTACAGATCTGCAGCTAACTATACTGAATATTTTCATTGAAAGGCCGACCCACTTTTTGTAAGAGTAAGGGTCAAATAAGTTTATGTAGTACGTATAGTAGGAAGAAAATTTAAATTTGATTCTATACAAGAAGTTGAATCTAACCCAAAACTCACCCCGCCTTCGAAATAGGATTTCATTGGCAGTGGAAGCAAATTGAAAGTGGGGGGGGGGGGGCTAAGTGTAAGAATTTTTTAAGACCTTAAAAAAAAACCTGACAAGCAAAAAAAAAAAAAAGAAAGAAAATAAATGTCCATTTTCCGAACTCAAATATTCAATTTCGTCGGGGTGGAGGGTGGGGGGTAGGTTCGAACTCCAGTGCCAAAGTTTTTTTTCCATACAACACCACTTTCCCCATTTTAAACCTATACTGCATCGTGTCCATGGCAAGGTGGGTGGTCTAAACCTATGCAGGAACGTCTGTACTAAGTCTATCTCTGGAAAAAAAAGTGGGGGCTAAGCCCCCCCCCTCCACGGTTCCGACGCCTAGTATGTATTTTCAAGTTTGGACAATTTCCTGGGTTTTTGCGCTTGTCAAGGTGCTTTCAGCCGGGTACTTTACTATTTATTCTCTTGTTGCCCCCTCCCTACTTTCAAAAACGTACAATGCTACGTCACTGTTCTCTCGCCTGAAAACTATAACTCTATTAAAGTTAATTGTTCGATAATTAATTTCCAGTTTAATTGATATAAAAATGTTCAATATTTTGATACTAGTTAACCCTCATAAATTGGGTTGTTTTTCAGAACCTTCCACTGAACTGAACTTCTTTTCACGACAGATAGTAACTGCTCATGTGCGTGATTCTAGGGACATGGCTTTGCAAAGGAGTGAGGAGCGTTAATATGGGTAGGCAGGCGCGGATCCAAAAATTTTTTTCCAGGGGGGGGGGGGTCCACCCCAGTCTAAAAAAAAAAATTCCAATCCCAGAAATTTCTTGACGAGCATAAACAAAACCTAAACTCGCCCAAACGTCAAAATCCTATTTTGTAGGGAGCGTTTAACATTTTTTCCTTGCTTTAGTATATACATTTTTAAACCTTGTAAATTCCAGGGGGTCCTAACACCCCATGCACCCCCCTCTAGATCCGCGCATGGTAGGCGAAGTAGGAACTAGGCATCATGCATCCAGACATACTAGAAACTCCCTGGTCTTATTTTCAGCGTTAATATTTTATATTAAAATAGCACTTAATTTTCAATAAAGAAAGAATTTATATCTTTAGTACGCATCGTATTTGTGATCAGCCAGAAGAGCTAAAAAAATTCTTAGAACTCAAAAATTCTGTTTGGTGGTGGTGAGGGGGGAGGGGTCGTCAACTTTTTTTCAGTACTAAATTTTACTCATGCAAATAAGTACATGACTTTTAATATATAAACTGACTATTAGTACAACAATAAAAAGGGTAAGGGATGGGGGCAAAAAGCCTTTCGCTGAACTTTTCCAGTAGTAAAAAGTTACGTTTAGGAAAATGTTTCGTGGCCACCCACCCCTCTACCGGCGAAACTTACCCCATAGGAGGTCGTCCACCCGGAAGTCAGTATATATATATTGAGACTTTGGTGGTTTGATTGTACATTGTATAATGCCCCTTGCGAGAATTTTTAACTCAAAAGGAGAAGCCACATCTTGCCGGTGGAGAGCTGCAAATTTGTCCTATATACTTGGCACTTATAGCCATTGAGCAGTGAGGGATCTTTTTTCGTGCCAGCACCTACTGCGACACGGGACCTCGGATAACAAGGTCTAGATCTCACCCGATGGATTGAACTCCACGTCCTTCAGTGGGATTCTTACCCACGACGTATTGATCGACTCCTTACTACTGTACTTCGTGACTTTAGACGCCGTAACCACAGTGCCACGCGGGCGACTTAACCCAGGGGGAGGCGGGGGGGGGGGGGTCATTATCCATATGTACTCTTGAAGATTATCTATGTTTAACTATTGGTTAAAATGATTTAATTATAAAGCACTTTTAAAATAATATTATTTAAATATTTATTCATACATGTATCATGTGTATAGGACGGATTACTTTTCTTCAAAAACTGAAAACGTTCGTATATATAAACATCGTTTTACGATTAAAAAAAACTATTCGGGGGAGGGGTTGCTATGAAGTGGGGGCGAATTGCTATATATAGCGAGATTTCCCACGGAAGACTAGCTATACCCCGGGGGAATCCCACTGTATAGTCTTCCGAAGGAAGCATCACTATGTAGTCAGTCTTCCAGGGGAAATCTTACCATCTAGCGAGACTTCCGAGGGAATGGCATGTATCGGGTACATACCTGAACTAATAACAAACATCATTCATTTGAAAATTTAAGTTCGATTGATAAAGTATTAAGGCAGAAAATTGGAAAAAACTCGAATAACCACGGCCCGGTTTGCTTACCTAATTTTACCAACACTCTTAGCGAACACCCCTGCCACCTAGCGTTATAATGCGGCACTAAATTAGGACAACTCGTATTCGTCTTCATTGAATATGCTTCATTGTTTGCGTGATTGAGTTAACGTTCGTAATAGAGATAATCATTTAAGATACTGTATCAATTTAAAAGAAAATAAAATGACTTAACAAGAATAAAGAAACATAGAAGTAAGGACGAAATGAAGATGGATAAAAGTCAAAGTGAAATGTAATAAAGACAAATATGAAAACAATAAAGTGACATATAATTACAATAATAACAAAGCATAAGGAAGTAGGCAGAATAAGAATAAAAGCAAGATACATAGACTTTTGGCGGTAATTCCCTTCCATATTGGTGGGATACATTAATTTTTGTTTAAATCTGATGACAACTTCTTATTTTTTTGGCATTAGCCCGCAACTGAACTTGTGTATATTATTAACACTATACATGTATAAAATTATAGATGTATATTTACTTCAGAGCGGGGGTATTCTTGGTGAGTCTCTTCACATACTTCTTGCTTAATTTTGCATCTAAAGATGTCCCTACTAGATAATTAGTTTAATTCGAGACTTTTACCTTACTAAAGAATAAAGTGTTAAAATAATGTCTGTAATCTCTGCTCACCTATGTTAACATCAATAATCTTATAACTAGTATAAATTTACAGCTGCACTCAGTATTCATCAAGATCAGAATGTAAGAATAAAGAGAAGTATAGATCTCTATTAAAGCTTTCTATACACCTCTTTTATATTAAAATTATTTGAGTTAGAGCAAAATTGTAATTAAGGAAGACTCGTACATATACTTATAAAAAAATCTTTATTTAAAAAAAATTACGTGGACTGTGTTTTGATTTATTCATACCTCCCTCAAGGCTAGATTTTTGTCATTAATATGGATTTAAAGAAAATTTAAGCAATCAAAGAGGAAAAATAAAAATTACATCTGCCAGTTAAGAACAGCATGATCAAGGGGGAAATTGTGATCCCTGTGTCTCTTGTTCTAATCAGACCAATAATGTCAGAAAAATTAAAAGATAAGTATTTCTTAAAATTCATCATTTAAGAAAGTAAAAAAAAAAAAAATTAGATGATCCAGGGAGTACAGAGCCGGGGAAGGGGCACAGAGGCCTGTGATTGATGTTCCACTTTAAAATTAAATTTATTTTCATTTTGATGTAGGTAATAATGGACCATAGACCTAATAATTGAATCCAGTTTAGGTCTATGAATGGACCTACCCTAATAAAGGTTGTTATGTTCACTTTCTAAGAAGCAAAAAGCGAAAGTATCATATTATGCTCCGTTTAATTGCAAAATCAGTTTTCCAAAATCAATGTCTAAACATAAAGACTTTGGAAATTCCGACTTCGAAAATAGAATTGCTTAATAAATACATTGTACATGTATATTAAAATCGCCAGCAAATATGTTATCCAAAATAGTGTTCAATCAGAATATAACACGTTGTCCTAAGGAAGCTATAATACCGGGTATAAAAGCTCTGCCGGGGTAAAGCTATCAGTTGGCATGTCACACTATATTATACATACATTTAATTAGCTTTAAAAGATTGATAATTGGAAAAAAAAAACTCGTACTGTAGTATTTTCTTCAGGTAAAAACATGAAATCTTTGGCTAGAATATTGCTGGTGATGTTGTTCCTTGTGCTTGTGGAGTTTTCATTCACGGAAGGTAAGCACATTTTATCTTAACAAATTTCTTTTTTGCAAAATGAATCTTTTTTATAAATACTTTGGCACTTTGACTCTCTGTTCTATTTATTAAAAATTTAGTTAGCAAAAATTATTAGGTCAATTCCAATATCATACAGGTCAAGGACAATTTCCTACAATTATAAAAATAAAAACAGGGGGTATATCTTTACTAATGTATCCATCATAAATTTGGCACATAAGACTGTATATACATGTAAACATATTGTTGAAAGAGTCAGAGATAGCCATTATCATTATTATTAAATACAAATAAACATGCATGTTAAATCCGTCATTCTCCATTTGAATATTTTTGAAGATCAGATAAAAAAACATTTTATAAAAAAAAAATTTGATTTTATTATTATTACTTCGAAGGGGGGATTTCTTTCCCTTATTTTTATACCCCCTTTGAAGAAAGGAGGGCTTATATTGCTTTGCTGCTGTCTGTCGGTCTGCCATTAGTTTCCATTCATTTTCTTAGCAGAGATTGCACATATTGAAATGGAATTTGGTATACAGGTAAAACATAGAATATCTAGGTCAAGGTCTGTTTTTGGTAACGATCGACCTATTTTTGACGGAATTATGCCCTTTTATTATTTGGGGGAGGGGGGGGGGCATAAGTGTTTTACAAACATCTCGTTTTTTTTTGTTTGTTTGTTTGTTTGTTTTTTTTTTTTGGCAAATATTAGTACATGTAATTATAATGGCGATTAAAAAACAACACTTTGTTAAGGTTCATAAGCTTTGGTCACTCGTATAAAATGTTGCTTGATTCTTAATGATTTTCCAAAAGAGATGTATTTTATAAGTAAAATACAAACAATTATAGCATAGCTTGCGGAGCAAAACTGGACAAAAAGACACTTCAACTTGGCAGATTTAGAAAGGAATAATAGACAATTATGTTATTAAGAGTTATCTCTCTTATCAGAGTATCAATGAACCTTAATCGTGTTTCCTTTTAACAGCTGGCTATGTGTGTCAATTCCTTGTTGGAGGAACTACCTTTGTTGCGGCTTCCTTAGTTGGACCGTGGCTGGGCATTTTCACTGGACCTGCTGGATCAACCTTAGCTGACAAAATTTGCAATTAAACTTAAACTAAAAAAAATGTATAAGGCTATACATTGTATTCTATTTTGTGGGCTCTAAAAAGAATCAGTAGGAATAATACATAAGAAACACATGTTAACATAGTATATATTGGTCTTGAACCACTTTATGATAAATTTAAATAAATTAAAACATGACGGTGCTGAGTTTTGTTTTATTTGTCCATACAACCAACCAAGCTCTAAATGACTCTACAAAATAAATGATATATTTAAGTGTCTCCATGATTAAAAATGCTGTTTCATGGTTGGGTTAGACTTTTCCACTGGGCGAGCAGAGTTTTGACGCTATTTACGGAGATAAACAAGATGTGTTTGTGAAACACTGATGCCCCGTATGGCAACATAGCAACTGTTAAATTTTCTCAAATGCAAATCAAACTTGATGTTACCCAAAGTAAGGCCTTCTCACAAGAAATACAAATGTAAAATATACAAGCAAATTCAAAGAATTGTGGTCCCGCTTTCGATGTCTTTGTGGGTGAGATGTCATTTTTTATGGCATATTTTGTCAAATATGAACGCCCTAGCATATGTCATTTAGAAATTATCACCGAAGTTGATTTCATTTAACAATTAGGTCAATCATGAAGGTCAAGGGGCCAGAATTCATAGCATGCTCGGAAATATCTTGTCACAGGTAATGCACATACCAAAAAAAAAAAGAAAACTCTATCTCTTCTCAGTCAAAAGTTATAAGGAACAAAATGTGTTTGTGATACACTGATGCTCCCGTATGGCAACATAGTGAAGGTTAAACTTTTCTTAAATGCAAATTAAATAAAATTGGTATCCAAGGTAGAGTCTTCTCACAAGAAATACGATTGTGCAGTATGAAAGCCCTAGCACCACCTGTTCAAAAATTATGACCAGGGATAAGTTTTGGAAAGGTAGGTCAAACTATTGCCGAGGTTAAAGTTTTTGTGACGGACGGACAGACGAATGAGATTTAATGTCTCCTCGCTTTCGTGAAAGCGGAGGATAAAAGCCCTAGCACCACCTGTTCAAAAGTTATGGCCTAGGATAACATTGTTTAATGTAGGTCAAACTCCGGGGTCAAATGGTCAAGGTTATTGTCTTCTAAAGAAAGGCCTTGTCACAAAGATTACGTATGGGAAGTACGAAAGCCCTTCCCCTGACATTCAAAAGTTATTGCCAAGGTTAAAGTTTTGTAAAAGTAGGTCAAACTCCAAGGTTAAAAGATCAAAGGTATCCAATGAAAGGCCCTGTCACAAATAATACATATGTAAAGTTTGAAAGTCCTAGCGCCAACAGTTCAAATGTTATAGCCAAAGTAAAAGTTTGGAATTTTGGAGTAAAAGTGTGTTAAACTCCAAGGTCAAGAAGTCAAATTTGATGGTACCCAAAGAAGGTCTTGGTACAAGAAATACACCTGTGAGATATATGAAGCCATAGTCCCACCCAGTCAAAAGTTATGGACAAGGTTAGAGTTTTTGCGGACATACGCAAAAACTTTAACTTTGCCCATAACTTTTGATTTAGTTGAGCTATGACATTCATATTTCACATGTGTATTCTTTGTGACAATACCTTTCTTTGGATACTACTGGGACTATAAATTTTGAATGGTAGATATTACGACTTTCATACTTCACATTCATGGGTTTTCCTGGCTTGTTTTTGGGTCCGTTTAACGGACCCATTCCCAATCAAAAATTCAGCCATATTTTCCCAATTTTGAATCTTTTTTTCCCAATTATGTATCCATGAGAAAAAAAATTGAGAGTTCAGAAAGAAATAAAATATTTGTTTGAATTGTTTCCTTGCAAGACGTCAATAAATCACGACATGATCAACACTGATCGTATCATTGAGCTATAAAAATAAGTGATGCAACACATCTGGTAAATCACCAACTATGTTTAGTGATTAGTTATTTAATCACTTTTGACTTTTTGAGTCATTAAAGTTACCTAAATCCTATAGAGAAAATAAAAAAAAGGATTGCAGTTATCACAAAAGTTGTCAATGTGCAGTTCTTGTATTATCTAAAAATAGCAAGGGTTAGACTAATTTGCCTAAACGCTCAAAATCTTTCATCCAACTTTTTTTTACTTTCTCATTAAAATAGGCCTATTCTGAGAAATATTTTCATTACTTTTTGTTACTATACATAATAAAATCACTGGAAAACAACTTATTCCCAAAATATTATTTCCACAATTGGTTTTTTTTAATTTTGTTTTTTTAACTCCAGTCATGAATGTAAAGTAAATAAAATTATACATTTGTCAATTTTTTCTCTCCCTGTAATTTTTATTATCCATTTTAAAAAAAATATGCTCACAATGATTGGTATAATAATTAAAATAATAATAATTTTATTAATATTTTAATTTTTATTAATATTTTAATTTTTATTAATATTTTAATTTTTATTAATATTTTCCATTATCCAAATAAAAAATATTATTTCCTCTGAAACTTTTTTCTTCACATCATGCAGTCATGAATAAATCTAAATATTTATACCCCCCGCTTGAAAAAAGGGAGGGTATATAGTAATCGGTATTTCCGTCCATCCGTCCGTCTGTTACGCTTTGGGGTACCCATCTCTTATCCGCAACTCCTCTCATACAACTGAAGGAAATTTAATGAAACTTTCACATATTGTTTATTACATATTGCCATTGTGCACCTCCTATTTTACTTTTTGATCTGACGTATATTTTTGATTTTCCAGAGCAAAACATGGACACTGCCATTATATTCATATTGGAGGCGGGGGTATCATTTAGTGAGCTCATTGCTCACAGTACCTCTAGTTTATTATACCCCCCGCTTGAAAAGCGGGAGGGTATATAGTAATCGTTAATTCCGTCCGTCCGTCCGTCTGTACGTCCGTCCGTCTGTCTGTCCGTCCGTCTGTTACGCTTTGGGGTACCCATCTCTTATCCGTAACTCCTCTCATACCACTGAATGAAATTTGATGAAACTTTCACAGAATCTTTATTACATATTGCCATTGTGCACCTCCTATTTTACTTTTTGATCCGACACATATTTTGGGTTTCCCGGCCACAGGAAAACATGGACTTTTTCACCAGTTATAACCATATGGGAGGCGGGGGGTATCATTTAGTAAGCTCATCGCTTACAGTACCTCTAGTTTTCCTTGGAAGTTTTCATTACCCAATTGAAAAATATTATGTCAACTTAATTTTTTTTTTTACATCAGTTTGTCATAGAATTAATTAGGCATATAAAACATTTTTTTTATCATCCAATAATTTATCAATAACTCTGTATATCTATCTACAGTTGTTCATTCTGTTTTAACACAGACATTATTAGTTATCCAGGTTCAATCAAGGGAGTACGGGGATTTACCCCGGGTTTTATTCCATACACCCTTCGGCCTGCGGCCTCAGGGTGTATGGAATAAAACCCGGGGTAAATCCCCGTGCACCCTTGATTGAACCTGGATAACGAATTTATTTCCTTTGTACCAATAAAAAAAGCTTTGTAAACATCAGAGTGTGTCTCAATCTATTGATTAGATAACTACGTACTGAGAATGTATGCATTGTGACGTCACGTTTTATTTACACCCGGCTCAAGTCGGGTGCACGGATATTTACACCCGACTTTGTAACCAATCAAAGCTCGTGTTACAAGCTAGATAGGAAATAAGAGCTTTTGCCCCATTCATTTTCATTTATCTGGAGAAATAAGAAAATTTGACCTTTTTAAAATTTTCCCAATTTGACCATATTTCGCGTCAATTTTCCCAATTCTGCCGGCCCCGGACCCAGTTTAAAAATGGTAGGATACCAACAACTGTGACCTTAACCTGGATACCAACAACTGTGAACTAAACCTAGAGGATTTTCGTACCTATGAAAAAACTTTAACCTTGGCCATAACTTTTGAACGGTAAGGCCTAGGGCTTTCATACTTCTCATATGTAATCCTTGTGAGAAGACTTTCATTGGTTTCCAAGAACCTTGACCGTGGAGTTTGAACTACATTAAAATAACTAAGGGCGAAACGATTACACGTGTAAACGGCGACGTTTCGATTATATGCTCTAAACGTTTACAGATTGAGTAAACGTTTACACGAAGGTCATTATCAATGTCTGTCAGAAATAAAGTTTTACACAAACAAATTGTTTCATTTCATAATTTACAAAAGAAACACCATCTTTGACCATTTGATAAATCTATACCGGAAACATATTGAATAAAAATATTTAAAACCCGATACGGTCTAACATATTTAATTCCGATTTCCGAGTTGCGAATACTAGCGATGTTTTATGACACTTGAAATATAAAACTTGATATATTTTGATTAAATAAATATAATACATTGTCACAGGTCTTTGAAAAGTGTTTCGATACAGTCAGCAGGTCTTGTTTTACTTTTTTCGAGATTAAAAGATCCATCTAATTCTTTAAAAATTCTTTACAATTCTTTTTCTATGTCCGGTATGTAGCAAAAGAAACCAATACAGTTGGGTGACGATGTAGAAAGTGAATGAGTTTAATGCGCCTAAAATTCTTACATCATAATGACAAACAATGGAATTGAAATAACTTATATTATAGAGAAAGAATTGATTATTAAATTCGAGTTTCATAGTAAGTAGCCATAAAAATCCAACATAAAATATCTCCCGTTTAAACGGTACCGTTTCGTTTACTGCTATCCGTTTAAACGTTTACAAAATTCAGTAAACGTTTCACCCTTAAAAATAACAAACCTTGACCATAACTTTTGAATTGTTAGGGCTATGGCTTTCATACTTCACATATTTAATCCTTGTGATAAGACCTTTCATTAATATTAAAAACTTTGACCCTTTGACCTTGATCTTTGAGTTTGACCTAAATCTTAAAAACTTTAACCTTGGCCATAACTTTTGAACGGTTGGAGCAAGGACTTTCGTACTTCATATATATAATCCTTGTGAAAAGACCTTTCTTAAGAAAGCAACAACTTTGACCTTGGAGTTTGACCTACCTTTCAATTACTTATACTTGGCCATAACTTTTGAACAGATGGCGCTAGGGCTTTCATATTTGAAATTCACAATTGTATTTCTTGTGAGAAGACCCTACTTTGAGTACCAATGTATTTAATTTGCATTAAAGAAAAGTTTAATCGTCGCTATGTTACCATACTGGGGCATCAGTGTTTCAAAAACACATCTTCTTTGCTTCAAGGTGTCTCCTTAAATTCTCCTAAAAAGTAAAAAGCAGGTATTTAATCACATGCTTACAGTTTGGTTATCAATTTTCTGCAATAAATTATTCCAGGCGTTCGTTGTCGAGCCTTTTTATTGTAAACAACTCATTTATTCCTCGAATATTGTCTCAACACGTTTTTGTAAATTTATACTTAATTTGGGTTTTTTTAACGATGTTTCGATGTAATTAAAGCCCCCTAATGGATTCTTCGGAGTTCCATTACTTAATTGTTATACCAGCTTCTAAATATTAAATTCAATCAAATTTTTCTCATTTCAATATAAAAAAAAAAAATTATTACTCCCGCTATATGGTTTTATTGAATATTGATTTCTACGAGGAAGATATTTAATGTCATTTACAGATGTAGTATTAACCCAGCCCAGTAGGAATTGAGCAATTTCAGTTTGGAGGCGGGGGGAGGGGGCACAGCCAAATACATGTATATATAAAAAAAAGGTCATCAGACGTTTTAATTGAGAAGGCACGAGCATATAGTAGCAATGCCGCTTCTATAGTATAAAATATTGCTTCTTGTTTCTGTAGGATACTGTATGCTTTCTACAGTATACTATATATAGGCAAAATAAGGGAGCACGCCCCCCTCCCCCTCGATCCGTACCCCTTTCCCAGTTCCTACGGCCATGAACCCACCTTTTAAATTTTGATGAAGGAAAAAGGCTACGTTGATAAGTGAAATTCATGTAAAGAACTGCTACTAAAATAAACGTACACGTATAAAACTTCTTTTTAAATTCACCCCCCCCTCCCTCGCTTTTCCTCTGTGCGTGTGTCAAGTTCTCTTTAATTTGTATTGTAAGAATGTGAATTGGATACTGTTTTTATATCGTTTAACCTATAAATAACCCTGAATTACATTATATTAGGATTACATGTTTATTTAATGAATTCCATGTTACTTATCATTACCAAGTATAAGATGAATTTTATATCCATGTCACATACAGGGATGAGATCATTGGTCGTGGACAAATTACATATTTATATATTCAGCGGGTTCCTATAAATACTAGTAGTACATGCTCGTTAGAATTTTGCGAAGATAATCACGTGTTAAATATGAACATTAAGGTACGAGACATTTTTTTCAGATTTATTAACTAAATATTTTTTCTTAGGAATTTTAGTATACTTTCAAAGTCTTTCTTTTCTAATTATCTTAAATAAATATAATGGTGTTATCACAGAGAAAAAAAGTAATAGAATATTTTTTTTTCATTTTGAACTTAAATTTCAAAGAAGCCAATCGTGTCCAAAATAGTTTTGTTTTCTCAAAAATTCGACATATTCAAATATTTTTTGTGTTTAGAAAAAAAAACTTAAACAATGACTGTATTGATTACATATACATATGTGTTCCCATAAAAACAATAATTTTACGTAAAGAGCATCTGGATATTCCGAGTATATGAATCAGCTATGTAAATGTATAGTCTATAATAAAAAATATTATTTTTGTTTTCTTGGTATGTCTCCACGCAGAGCACCTTAAGGAGTGTCCTATACTTTGCGGTTATAACATGGCTTCCGGTTTACGTCACGGGAGGGGATTATGGTTACAGCGGCTATGGGGGAGTTGGGTTTTCTGGCTACCCAATGCCTCTCATTTATCCAGCCTTGTATCAGCCCTCTGTCAACTACCTGCCCTACCAAACACCGTCCTTTTACAACCATTACGACCCATCCCTCAGTTATTTCCCCTTCTCTCAGCAGTACTACCACAGGAATCCCATTTTTATCCCCACCCAGGATTTGTATGGAGGAGGAATATTTCAGGATAACCTTGTTTTAAACATACTTCTGATATGTAAGTTACCTTTTGTCAGTTTAGTTTTTAAACAAAAGAAAAAAAATACATACATCATACATGTATATATATTACGCTCTGAGAATTGGCTTACTCACTAAAATTCATTTTTCTATATTTTTCTTTTCTTGTTTATGCAGTTTTTCTGTTGGCTGTATTCGCACCTATGTTGATTTCATCTTTGACGATGAGCAACGACATCCTTCAATAAAAACAACCAAGTATGTATTTTGTAATGATTTAAATGTGCGCGAAAAAAATAAGTTTTAATTAAAAAGGAAGAAATTCTTCTCAAAGTTTTATTTAATTTCATTTACATTTACGTATCTTTTTCACTCAAAAGACCTGAGCCCTTGAGTTAGCGTGACTTTGACTTTAAAACCTATTGTGATACAGTGATTGTATGAATGATATCCATTTGTAGTTTCATGGGATGCAGGTCGTGACGATGATGATGATGATGATGATGATGATAAAATGATGACGCTGGTTTTATACAGTACATAACGAATCACCAAGCTGTATTTAAGTTTACTGATCTAAAATAAATATAATTCCTCTTTTCGTCGTGAATTGTCTTTATTAAGAAAAGGTTCCTGGCAATACTGGGGAGACTAGAAACATTGATTAAGTTATTATGTTCCCCAAACGAAGTTGGGGAACATATTGTTTTTACTCTGTTTCTTATTATTATTATTATTATTTTTCTTCTTCCTGGGAAAATCTTTTCCGCGAATGATCTTGTAAACTATACGTCTGACTAAGGTGAAACCTTTTTAGGGTCAGTAGGCATGTTATGTAGATTTGCGGAACGAAGGTCATTTTGCGCGCACGTGCTTGCAAGAGCGCGCACGTGCAACACTTAAAATGACCAAAATAATAGATGTAACCGTAACTTTTCTATTTTTTTATTATATATTTAGATACTCATAATATAAGTATATATAAGTATTTTAGACGTGATGACAAGATCAAACTAGCGAGATCTCACGCGCATGCACGTGCGCTTCGCTCTGATTGGCTGAAACTAAAGTCTCAATATCTCTCTTGTTTAACGTCATAATCCTTTGAAATTTGGAACTTTGTCACACATTATGAAAATCTACAGCATGATATATAATAAATTTTATGAAAGCACGTACATGCGTGTGTGCTGGCAAGAGTGCGCACGTGCAACATGTGAAATTACCAATATAATGGATGAAGCCGTAACTTTTGTATTTCTTGATGGAATTTTTTGGAACTCACAATGCATGAATATATTAGTAGTATAGACAAGATGACATGGTCAAAATTACAAGATCTAACGCGCATACGCGGGCGCTTTGCTCTGATTGGCGGAAACTAAAGTCTCAATATCTTTCTTGTTTTACGTCATAATCCTTTCAAATTTTGAACATAGTCATACATTATGAAGATCTACAGCATGATATATAAGAATTTTCATGAAAGCAAGTACATGCACGTGTGCTGGCAAGAGCGTGCACGTGCAACATGTGAAATTACCAATATAATGGATGAAGCCTTAACTTTTCTATTTCTTGATGGAATTCTTTGAAACTCACAATGCTTGGATAAATAAGTAACTTATCAACAAGATGACATCGTCAAAATAGCAAGATCTTACGCGCATGCACGTGTGCTTCGCTCTGATTGGCTAAAACTAAAGTCTCAATATCTTTCTTGTTTTACGTCATAATCCTTTGAAATTGAACATAGTCAAACATTATGAAGATCTACAGCATGATATATAAGAATTATCATAAAAGCACGTAAATTTACGTGTGCTGCAATCTGATTGGCTGAAACTTTAAATGCCTATAACTTTCTTGTTTCTCAACAGAACAGATTGAAATTTAGAATATGAATAGTGATAATGAATTCCTACATGATACTACTATCAAAATTGAATGCAAGGACGTGCCTGCATGTAGTTGCACAAGCGCAATGCGAAAAATCTACAATGTATTTGGAAAATGGTAACATTAATATTTTTATGACTTTTTATTTGGAATATAAAGATATGTTAATAGCTTAGACAACATGCCATGGTCACCTTGCATGTGCATGCACGTGCGTTTGCGTGCAATGCGTTAAATGACAAAAAGTTGATACCATTGTAGCTTTTAAAATTCTTTTATGAAATCCTGTGATAACTGAATATATTAAAAAAAAGTTTTAAAGGAAATTGGCACTAAAAGGGACTTGGGGAGCGTTTGGGGAACATCTGTAACGGTCCCCGTTACAATTAGAACTAGTTTAAAATGATTCTCACACGATCAAGGAAGCCCTGAACAGTGCACACTAAAGAGCTCTACTTATAGGTAGTTTTATGCATTTAGAGTGATCTACCCTTAGAAGTAGGATTATTAAAATTGTTTACGATTAATAACACGATTTGAATCAAATAAACGATACCGAGGGGAATGCCTTGTAATAAGACTATTTTTATCTCAAGTACCAAGTGTTCAAAAGGTAAAGCCATGGTAAAAGTTTGTCAGAAGAAGGTAAAACTCCAAGGTCAATAGGTCATTTGATATTCAAAGAAAGGCCTTGTCTCGTGAAATACACCAGACCTGTGAAGTACGAAAGCCCTGGCTAAAGTGTTCAAAAGTTATGTCCAAGAATAAAGTTATTTTTAAGCGGGTCAAACTCACAGTCAAGGTCAAAAATATTTATATCAATGGAAAGGTCTTGAACATTTGTACGGAAGCGTATTAGTGCCACTTGGACACTTCACTTTTTTTTAATTTCTACACTTTAATGTGTAAATTTTACACTTTAATGTGTAAATTTTACACTTTAAAGTGTAAATTTTACACTTTAATCTGTAAATTTTACACTTTAATCTGTAAAATTTATACTTTAATCTGTAAAATTTACACTTTAAAGTGTAAATTTTACACTTTAATCTGTAAAATTTACACTTTTATGTGTACATTTCACACTTTAATCTGTAAATTTTACACTTTAAAATGTAAATTTTACACTTTAATCTGTAAAATTTACACTTTAATCTGTAAAATTTACACTTTAATGTGTAAATTTTACACTTTAATCTGTAAATTTTACACTTAAAAGTGTAAATTTTACACCTTCATCTGTAAAATTTACACTTTAATGTGTAAATTTTACACTTTCATCTGTAAAATTTACACTTTAATCTGTAAAATTTACATTTTAATCTGTAAATTTTACACTTTAATCTGTAAATTTTTACTTTAATCTGTAAATTTTACATGTTAATCTTTAAATTTTACACATTAAAGTGTAAATTTTACACATTAATCTGTAAATTTTACACTATAATCTGTAAATTTTACACTTTAATCTGTAAAATTTACATTTTATTTGTTTATTCAGATAGTCAATTTAGCATCTTCACACATCCTCAGTAACACATTTCTAAGACAACAGACCGTGTTTCGTGCATGATAAAATTTAATTCTGATGTTTTATATTAAAGTAAAACTTTTCTTTGAATATAAAGTGAAGAGCATATCAAACATATATGCACATATTCCTGATCACAGGTGCTTGAGGACCCCTCCCCCCAATATGGATTCCAGGGCCTGTTAGACTTTTTTCACATAAATAATATATGGATGACACAATTGTGATATAATCTATAAATCCTATCAATTCAGAAAATTTGCTTAAACTAACATTTTATTGGCTTACAAATGTGTTACTGAGGATGTGTGAAGATGCTAAATTGACTATATGATTAAACAATAAAGTGTAAATTTTACAGATTAAAGTGTAAATTTTACAGATTAAAGTGTAAAATTTACAGATTAAAGTGTAAAATTTACAGGTTAAAGTGTAAATTTTACAGATTAAAGTGTAAATTTTACAGATTAAAGTGTAAAATTTACAGATTAATGTGCAAAATTTACACTTTAAAGTGTAAAATTTACAGATTAAAGTGTAAAATTTACACTTTAAAGTGTAAAATTTACAGATTAAAGTGTAAATTTTACAGATTAATGTGTAAAATTTACAGATTAATTTTACAGATTAATGTGTAAAATTTACAGATTAATGTGTAAAATTTACAGATTAAAGTGTAAAATTCACACTTTAATGTGTAAAATTTACAGATTAAAGTGTAAAATTCACATTTTACTCTTTAAAATTTACAGATTAAAGTGTAAAATTTACAGATTAAAGTGTAAAATATACACTTTAAAGTGTAGAATTTACAGATTAAAGTGTAAATTTTACAGATTAATGTGTAAAATTTACAGATTAAAGTGTAAAATTTACAGATTAAAGTGTCAAATTAAAAAAAAGTAAAGTGTGCAAGTGGCACTAATACGCTTCCATACATTTGAAATATGATAGCCCTAAAACCAACTACTAAAGCAATACAAGTAACAGTTTTTTTCAAAAAGCTTGCCTGACTAATGCCGTCGATATCTATAGAACATACATGTATATAAACATGATAAGTTATACACGTTTACATTGGGGGGAGGGGGGGGGTAAATTATTTCACTGTAGTAAATTATGAAGATGTTGCACAAAACATCATGCATACATTTTAAGTTGTATGATACTCATCAGAGCAATGGAAAAAAGAACACATTTTATATAAAACATATATATTGTTTGTATCTCAATTAAAAAACGAAATCATATACATGTCCCGCTGTAGATTTGAACCCGCGACGTAAAGATGAAGAACTCACTCCGCGAGTCTAAAAAATGGTTTTAGAGGATGAAGTAAATAAGGGAATAAACTAATGTAATTGATTAATGCTGGAAAGCATGGCTATATGTAAAGGTTACATAAATTAGATTCAACTGCATACAGCATAGGCTTTGAGGAAGACAGCTGAAAATATGATAACTACAAGAAATTGGGAATTGTAACGGTTATGATGTTTACTTGTTTGTTGGGTATGCAAGAGCATCAAAGATTGTTAGAAACGTGGGATAAATAAAGCCCTATACCCTATATGCTTAAATGACCCAACAAACTTGACGGCGATATATGAATGGCTACAGGCGCGGATTCAGGAAGTGTGTCACAGGGACAGCCAAGTAGCATCGTTTTGAAAAGTGGGGGGGGGGAGCCAGAAAATTGCCCAAACTCGACAAAAATCCTATTTCTTGGGGACGAATATCCTATTTCGGGGGGGGGGGGGTGTTAAGAGGCCAACTTTCTTCAATGTCAACTTATTTCACTAACATTTTTTTTGCATTCATTTCCCTTATATCAACTTCCTGTGGTATAAAGTGTGTGTGTGTGGGGGGGGGGGGGGTCAACCAGCCTTTCAATGAACATTTCCAATTGTAAAAAGTAATGTTGGGAAAAAAGTGGGGGGCGGGGGGTGCACCCCCCCCCTCCCCCGTTGCTACGTGCCTGAGGGATTAGGGGTCCACATAACAAAATCCGATGATAATCAGCATGCACAAAATTTTGCTGGCTAACTGTGACCTCTTAGCTTCGCACCTAGGAAATATTGATCCTTAGTAGTGCCTGACGCCGTGACGTCAGGCAATGAGCTGCATTTTTGAAAAATTTATTTTGGTATTAAAATGTGTTATTATGATAAATTTGAATGTAACTTAAACCTTTATGATCAATTAGACTAAAATAAAGCAGAAGAAAGACTTCTATATACAATTAAATACACAGTTTTATATAAGAAATCAATATTGTACAGGATGACAATTATGTAATTTTGATTCAATCGAAGCTTATAAATATTTCTTTCATCGCAAATATGAACAACAGAAGTTGAAATAGTTATTTACAATTTTGTTACAAAAAAATTTCGACATCAAGGTTGCAGCTCATATTGCTTAAAATTATGGCCAATGTTAAAGTTGCTTAAATTCTTGCAAAAATCCAAGGTTAAAGTATGTTGGAACTAAAAGGACTTGTCACAAGGAACACACATTAAAATTGTGAAAACCAAAGCTTCGACCAATCAAAATTTATTGGCAATGTTAAAGTTTTTGTGGATAATCAGACTTGGAGTATTACTAGTACCTAATTTTGTAAGAAATTAAGCAAGCTCGGCCATAAATTTTGAACAGCTGGTGTTGCACTTCACATGTCTATTCATTGTGTTAGACCTAACAAGCATCAACTAACCAACTTAGTTAGGAATTAAGTTTCTAACCACATATTATCAGTTTTCAACTACTGTGTTCTGATATTTACCTAGAATAAGGGGCCAGATTCAGCGGTTACCATACCTTGTCATTTTTATTTAGTATGACGAGACCTTCCTCTCTTTGTCTTTAATTTGACCCCTTGACCTTGACTTTGGAGTTTTACCCAAAAAGAGCTTTAATGTTGGCCATTATTTTTTAATAGTTAGTACTTGGGCTTTCATATTTCACAGGTATATTCGCTGAGAACAAGTCCTCTGGTAACAAAATATTTTATCCCCTGACCTTTGAGTTCGACTCGCATTAGGGAAATTTCAACCTTCGTCAAAAGCTGCCATGCAGGGGACATCAGTATTTCAAAGAACCCAGGACATCTTGTTCTGTATTAAACTGCTTGTTTTCCAGTGAGTTACTGATAAGTCAAAGAAAGGTTTATTTAAAATAGAAAATAAAAAAAAAAACGCCATCAAACTGTAATAAATTGTACTCAAATGGAAAATTTCATGATTTACAACTTTTAATTGTAGAATCTTATTTATGTACATGTATCATTTGTTTGTGAAAACTTATGATATTTATAAGATTTATTTGGACAAATCGTTACACAGAGATTACCATCTGTACACTTTTTTCAACTTTCATTTCCTATTTCTACCAATTATTTTTATTTTGTTAAAAATATTTTGATAACTGAAAGTTCTGAAGTGCTTTGTTAATCCCCACTACCTCACCCCCACTCTCCATGCGGCAAAAAGGTGTCACATGAGACAAGCTTAAATAGTTTTGTGATGCACTAATTGTCATTCACCGTTTACTTGAGTAAATGATGAAAAACATCCTCGACGATCAATGCCCGGAGGCCGGTTATTCATCAAAGCGCAACAATGCGTAAACTACCCTGTAGGAAAAGATGCAAAAAGGTTTTTCTGCAAAACTTTATATATATATTCATATATACAGTTTGTAAAGCAATTATTTCAAACATTAAAGGGAGTATATATCAGGTTCAATAAATTGTTTAAATAATTGGCAGGAATGGGGACATGTGCTCTATGTTTTAAGAAATGTTAATAAAGTGCAATTTATAGGTCCCAGAATGCAATTTCAAGGTGAGGAGGCATAACTTAGCAGAAATTCCAATCAAAAATTGGAAGAAATTATTAGGGACACAACCATATTAAATGTTACCTTTGTTAATCAAATTTACTGACAAAAATCATTTTACATTTGGATGAAACATCTCTTTCTGCAATTCCAACTGGCTTGCACAATACAACCTAGCTCAATATTCAATATTCAAATATTCAAATATTGGAATTGGAATATTCAAATTTTAATAAGGACCGATGACAAATAACAATCTTTTGTCAAAAATCTTGAAAAAAAAACTTTGTCATCTTGAATAGAGTAAAATGAATAACATTAACTGCATATATTTTCATTTTTCATTCAAAATTTCACAATAATGGAATTTAAAGAGACGAAAAGTTGTAAATATTTAAACAAGGATGGTTGGAGAAAGGTAACATTTTGAACATCACAGGAAAGTTTACAATTTTTTAACATTTTGTAAATTTAATATTCGTATCACACTAATGTTTCTAATAAATTCACACACCCCCCCTGTTTTTGAGGGGGACATTGAATCTCATCTCAGTGTCAGTTTGACCTGCCTGTCACAAAAAACAACAACATTAACCTTGGTCATAACTTTTGAATGAGAGAAAGATAGGACTTTCATATCTATGACAAGACCTTTCCAAAAATAGTATAATATGATTTTTACCTTGACTTTATTAAAAATATCAACATATGTTATGACTTTTTAATCAGAAAAGATAAGACTTTTATCTGATATTTGAGCACTTGACCTTGAAAATTTGACCTAATTTAAAAAAAAATTACCCCATGCAGTCTGTTATAACTTTTAAATGAGAAATCATAGGGATTACAACATGTATATTATATGATTTTTGACCTCGTGACCTTATCTTTCATGATTTTAGAGATCGAGAGAGAGAGATCTGCTTTTGGTTTGATATTGGTCAATGCGATGTAGATTTCTATCTCTGCGATGTCAGAAACCCTGTACCTCGGTAGATGTATGTTTCCGTGCTGCACACGTGACGTCAATTAATGTACACTTAAACCAGAATCAGACAGAAGTAAATCACAACAAAGGTATGTCCGGGCAAAGTTGGATGTAGAACGAATGTGTCTCTCAGATGGAGGAAGACTTCGTCAGCGCTTTACTCCGAAACTCGGGAAATTCCCCTGAACCACAAAGAAGAGCTTCGCCGTCTGTTGACAAACCATGCGCCTCCAATTCCTACCAAAACTTGAGAAGTCCCGAGATATCGGGGATGTGGGACTCGACTTTGGATATTTCTGTGACTTACGACACCGCCCCTGCCCGGACCTCAGAGGTTTGGTTTTAAAATATGAGACTTTTATTGGAATGGTCAAACAGAGTTGATTTTTTTAAAGTGTTCAAATCATTGTTTTTGTGGAGAAGAAAATAACTTAAGTAAATCAAAATTTACAACATGACAATTATATATAACCCCCTCCTGCTCAAATAATGTCTTCTTTGATTCTATTTAATAGATATATTCGGAATATTACACTTTTGTTTGAAATGAGTTTATGTCTGATAACTGTTGAAGACTTTTCCTAGAGAATTATACGAGGCATATTTATCTTTATATCTTACCTGCTGTTCAATTCATTAACCCCATTCGATCCAGCGTCTATGATCCGATCCAATATTTTAACAAAATATATGCTATATGAATTAACATTGCAGCAATTCTTTTAAAAATGCGGGCTTGAACGCGAAGAATACTCTATTTCCCAGCTTCATGTTTGTATATTTATTTTGAGGAAGTTCCTTTCTAAAATATAATTGTGAAATAATTAAGGAATGACTCTAATTCTTGGCCAGATTATCGAGTATAATATGGTTTGGGTCAGTTTACGCTTTATAATCCGCGAAGCGGATTATAAAAAAGCGTAAACTGACCCAAACCATATTATACTCGATAATCTGGCCAAGAATTAGAGTCATTCCTTATAATTTGATTTTAAAATAATTAAACAACTGGGGATGTAAAATTGTGTTGTTTTTATTAGTTCAAATTTACCGCGCAATAATACAACCGTAGTAACGGAAGTGATGGGAAGCAAGGGGAGGTAAAAACTGATACATAGTTCTAGCAGCCATGATGCTTGTTTACATGAGGTAAGATCAAGCAACTGTTTGAAGTTAAAGGTACATTCATTAAATCTGGAATTTTTCATGAATCCGAAGGACTGGAAATGATGGGATTGATGGATACAGATGATTCAGCTGGTTGTCAAGGGGGTGTGTCCCCATACCAAACCAGATTATACAAAATGTTATGCGTTCCTTTTTGGAAATCAACCAATTAGAGACAAGAATACAAACAGAATTAAATTATTCCCAAATAACTGACGTTTTCAAGGATTTTTTACAATTTTGATATTTTACGTGCCAAGAAAACTTAAAATATCAAAATCGTTAAAAAAGCCTGGAAAACGTCAGATATTTCGGACTAAATTATCAAATAATTTACAAAATAAAATATGGAATATTATTTATATAAATACTCTCAACTCCCAAGATTTTCATTTTAGATTAATCATCAAATTGTCCGTTTTATCGGAATTGAAAAAGAGACTGTTTTCAGTTTATTTGATAAAATAAAATCTGTTTGAGGAAAAATGGTGAATTTTTCCTTACTTTAAGTTTAATAGTAGAGCCTATAAACCTATGGTATAGACAATTCTTTAATGATTCTTTGGAATTCGAAAGATTATACATGTACATAATGTTCAATTTTCCTAATCAACATGTGTTCAGATAGCAATAACAGATGACATTTTTACCAATCGTGTTATTGGCAATCTGATTAAAATCAGATCCTTTGATCCGCTCACATAGATCGCTACACAAGTGTAGCGATCTATGTGAGCGGATCAAAGGATCTGATTTTAATCAGATTGTGTTATTGGCGACGGAAAAAACTTTCCTAATACATGTATTTAGTTCAGTAAGATTATATTCTATCTATACACAGGAGTTATTTTACCGAAAATTTCAGGAAATAAAAAAAATGCGTAATACCTATAATAATAACACAAGGAGTGCAACCGTTGTCCGCGACACCATGACGTGACGTCACGGGCGGTCCATTTACCCAAAAGGAACCAAAAAAAACCCAATCATACACAATTAACTAGAGATAACGATATTACGGTTAGATACGAGTACAAGTACTTGTACATCCCCGTTTTAAAATTCTTGAATGTCTACTAACTTGTCTCTGGTTTCTTTTCGCATATGACCTCAATCATCTATATTAGCATTTCAGGCAGTTTTGTTCCTTTCTGGGTAAATGGACGCGCTCGTGACGTCATGTCATGGCGTCGCGGACAACGGATATTTGAGCGAAGTTATGGAGAAATGTCACCGCTGTTGCTGTAAAACATGCGTTTGAAATCGTATGCATTAAGAGCCATAAAGAATGGTCCCTTCCAAAAAGATTGGTTTGTGTTTTATAATTTTCGATTGAAGATTAATTGTGCGACAGCCTTGATATTAAGCGAGGGGTTCCCAGGTGACCTAAAATGCGTTGCACTCCTTGTGTTATTGTTATACGTATTACGTATTTTTTATATAATGAAAATTTCGGTAAAATTGATAGGTACGCGAACTTCTGTGATCTATAAAACACAGAACAAGTTGGATTGCTTTGAAGTGTAATTCATTTCTTTTGGGACAATTAATTGTAAGAACTAGCTGCGTGTTGGTGTGATAAAGGTTCATCACTGATCAATTGTTCTTCAATGCTTTAAGTTTATTTTACATTTACTGCTCAAAGAAATACTCTTAAGGACATACGCAACGTACCTTGCCTATTGATAATTTTTCAAGATATTCTTAATTTGAGATTATAATGTTATCAAATGTTTGTAGGCCAAAAAAATCAGCATGCATTACCAGGGGGTTTAAAAAGATATCAACTGATGAAAATTCTTTTATAATTTAAAGAAAAATACACAAAAATTATAAAACATATATTGTAGAGGTTTTCTTTACCCAAACATGTTTAAGATGAAGTGTACAACAGCATATATTTACATTCAGTGTGATTTTCCTTATGAAATTCATTAGAAATCCACGACGTTCAAATTACTATAACACACGCGAAACCTTGTCACCGCGCGTTAGAATACATAGTAGGAACTATATGCAATTTCAATACTCTAGGAACACCAAAATGTAAAATATTTTACTTCAATTTAATGAAAAACTATAACCCTGAAAAATTAACGTAAAAATTAACGTAACGTGCGTTAAGAATTAATTTGTCACTTTTTTCCTCGCAATGTTTGTTTGCGTAAGTTAACTTTGCAACGTCATTTAACGTCATTTGACGTCACAAACGGCTCTTACATCTATTAACCACGGCAGTTTTGAATGACGCTAAATTCACATTAAAGATTAACGAAATAAGCAATTATGAAGAACAAAAATTAGAGAATGTAAATATACGCATTGAATTCATATTTTTGGATGTCTGCGGTCCTATAACACACCTGGCCGTGCCGACAAATTATCATACCGCGCTAACGGACCGAAGACATCCAAAAATATGAATTCAATGCTTAAATAAAGACATTAAAATGTAGCACACGCTTCCTTTAAATATTGGAACTCTTCAACTCCAACAATAAAGACAGAGTTCAAACTACGCTGCTATGTTCTTAAAGAAGACAGATCACTTTTTAGTCAAAATAGGTTTAAGAAAGGTTCTGTTGTGATTTTCTGATCTGAACATCTGAGAAATCGTTAATTCATGTGTGTCATTGTTATAAACAAAGGAATGATTTTTGTTAAATGTCAAAACAATGGATAGATGAACCAATGGACTTACACAATGTTTTGTTTGCAGATCAATATATTTTCTTAATTTTCACATTATTGATGATTTAATATAGATCTAACCAGCACAGGAGTTGACGGAGTATCTAATAGGATACCTGTGTTGTAACTAGATATTTAGTGTAATATAAAACAATCTTTAATTTCTGATGCGTGACACCATCTGATATTTATACAGTTGTAGTATTTTGTAAAACCATTGATATCAATATTTTAATGGACTTTTTAAGTTATCTACATTAAAGTATCAGAATCTTAAGATTGTATCTTTTATATAATCAATCGTTATTTTGTTTTTCAGCCCCGCTGGATGCACGACACTGAGTACGCCCTCATTGCATACAGCATTTACGGCTGCATTTTGTTCGTTCTCGCCTGTATTGTGACTACTCTCTTGGTCGTGTTCGGAAATACAGAAAAGTCTACTTGATTTGCTACAACTCACACTATGAACACTTTGACCTATATGCTTTAGAGAAAGTTCACCATGCATTTTCATACTAATATAAAGAAATCATTGTTTTCTTAAATAGAGTAGAATTTTATTCTAAGTTCAAAAAGACATGTAGTCGTGATGCTTTGAAGATTCTTCACTCAGACAGAGGGCTTTTTTCGCAAACCTTAGCTTCATCAGATCTGTAACCTGTCGTCCAATATCTCAAAGAGAATGCAGCATAAAAGTAATCAATTTATATTTTATAAAAATATAACTTGCTTTGTAAAGGATGTAGGCTGTAAACGTGATGTAGGAAATCGCTTTTCAGTCTTCAATGCCCAATACATGTAGGCGCCAGTCAAGGTATGGGCGGAAGTAATGAACCCTGCAAAACTTCCTTAATGCTAATCATCCGAGGAGGAATCGTACACGCCAGAGCTCAGTTTATATGATATCACAAACTTCTCAGTTCTCGGACACAAACGTACATTGAATTTAAAGAAGGCCTTAATGAGAAAATGTTATTGGATTCCCTGTTTATGAGCCCTCTTAAAACGAGATACAAAACCTAGGCGGACTTTAATTTCTGTTTATGGCTCATTTTGCATTAGACGGATATAGTAAACGAAAATATCACGGCAGAGGAAATTAAAAGTTTGAAATCATCATTTCCTTGGACCCCGGCCAGTTCACAAAATACAAAATGTAAACGAAGAATAAAGATGTAAATTATTCATTGATTTTGGCAGGCTGTTAAATTGTTTGTACGAAGCTGGAGCAGTCGAGCTTTTTTTCTCTCTGAAGAGAAATAAAACGGCAAATTTCACAAAAATCTTTCAGCCTTGGCTATTGCATGTTAATAGGATTGCATGAGGGTTTATACGGATTATCGGCGAGGGTTATATACAGATGTGTTTCTTATTGATCTGCCGTCAATTGTATTTGTGGATGATAATTGAATATGTCAACAGCATAAGCCGTTTGTGTAAGAGGTAAACCTGCACAAATGACGGAGGGCTGTGTGTGATTGGATTTAACTTCTAAAAGTTTCGACAGAAATATAGTAACGCAAATATGCAACAACTAAAGTCTATACCATTTTAATGTCCCTCGCTGGAAACATTTTTTCACTTAATGGATTGGGTGTGTAGATCTGAAAGATTTACGGAATTGTTCGCAAAATCATATTCGTCATTCTTTCCAAAGTGAATTTCATACAATGGATTCTTACCCTGATCAGCCTGAGGAAGATTTTATTGCTACCCTCCTCAAACAGTCGTCTTCTTCGTCACACGATAACAAGGCTTATTCTACCACCCCCAGTAGAACTTCCAGCCCCCGGGATTCCCGCACGAGTCAGCCCCTAGTGAGGCACAATGGACACCAACAATATGGAAACCAAGCGACGACCCTCCAACATAAAGACAAAACGGCGAGTCCACACGCCAGTCACCTCAGTCTCACGGTAATTATATGGACCAGCCTATTCATTTTAATTTTAACATGTTACCAGTCCAGATACATCTATTGTTAACCACATCTTTCGTAATAAAGTAGACGGAGTACTATTCAAGTTTAAAAGTCGTTTTTAAAACTTTTAAAAAGGTATTGATCTTTCTGAAACCAATTTTAAAAAAATGTCTTAAGCATTTACTTTTTTAAAAATCTAAAAATCCTTTAAACATTCAGCAAAAAAATATTTTGTCGAGGATACCGTAGAGTAAACGTTTCTTTTACTTTTGGGACGTGTTCGATTGTGATGTACAGTATGATATACACAGTACAAAGTACTTTGCAATCTCAACAACAGTTTTAGAAAATTAATGATACTTATTTTTTAATTTTATAACAATACAGCTATATAATATACTATTAAAACTTAATTAGATGTTTATATGTTCCTATCTCGCCTTAAACTTTAAAGTGGCCTGTTCACAGCCCCATATTGTTTACAGTTTTAATTTTCAATTTTATTTAAAAAATAACTTCAGTTTAATGATTTGAACTTATTTGAATATTTTATTTACTATTAATTAAATAACAACTTCAATCTCCCTACTATCACGTCAAACACACGTGTTTGTTATACCCTTATAAATATCCTTCTATATATTTATTACTAATAAAGTGTCCCACAAAAGAAATGTTTTTTATTTTGATTTTTGGGTGTTAATAAAATTTCATGTTTTTATATTCAGCAAGAATTTGGGTCAAAGTTTAAGAGTTATCTCACTTGTCTGTTAAAACGTCACAATTAGCATAATCATCGAAGAATCAGAAAAATCGGCAATAAAAGCAGTTTAAATATGTAAGGAAAAGATAATTTGTCAGTATTTTAGAGAAAAGAGAAGAAAAAATAGCATAAACACATCTAAATACCATCACTGACAGGAGCAAGTATGTTAGAGAGATTGTGATAAATAAAAATTGTGAGGAAAATGAGATTTATAAGTTATATATTGATCTCCAGCTGTGTATGATTTTATATTTAAAAAAAAACAACAATTTTCCATATAAAATAATTGATTAATTATAGAACATTTATATAGATTTTGCAAAATAAGAATTTTAAGTCACGCACACACAATTTATTGGTATCCCCACCTCATTTTGTTCAGGGTGTGCCGTATAATGTTGTACTTGATAATTTGTTAATTAACAATAAATATTTAATTTTTAAAGCAAGAATTTTCTTTAAATATTTAAAAGAATATGAAAAGAATTAAATCTAATCATATTTGTATTAACATAATGAAAAAAAATGTGTACGAGGCATCCATGTTTTGTTGATCCTTATAATTTAATAATTGTAAAAAATAAATCCGGACCCGCCCCAATTTTTTAGCGTGTTAAAGATTAATTTTACCTGGCCTTACCTGATGTGTTCATTTTTTTAGCCTGCACACGTCAATGAGCGCGGATCGACAATATAAATGAGTTGGTTTTGCTTTCTCGCATTTCTACTCTTAACTTTCTGGATAACATTTTACATATTTTTCATAAATACACAACAAAATCTACTTTTTAAAATATTGTGGATCAGACGTTTATTTTGTGAAATTGCGAGAATATGTGTCAATCGAACGCGTCCCGAAATTCGTATAGTTTTATTCAAATAAGTTATAAACAATTTTAATACTTTTTTTATCAAGTCATAATATTATTTAGAAGAAAAAATTGGGGAGGAAATGAGCTTCGAATCTGCGTCCTAGCCCCTGTAATTCACCTCAGAGTTTACGTTAGCGAAATGGGAACACCAGTTTTTTTTTTTTAAGTTTTACATTAAAGAAGAATGGGAACATCATTATTATATTTCATTGATTTTCACCAGAGCCCTCTGGGTTATGTCATAATAATCAGGGTGGTTACAAAATCGTGGATAAGTCCGAATATTTTACTTGAGCCCCCTAAATCGGTATGGCACCAAAAAACAGAAATCGCATTGCAGTATAGGATGTAAATTGAGAACCGGTTTTAAAAAAGGCGAATTCCTGGCAAAGGGATTTTCATGTTTTGATAAATTACGTCCCCTCTAGAATTTTTTTCGGTCACCACAGCTAAGAATCGAATCATTTTGTTCAACCTGTTACATGTATATTCTCATTATAAGATTTCAGTTTGAGTGGTTATCAATGTCAGTTTATAAGTTATTCATTCAGTAACTACAGGTTTGAGTATATACGTTTAGTTCACATCAATAAAGGCCAATTTCCTAAATGAGATCAGCATACATACACTTTTGCTTTCGAGATAGCTGATGATATCCCATATATATATTGATCAATTTTATCTTCTTGCATGTAGAGTTCTAGAGTTGGGATTCAAAATATCAACTTTTTTCTTTCAGGATCCATTGCTAGATGATAAAGTCTACTCTGCTTTAGCATATGGAATTTACGGACTACTTTTATTTTTTCTCACTACCGTGACAACAATTTGCCTCATTGTACTCACATAAACTATTCATGTCTATAAATATTTCTACATCGTTGTGTCTTGCCAACTTGGAGAAAATTCAATTTTGGTGATCTGTGACATGTCTTTAACTTTGTATTAAAATAACGAGAAAAATAAATCAGACTTTGGGATTGTCAATGGATTAGCATTTGTGACAATAAAACGTCGAATGAATTGGAAAGGGGATTGGAAAGGAACTTAAAGAAAAGGAAATGTTTAGCAGTCCTTCCGGACCAAGATATTTCCTCTGTATCGAACATATAGAAAATTCATTTGGTTGTATTAAAATATGCTATGTAAATATGAAATGCTGCCTTAGAAAAATAAAAATAAATCTGTCTAGATGTCATTATATAGCTTAGATTCGGGGGTACAAATATGACACATTCGAATGGGACGGGAAGGGGGGGGGTATAATAAGTCGTGTACTAGAACACGGTTCATCAGCATGCGTGTTAATAAGTCGTTGGACTGATTATAAATCAGCTGTCTGTATTAGCTAATGAATAACGATAAAATGAAAAAAAGTCTGGAAAGTCGTCGAATAAGTCATCTAAGTGCATATATTTATTAGCTGCTTGTCTCTATATTTTTTCTAGCGTCATTAAATATTAAAAATTAACTCCATTACACGTGTTTTAAATTTTATTTTACCGACAATAGAGTCAAAACATCGAAATATATATATATTAGGAAGAATACAAACATCTTGTTTGCAAACAAAAAATATTTTTAACTTTTATTATTTTCAAACAGCTTATTTTGTTTACAAAGTCAATTTCCATCCACAATCCTTCTACAACGGAACCTCTTGGAGTTAATCGTCCACATCCGAGGTCTCCTCTTCTCCTTGATCTTCGCCAAACTCAGCATCAAACTCTTTGTCCGCCAATGCAGCCTTAAATGCAGACTCTTCTTCCGGTGAAGGGTCGTCTGCCTCAGTGATTTCCGGTCCACTGGGAAACTCATCCATAATATCTGGCGGCAGTTCCGGTTCGAAGGCATCACCTAGATTTTTCTGTCCCCAACCAATGTATATTGAGGTGAAGTATCTGAAAAGAACAATTCATTATCCCTATTCAATTTGTTTGTCAAGTACAATGCAAAGTTGTATTTGCCTAATCTCACAAAATGATTACATGATCTCAAAGCAAGATAAAACTATTATACCAATAAAATCATTAAATGTGCAGTGAATAGCCAGTGATATAGAAATATGTCGATTGGCAGATCTGATTAAATGCAGGACAATTTCCTGCATTTTTTTTTGGTTTGATTGGATTACAAACAACTTACCGCCCCCTCTCTGCACCAAAAGTCCATGATCCTGGCCATGTATTGGACTGCAACACAGCAACAGCAAACTCTGGCACCAGACGTGAGGAAATCCGGGCTATCCACGCCGGCGAATCAATTATCGCTACAAAATTGAACAGAAATATCCCATAATCGACACTACTTAATTGAGTTTCCTATTCATAATTTTTATGATCTTCTGGGGCCAAACACGTCTGTAACCACTCGTGATACGCGATAGACCATTTTGACGGCTGTGGATGTTCCTGTCATAATATATTATTTACGTTTTGAATTAAAAAAAAATCATTTGTGGTTATATTACGTTTCACAGAACAAGCTCTCTTTAATATGTGTAATAGTGGTCCGATTTTATGAGAGTGTCATACGTTTATCTTCTGAAGCTGGTGTCAATAATGGCGGGCCTACTTCCGGTTCCGGTTCATCAGGTTCGTTTCGTTCTTCCTCGTCAGAATCTTCTTCAGCTCCCTCGCCTGACTTCCCCTCCATCGGGTTATGCCACGTGTTTCTACCCTGTATAACAATTTATTAAATGCTGGTTTCAATGGTCTATCAAAGTATGAATTCTTGCTCTCTCAAAGGATTCGGAGAAAGTGAGAACAGATTAAATTCCGTGGCTTATACATATACATGTATAAAGATTTTTTTTTTTTTACATTTGTACACTTGTTTCTCTTGCTGAGTTTAAAATACAACTTATTTAGAGTAACATGTCTGTACTATCCCAAATTGAAGTATGAGTGCATACCTGAGGTAAAATGGACTGCATGTGATGGCACCAAGTTTGTCCTGTTGGGTCACAAAGATCCCGTAATGGCATTCCTTCGAACTCCTGGTCAATGATACAATTATTTCTGCCGTTTGTTCCTGAAAATATATATATGCATTTTAAAAATGGAGTTAATTATCAGAATTTTATTTATAACTAGAGTTAAAATATTTTGTTGATAAATATCTTCTTTTTTTCTTTGCGTGTATAGAATGTATATAGGATCCCAACGAAAAAAAACAAAACAAATTTGAATGACTTCAAAACTATTTACAGTGAGAGTGAAACGAAGTTGCATTGAAATCATTTCTAGGAAAAGTTTACAAGTATTTTATAAAGCAGCTAGGTCCTTTTAGTGGAAATTGTATTTTTTTAGACTGCATGACTCATTTGATCTTATCAAAAACATCCTAATCCCGAACCCGATTCTTCTGCGTCTTCCTCTTCTTCATTGTCGTCAAACCGGAAATAACCGATTGGTGATACAGTTGTGGCGGCACTGATACGCGCAATTTGCGCACGCAAGTAATTCTTCTCCAGGCCAGGAAATGGAGGATGACTCACAATCTACAAAGACCAAAACTCCAATTTTATTTAAATATCAGCTTTTGCAGGGAAAATACGAGTCTTATAAAATCTGTACAATGTTTCTTGCCTGCTCATTGAGGTCCCCAGTGAAGAAATGTCTTATTTTCCTGGCTACGACAATTTGTGCAGGGTTAATGTGTGGAAGGCGTGTCCAAGGTAATCCAGCTGAAAATAAACAAGCGTAATCAATATAAAAAGGAAACTTACTTGACTATCGAATGAACTCTGTTTTTATATCTTTCAAAGATAAAGCTGCTAGCAATACAGGAGAAGACTACGAGATATGTCCTTTTGCAGACAACTAGACGGAATTTTCCAAAACACAAAGAAAAAATAATAAGGATACAGTCGTCAAAATATCTTAACATGATCTGAATCATTTTATTAACTTATCTGAGCAGAAAGCTCAAATGAGCTTTTCTGATCACCCGTTGTCTGTCTTCCGTCCGTCTGTAAACTTTTCACATTTTCGACATCTTCTCAAGAACCACTGGGCCAATTTTAATCAGACGTGGTTAAACCATCCTTGGGTAAATAGGAGTTTAAAGTCTTAAACTGAAGGACCCAGCCTCCTTACAATGGGAGATGACCAAGAAAAGACGAAAAAATGATGGGGTCATTAAAAAAATCTTCTCAATAACCACTGGGCCAGAAAAGCTTAAACTTATATGGAAGCATCCTGGGGTAGTGTTGATTCTATATTGTTCAAACTATGAGCCCTGGGGGTATTTGGGGGCCACAGTAGGGAATCCATTTTACCTTGAAATATATAGGATTTTTTAAAAAACAAGTTCTTCTCAAGAACCACTAGACCAGAAAAGCTGAAACTTATGTGGAAGCATCCTTGGGTAGTGTAGATTTTAAATTCTAGATTGTCCAAACCATGACCCCCTAGGCCACAACAGGTATTGCAAATGGAAAATCTGGTGAAGGACAGCTTGGCTAAAGTTACTCAGGTGAGAGTTGTGGCCCACAGGCCTCCTGTTCTCTTCAAAATCCTTTTTAAACCTTTTACATAAACGTATTATGCACTACAGTTTACGTATCTGGAAGTCTTTGAATCCAATAAAACCTAGTTTATGAAGAACTTACGTTCGTTACAGACAAAGTATATATGCTTGTTGAGACCGGTCCCTAGGCTCTCACAAGGGATTCTGGGTGGCGGCTTATAATAGGGTTTGATTTCCTCTGTAACAGTCGTGGACTCATCTGGAAGTATTGATTGTTAGGTAAAATATTTCTTACTGTGAGTTGATGTATTAGTTTTCTTATTGCTTCATTTTCCCATTTCTGCAATCTTTCATGTTGTTCTTATACGTGATGAAACACGCAGTCGGCATTTCAGTGCTGGAATGTCGTTCTCGATATGTTATAGCTTTTTATTTCTTTAAACGTCAAAAATAATCAACTGAATGATTTCCAAAGATAAGCATAATTTGTTCCGTCTTCCACAATATAATAAGTAATTTGTTTTACATATTTCTGATCAGAAGACGAATTGAATACCAAGACGTCATAAAGATTGTCGGGGAAATTGATATGGTAGAATTATTGTGAACAATGTTGTACGTTAGCAAGCAGTTATATATGATACGAGAATTTGAAATTGATAAATAAGCTTATCATAAGTCAAAATCAAATACGGTTATCGTAAGAGTGTTGCTTTGTTATTTGTTCCTACTGTTGCTCATTAAGAGCTCTATTTATTTCTTTATATAGCACTCTAAAAGATACTCGATTTATCAATACAAATAAAAAACGACAAATCACAATCTAGCTTTTTCTAGTTTAAAATATACATACCATCGAATATCATGCTATCTTCTATCTTAAATATAGAAATGAAAAGAATAAAGATAAATTCTTCAGCCCGATTTGTTAAGATCTATGAGTTGTCCTAGAACACTAAACATTTTATCTTTTTTGCAGAAAGTAAACCAAAAAGTACATTAATCACCATCATGAATTTGGTGACGCGTCATGTTTTAAGATGCATTCTTTTTTCTAATAATTCGACAGCCCTATGAAACATTAACTTGTTTTTGGTGGAAAAATGCTGTCATTTTAGAGAATTAGTTTTTATTACGATTTTTTTCTCCAGATTATATCATTCTTTGCCTCTTGGGAACATTTGATTTGAATATTATCTTCCAATTTGATGGGACCCTTCCCCTCCTTCCCCTTGATTTTTGTATGAATGGTTGGTGTTTTTTAAATAACATATGATTTTGGTTGATACTTGCTTTGACGTAGTATTATTCTCTGCAACAGTCATTTGTTATGAGTTATGTCTTTGGTCTATATATGTAGTCTAATGACCTTTTCTGGAATCCCTGCTTTTTACTTCCAGGGTATCGTGCAGTTTTATTTTGGACCATCTATTTGCCGTTTTAGACCTCTATCTGTTTACGTGATTCCGTACTGAACCATTTGTTTTCAGTCGCAGATTTTTTCATTTGATCGTAAAGTTAACAAATCTATCACAGGTCTATAAACTCTCTGACTTTTAAGACACCTTTACCATTTCACTGTTTTATGCCCCGGGGATCAGGGGTATGTCGTTCTATGTCAATAACACATGTAATTTATAATATATTATATTATTACATGTAATATATTATTACATTTGTTCAAACTATTGTGATTCTAATTTTTCCATGAATTGCATTCCGTGCTGCTTTTAGGAATTTTTCGCCTACCTTGTCGTTCGATGACTTATCCTCTTCCTCTTCGTCACTGAAATCACTGTCATATTCGCCATCTTTGAATTCTGTCTCAACGACATAGTAATTTTTCCGCGTACCCATCATCTTTCCCCAGAACCTCAAGGTTTCGATAGGCCAGTTTTCCACCAGTTCTCTCATGGCTACCGAAATCCGGATGAACTCTTCTCTAGGAAGACCGACTCCAGCTTGCTCAAAAAACAGCGCCTGTTTCATCAAGTCTGGTATCAGACGATAAATGTCATCTTCATCCTCGTCCGGTAAATCTGTGATGGAGTTCCGACATATAGTAGAATTCAAAAAAGCTGTGCAAGCAAAGTATATACATGTATTTTATTCCATTCGCACTAAAGTAAAAGATAATTTATGTACTTACCAAAACTTTCATTTGGTATGAACTTTGGATCACCACAAGCGGTCTAAAACATTATTGATATAATTACTTAAATCATTTTTTTTCGGGAAACAGTATATTGTACTTAACACAGCAAATTTCTTAATAAATTATTTCATGTTTCCCTTTTCTTTACCTTAACCATTCGCCATTGTGCATGTGCTAGAACTTCAGTCGGTGTCTTTCCCGGATCGTCCTTGATGTACGGTTCCTTGTAAGCAAACCTTTCTCTTTTGTATGTCTTGCTGTCTGTCTCCAATCTGTCCAGAGCTTCGTTAGACTCGTCACCCAGAACACGTGACAAAAGGGTGCTTAGATGGTTGTACCTAGAGTGTATTAATCAGACAATAGTTTGTCATGCATTTTTTAAGCTTGAGTCTGGAATTACAATGTATTAAAAATCCTCTCGCAAGGGAGTTGGGGGAGATATAGTTAAGCAATCGTGTGTTTGTTTGTTTGTGGGTGCTTTATGTTCTGTGTGAAACGGAAGTGATGTAATTTGTGTCGGGATCGATGTCTTGGTAAAAAGATATGCTCTTTGTGGGAGGAGCTCCTCTTTGCATTGTTCTTGTCGTCTGTTTAAAGGTACTAGTAACTTACAAGTTCTGACCGTCCTCGCTTCCTTCCCGCATCAAAAACAGCTTGGCGTTGACACATCGTTGCTCCTCTAGAGTTAACACTCGGAACTCCTCTTCCTCCTCCTCGTCATATCGTCGCTCTTTCGTCTCTGTATCTTCGCTGATGGTATCATCATGCGGAATGTTGCTACGACCTCTAACTTTCCTCGACTCTCCCTTCATTCCTTAAATGGGATTGAAACAGAGCTGTTAATCAAGTAAGGAGTTTACTGTGAAAGAAAAAGATACAATTTTGAAATCTGCCAGGGTGATTTTTTTTTATTTAAGCCGAAATCTCAAGTGAGCTTTTCTTATCGTAAAGTGACAGGTGCCCATCTTGATGTCCGTTTGTCACGTATGTCATCTATCCTCTGCCGTCTATAAACTTTTTGTATTTTTGATTTTTCTCCAAAACCAATCCAACCTTGCTGCAAAGCAAAGGGTGAAGGGGATTCTAATCTGTTCAACTGAAGGATCACGCCCACTATGAAGGATAGAGAATTAAGACTGTGAGAAATCTGTGGTGTCATTTAAAAATCTCCTTTAAGAAATCAAATGAAATCTTCGGACTTCCTGGCCTAGGTTAACCGTTTACTTACAATGGGGTGAAATTGATACCCATGGGAATTCCGACAGATCGTTGGACGACCACGGCCTGGTCTCCAAACACCACATAGATATTGGCAATCAGAAACTTAAGCATCTTTTTAATATCAACTTAAGAATACATGAGAGTTCACTCAAAATATTTTTTAACAAAATACTTCTGCAAATGACCAGTGACAATATTAAGGTGAGTAAATTTTTAACTTTGTGAAGAACTGATTTCAAATTTTCTAAAAATTTCTTGAATTTTGAAAACCAAATTGAAAGTCACAACAAGAGACTTCTATTCATGTAAAAGTTTTTGAACATTTTTTGCTTCAAAGGTCTGCTAATACAGGGTTATAATTATTACTCTTATCCACTGAAATTCCAACAGATTGTTGTCTCAAAAAACCCCATAGAATAACACGTACCAATGCATCTATTGATTTATAGTTGCAATACAACAGAAACAATACAAGGAATGAATCCCAACTTGTAATGCAATGTCCACGTTTATATAATGAAAATGGAATTGCCATGTCCCCTTAATCAAATTAAGATTTTTTTCCCAATCATTTAAAAAAAGAAACTCTCAAAAAAAACAAGAGATGTTTGTTAAACACCCATACCCCCCTCCCCCCAAATTGGAATTTTTCTAAGTCCAAAAGGGCATAACTTTGTCAAAAATGGCGCGATCATACCCAAAACAGAACTTGACCTAGATATTCATCTGGTAAATCTGTATATACCAAATTTCATTCCAGTATTTGCAACCGCTGTGAAGAAAATGAACGGAAACTGCAAATAATTGGATTTTTTCTAAGTCCAATGAGCATAACTCTGTAAAAAATGGCACGATCGTACCCAAAACAGAACTTGGCCTAGGTATTCATCTGAAAAATCTGTATACTAAGTTTCATTTCAGTATGTGCAACCTCTGCAAAGAAAATGAACGGAAACTGAAAATTTTTAAGTCCAAGGGGCATAACTCTGTGAAAAATGGCGCGATCAAATTCAAAACAGAACTGGACATAGATATTAATCTGATATATCTGTATACCAAATTTCATTTCAATATGTGCATCGGTTGTAAAGAAAATGAACGGAAACAAAGTGGACCGACAGACCGACCGACAGACAGCAGCAAAGCAATATGCCCTCCCTTCTTCGAAGGGGGCATAATTAATGGAGGGGATGAAAAAGTACTTTTCTTAAAATGTATGAACATCGGTTTAATCATGTTTTGTGTTTCGCAATGGGGGGGGGGGGGTCAAGATCATGCTTTATTTAAATTTCGTTATCATTACCCTGACCTGCAATGGGTCCGGAATCCAGCTACATGTATTATTAGTAATATAAGCACCAATGGGTCCAATTCTGGCATTAATTAATCATTTGATTCATCTTAAACAAAAGTGTCATTAATGGATGCCATCAATATCCATTTTGTAATAAATCATTATCGTTGGTAAACAGTTCATATAAGAAGTTCACTGATGAGGAACTAGAATACTGCAAGAAAGGAGTCCTAATAATGAGGGGGGGGGGGGGGGCGGCACAACCAAACATTTCAGTCTGGGGGCACTATCAACTACCGAAAATTCCGTGACTTGTGTGCCCCCCCCCCGTTCCTATGGCCATTTTAACACAATATATAAGCATTTACTAGTATATAGATTATTTTTTTAAATACTGTTCTTTAAATATGACATTGATCCTGTCGTAATTTATTTTTCATATTCTGTGCCCCCCCCCCCTCCCGGTTCTACATACACAAACAAGCCCTGCACTTCATGTCGTAGATTGACATTTTCGTATTGTTTTATGAAATGAAATATTAAATGCACATGCATGATATGATCGTATGCTGTTGGTCAAAAATTAGGGAAAACTGTACATACCTAATCTGTAGACAGCTAACTTGTAACTGTGGAGAAAACAGAAAGACAAACATTAACAAAAATCAGTGATAACATTCAATTCGTACTGCTTGATTAAGAGCGCTTAACAACGAGATAACAGAATTGTAAGTAAAACGGACAAGTTCAGTACAGTTGAGAAAGCTAAAGATTTTAATACATCGGTTTCTACAAATAAACCTTCAATGTTAATGGTATTTTTTTTTTTGTTTCATTTCAATTTTTATATGCAAATCAATAATATCAAATTGTTTTTAAAATGAGACGGGAAGCCATATAGGTAAACGAAAAAGAAGGGGTTTGTCTTCAGTAGCACCTGGGGCCAGGTCTTTTCTACAGTGTATCGGTTCTGCAAAATGTGGGGAATAGTAATAATAATATAGGTCTGACCGTCCGTCTGTCTGTCGGTCTTTCATTCTGTCTCTGTGTGACACTCAGTCTATATAGACAGTTATCTCAAAATTCCCACAAGCTTTTGCAGTGCAATTGAATACCATTATTACAGTGAACACTGTCTAATCCGGCACCTGTGTAATCCCTCACACTGTACTTTCTATGCTTTCATGAAAGTTCTTCGCGATGTCAAAACGCCAAATGTCACAGATAAAATTTAGAAATCGCATGAAATGCTTCAAGAAAATAACTCAGTTTAGTTCTCTCTGAGCTTTTGTGATATGGAAAATTATGGTGATGAAACTTTTTAACTGAATTAAGAAAGACCCTTAAGGTCAAAAAGACCAAAAGTTGAATTTCATGATTAATCATTTTATAGAGTGAAATAAATTCCCTACTTCATATTTTTTTGTTTTCGACAGACTTTGTGGTGAAACAGAAAAGTATATGAGAATTCAGAGCAATAAGCTCATATAATAAATCAGTGTTAAATATTTTGAAGTAAGAAAAGTGTGTTTCAATTAGAACTTACATGTAAGGCGGTTCAATCCTGAGCTTCTGAGCAGATTTTTGTCCGGATCATTATTTCTAAAATTCTACATCATAATTTAGTTCTTACAATAAATTCAGATTCTACAATGCAAATTAAATTCTATTCAATTAAAATTCCAAGAGAAAAGTTCCATAAAAAAGCATTAGGCCTAAGTGAGAACTATATTATGTGGCGGAAGGTTATTTTTTTTAAAAAAGAAAATTTTGTAGCATTTACGGTATTGTTTATTCATAGAATTCCCATCCAGCGGCCTCTTCGCAAACCACGGCCAAAATGTACGATATTTTCCCATTCTCCGGACCGTGGCTTGAGACGACCATTCAATGTAGGCTACAAACAAAGTTATTTTGTGCAGTGAAATGTTTTATGCTTGTCTTGAAATATGTATTAAATTGACTTTTATTTATTATATCTTTACATTAAATTAAAAAAAATATAGCAAGTACATTCTGAAAGTTCAGTAAAGTAAAGCCAATAAATTAAAACTCTGTTTAGTAATAATGTAATACTGAAAACTTTCCGTCCTATCATAGACCCACTTTTTAAAAACTCTTTTGTGAATACACAAAAATGACATTTTCTGTATGAAGAAAGTTCAGTTAATTCAGTGATTATGCGAGGTAATTTAATTTAATTTTCTTTTTCATAATCTTTTTTTTTTTTTTTTTTTTTTTTTTTTTTGATAAAATAAAAGTTTAATATTTGGTTCCATGATTATTTGGATAAAAAAATATTAGATGAGAAATGCTTTGTGTTTCACTTGAAAAGACACAATTTTCAGTGCAGAAGGGTCACATTGAAATGTGCCGTAGCACCAAATGAAGCATAATGACCCCCATTTTTTTATGCTATGTGTGTAAATACTAAAACAAATTATTTATTTTTTTAAGTAAGAATTTTGATGTCAGCAAGCACCGGAGAAAAAAATGTTCACGTATTTGTAGGATTTCATTTTAACGCCCACTAAATAACATCCGGTATTCATTGGCAGAGTCCATTATTTAAAGGTAACTTAGGATGATATTGTTGAGAAAAAGGTATATTTACTGGGACAAATACGTGATTCTACAAGAGTATTTGATTTGTATATTTAATCTATATATTGCATTATGTCAATTCGATCAGTTTATATCAGTTTAGTAAGTGTCAGCGATAAATGTAAGACATAGTATCCTGTTCATCCCCTCACCGACTTTTCTTATAAATCGGTCCTCTCGTGATGTTAGACAGCAAGACAGTGCAGAAGTGATTGGTGAGTAGGTTAAATATAGCAATTCAGCAAAATCTTTTTACCTAACAAAATGATTTCAAGCATGCTGAAATGTATAGCAGTTTTCTCATCAATACATCTATATTTAGTCACACATATCTTGATTTTTAGGGTTGTGTGGCATATTCAAATGAGTAGGTCGGGGCAAAATAAAGCTGGAGTTTTCCTGAGAATATATGTTTGTTCGCTTATTCACGAATAAAGGGCCCTCAGATGACCATCTGATGAACCATAACTGATTTAATGAGCCATTTGCAGTTGCACTGTGCAAGAGTTTGTACTCGGATGGCATGATATATTCAAGCAGTTTTATATATAATTATTATACCTCTACTGATTTTTCCCTATATACCGGTAAAATTAAGTGATTAGATCTGAACAATTCCCTAGAAATCGCTGTGAATTGGCTAATCCTCATGCGTTAGTTTTTTAGCTATTATTCCTCGGTCGAAAGCTAGTCATGCTAATTCGCAGTTATAGCTTTTCATTGTACACGCATCATAATATAGAGCGATGCAAAACACAATGCTTCGTGATGTATTTCATATAACAAAATGCAAAAAATAGGCCGAAGATGTAAACGCAAATATTTGTGTGCCGTAAGTAGTTTTTATTTTAATTTTTAAATCAACAAACGAAATCTTAAATCATTAACAAACAAAAATGCAATGATTGCATTAAAATTAGGGAATAACTGTCTTCTAATTTGGTATTTGCGACCGCTTACGCGATTTTATTCAGTTATGAGAATAATGATAATTTATGATTAGTTAATCTGTAAATTAATATTTTTTAAAAAGGTGATCTTTACAATTTAAATTTTTATCAGTATAATAAAACAGTTATAGTATATCATTGAGGGAGTTTGCAAGATTCCAGTTCTCTTCGACCAGGACTATTCCCCTCGGTGCGCTGTGCCTTGGGAAATAGTCTTGGTCTTGGGGAACTTGAATCTTGTTTACTCCCTCAATGATATTCTATAACTGTATACTGCATAACAGGGAACTTTGCATGAAATGTCATTATGAAATATTCTGTTGTAAATTCTCTGTATAGTACCGTTATTAGAATTTTTTTTACTTTATACTCAGCTAGCAGTATGGCTGTGAACTCTGTTGATGGGCGTGGGGTACAGGTGGATGTTCGGGAACTCTTCAGTTTATTGGAGTCTAACCAGCTCAAAACTGTGGATGAAATCACAGAAGAGATTCAGCAGCACCTGAGCACCGGTAAACAGGGCCCTTTAATTTCTGCTCTTAATTATCCTTCTTATAATTTAATATTTTTACACCTTAGTTACTATTTTGATTTAATATTTGCAGTAAAATTAATGTTTAAATGTTTTCTTTGTTACATGAAACTGTTACATGTACTATATATCATGTTTCCCTTAATTGTGATTAAGTACATTGAATAGATTTATGTGTTATATTTGTACAGTGAAGGAGGCATGGCTAATGAACAGTTTAGTGGACTACTACTATATAGCCCAGACTGACCGCGTCATTGACATTCTCACATCAGTTCGAGAACCACACGACAAGGTATAAACATTTATCTAGTGTATTTGATATGATATACATGTAGTAAACAGTATGTCCAGGAAAATGAATGTTTTGAGGATAAACAATATTATTAAATACTAGTATCTCTTGCACACACTGCAATGTAAATGGCAAAATATAAAAAAAAGTTACAAAATATTATATCATGTAGAACAAAATCTTATAAAAGGCATTTAATGTCTTTAATTTTTCATAACATAATTTAAATACCAGGTACAAACTATATTTGCCATAAATATTATACAATTATTGCTGTTTTTGAGGTCAATACAATGATTTAGCCATCTGAGGAGTACAATATTCACCGAGCCCGAAGGGCGAGGTGAACCATGTACTTCAAAAGATGGCTTAATCATTGTTTTGACGGAAAAAACAGCAATAATTGTTTTATTATATGATTCACTGATAAAATTGCATAGCTCATTACTTTTTTGCATTTAATTAAGTCCTATCCAAATACAAGTAAGAAGTCGAATTAAAATGTAAATAAACCTTACCAGTCGTATCAATTTGAAATTTTTTTTTATCAATTTTAGTTCCCATGAAAAAAATATATAACGTCAGTCTTTTTTTATAGGATAGATTTTGAAAGGAAGGAGTATTATCAGGGAAAATTGACTGCAAAAAGTAAAAATTGTCGCTAAAGTAATAGTGTTGGAGGGGGCCGCTGCATCCCCTCTTACCACCTTCACCTGAAAATATATATTCGCTTATCTTTTGTTCAATTGAAAAAAAGTTAAATAGCTTACCAATTCAATTTGTATCAATTTGGAATTTCCCGATCTATTTTTAGATCAATGTGAAGGAAATACAGTAAATCCTTGTATTCACCTAGAACGTCACGTGCAGGTCAATACAATGTAGTATTTTTCTAACATAGTTGGATCTCAGCCAATCAGAGAAATGGAAATTATTCAATCATATAATAATCACTAATATAAATTTATGGTAGTGTAATGGTAATATTGCTTTATTCTGACCTCATGTTTTTCTCTTGCACTTTGCAGCATCTTGTAGAAAAATTAACAGATGGGATCCGGAGTGACAAGCACCAGCTTCTGGCAATGAAGCTTCTCCTCCATGTTGTGTGTAAACAACCAATGTGGGTCCACAAACTGATAAAACCACCCATATTTCCAGCTCTCATCAAATGTCTGAAGGTCAGGGTCAAACATGTCAGTTACTGTGAATGTTAGAGAGGGCAATTTGTAACTGGTTATTTGGTTACTGGGTCAGAATAATAATATTCATTAATAAATCTATAATCCTTTAGTTATCATCATTGTTATTTGATGTATATTTTCATTTCTATGTCAGTCAGGTCAGAACATTTTTTGAAGACTTTTAAATGTCAAAGTAAGAAATGAACATCAGAAACATTTCTATACATGCTAGTATTTTAATGTCTATTACAGACAGACACTGACATTCCCCTGCTGATGACAGGTGTGATGGCCATTACTATCTTACTTCCGGCTATTCCTTCACTTGTTGGGAAACACCTTCCAGATATCTTTGATATTTTTGGTCATCTTATCAATTTCAATGTCAAAAAGCCAAGTAAGTGTATTCTGTATTCTCAAAGTACATGTATTTGTCCATTTTAAAATAGAGATGGCTGCAGTGCTTGAACTTGTTGAATCAACTGATAGTAGTACTTTCACTTTTTGCTGATGTGATATAAATATTGTGTTATGATTTGTGATAGGTTCTCCCAAGGAGGGTAAATATAATGTGTGTGATTTTTGTCATAGCATGCTTTCATTTGGTATATCAGGGAATTTATTCTGAAATAAAAAATAACATTCTTTCATTTGAGGATCAAAGATGCATCCTTTAATTCAGTAGAACCAGATTTTAGCATTAATAATCAGACACTAATATATAAAAATTACTCATTAAGCTCCTTTTTGTAAAAAAAAAAATGAAATTTAAAGAAATGGTTAAATAAATGAATAGATTGTAGGACTAGGGCAGAATAAATTTTTCCCTCTAGTTCAAGTTCTGAAAGATTAGGTTGATAATCATGATAATGAATTTTCTTTTAATTTAGATTTTCAGAGTGACATCCTTTTATCAATTTTGAAACAGTTTGACCATAAGAGATCAGAAATTGTGGGATTTTATATTGTGTTATTCAGGAAACATTAAAAAAAAATAGCATTATTATGTCGTGAGCTGTTCATCTTCCAAAGATTTTAAGATTTCCGTATGTCCATAACTTTATTCACCATATGAAATGAATGCTATTGTGCAGGATGCCCCATATTTTGTGTTTTGAGACATCCCATTACCGGTACATGTAATCTTTCTCTTCTGTGAATGTGAATGAATAAGAAAAAGTCATTATTTTGATAATCCTAAATCATTTTTGTGTGTGTGTGTCCTCTGCATATAAAGCATCAGTAGCAAACATAACAGTTGGGCTAGATATCATTTAAAATATTTTGTTCTGCTTTCTGCCTTTAGCAAATTAAAACAAGATATGCATTTACATGTATATTGTAATGCTAAAGTTGAAAGTACTGTACACACATGTGTGTCATATTTCTTCTATTGAGAATTCAGATAGGAATTATTTTTACACCCACTTCTCTAGTAATATAAGTATGTATAATACTGGTAGCTTAATCTGAAGCACAATTAATTCTCTTGGATCACAATTTTCTGATCAAATCATACCATGCACACTTTTCATTATTAATAACTACCGGTATACTCAATGGAATAATTCCAAATTAAATGGCATTTAAATAGGAAAAAAACAATAGTGATTAAAAACAACAAAATCAAGCAGGGTCATGATGTACAGATATTTAGTCATGTAGTTATAGCTTTGTTTTCATTAGATGTAAAATGTGTGTAATGTATTGTGCATTGCAAGTAATTTATCATTTAAGGGATTTTGTGCATCACAAACTGAATTTCCAGACAAAAACTGCATTCAGTATGTACTTATTAAATGCAAGAAGATACTAATGTGTATTTTTAAATTTCATTATGTATAGTAGATACATGTATATGGGGTTAATCCCTAAACTTTACTGTATGATATATAGTTTTAAAAAAAACAAGATAATCTAATACAATGCTATGTGCTTAAACCTGGAGATTGCTAGTGACATAATTAGTATTGCTGTAAATAAAGTGTTTGTTTTTTTTTTTGCTTTTTGCTAAGACTTAAGCTCTGCCCTACAATCAGCTATCAGAGCATTCATTACAAAGTGAAGTGTCAATTTTTATACGCCCGTCTTAAGACGGGACGTATTATGTTATAGGCTTCGTGTCCGTCCGTCTGTCCATCTGTCTGTTAGCTTTTTCGTTTCCGGCTCATAACTTTAATACTACTAGGCCTAGGATTATCAGACTTTGTCATCTGATGCATCTTGGGTAGAAGGTGTGTCGCGCAAAAAAAAGTAGGTCGCTCTGACCTTTATTTAAGAAGTTATAACCAAATATGGAAAAATCCTTTCCGGCCCATAACTAGAAAACCATAAGACCCACAATCATCAAACTTGGCCAGTTTATGCATCTTAGGTAGAAGGTGTGTCGCGGCCTATTTCAAGGTCACTGTGACCTTTAATTTAAGTGAATTTTTTTAAAAAAATGTGTCTTTTTACTATTCATTTACACATCCCAAATAATGTAAGAGTATTGCACTGTTCTTATTAAAAAAGTGTTAAATCAAGAAAATACTTATTTTTTTTAAGCATATACTTGACAGCAATCTATAACAAATATAATGTATGTCAGAGAAATCCTGCCTCTCCCATGAGTGTAATTATCAAGCACTGGTCAAGAAGAATTTTGATAACAGAAAATTGCATGTCAAATTAGAGAGAAATTAATGGGTTTTGAGTGTGAGGAGCTAGCATTGATGTTATCTATATCCCTTGAGTATTGGGCAAATGGGTAAGCCTGTTTGATTAAAAATAGCTCTTGTTGACTAGCTTAAGTTTTAAAATGAATTTGATGAAAAGTAATTAAAACTAATTTGATATTGCATAATAGACTAATCTGATATTATGTACATGTAATATTATTAATTTAAAAACTAATTTTTTGGGGTGGGGTGGAATCAGCATGTCCATATGAATTACATATTAAAACCTGTCGGACATTAAATCTCAACCAAAAAAAAAAATCTTTGAGTATTTTATTAAATTTATAGTAGATAGTGCAGACCCATTCATCTCTTGGTAGTAATGAGTAGACAAGCATCCAGTTAAAGATTAATTAATGAGTTCAGTGTAGGAAGGCTAGCTGTCTCAGTCGCTCTAATTAAGCAGTGACCTTATCTGTGCCCTTTGGGATTAGACAGAAGAACTGCTGGTCAGTTTATAACGTATGTCATTTGATGGCCAGCCTTTTCTTTTCAAAATTAATTTGGTATAGATTAAGTTGTTAAGACTAATTTGATGATGGGCATTTGACAAGGTCTAACACAACCAGCACAGAAATCTATCAGTGATGTAATATTTATTATAATTGATGCCTACATCACAGGGGATGGATAAATATTTTAAGGAATGGAAAAATCATCGAAATCTTAGAATCAAGGTTGATGTGATTTTCTTGCACCTAAACTGTTCAAGAAAATTGTAATTTTTTGACGGGCGTATCATGCTGTGGCGCGGCACTTTATTGTTAGACTTGAAGCTCCACTGGAATCCTGACTATTCTCTTCTTTTTCCAATCTTATTATCATATCAGAGACATCAATCATGGTTCTAGTAAAGAAACAAATTAGGAATCCCCAAGCTCAATGTGTGTCATTGTAGCTGACAGAGACATTGGCTAGTTTCTTCGGGAACACTGTTGTTTGTAAATATTCTAGCTGATTGTTCTCCTTCCAGATTGTTGAAATGATCATAGTAAATAATAATTTATCAATGAAAGTTATACCACAAGGGCTTGCCTTATTCTTGAATTCAAAGAGAGGGTTGTTTATTCCAGGTAACGTCCCTGATATATTCCTGTTACACTTACAAGTGGCCCTGTACGGACTTTTCCATCGCTTGTACGGCATGTTTCCTTACACCTTTCTGACCTACCTCAGACACCATTACTGTAAAAAGGAAAATGCCACAGTGTACGAGGAGGCCATCAAAGTATGTATCTCTAGATCTCTTATCAGGGGGTCACATGCTTCATTTTTTAATAAAGTTTAGAAACATTTGTATGACATGTACTTGTAAATAATTCTGAAACTGATTTATTGTACATGTTGATTTTCTGTACAGCCAATGCTTGAGAGAGTACGTCTTCATCCCCACCTCATTAATGGTACAAGAGAAAAAGAAATGGATGCCAAGCGGTATCAACATTTATACCTTTCTGTGCTTAGTCTAGACAACAGCTAAAATTGTTATTATATGGATTAACTGTATGATTATGATCCTTTTCGAAATATTTTTTCTCTAATTAAAATAATTTGTATGTAATTGACTAACTGAATGTTCTTTCTGTAGATGGAAGTCTTTGGAGGATCATGACGTGATTGTCCAGTGTGCCAAGATGTCCCTGGACCAGATTGAGGGGACGTGGGAGGAGATATCCTGTCCTATCGCCTCCTCCCCCTACAAGGCGGCCCTGACCACTGAGGGCAGAAGCAGGAGGAAATCTTCTCTTGGTATGTTGAATCTCCACTAGCTTGTAGCTTTGATGTCCAGTGTCTTGTAAATTGACATCTGGAATATCAGAGATCTGCCCCTAACTCTAGCCTGAAGTCCAACACTTTAGCCCTTACTCTAAGGAAGATGAGCTAGCAGGTTTGACATGACATATATTTGAGTCTCAAGTTTGAATATCTTGAGGTGTAAATTTCTGGTAGCCCTGCAAGTCTGCCATATCTCACATTTAACTGGATATCTCAAAAGCTTCATGAAATCCTGCCATGTTTGAGATATCAAAGTTTGACTGTAGATGAAAAATACAAAACAAATTTGAATGGACACCACATTTCTTCAATTAAAATTGTCTCATTTTGAAATCCACCACCAATGACTAGGACATAAATAGAAAAGGCCTGTGGTAAAAAATTTTCTCTGGTAACAGTATTGCAATTTTAGCATCTAATTATTTTTCAGAAGGGAGAAAGCCAAGAAGTTCAGTGTCTTCCCCACCACAGCTGAGCCCCAATGTGACCTCGCAGGATTTAGGTTCCTTTTGGAGCCCCTCCCTGTCTGTGGGTCTGTCTACCCCTCCCCCTTCACAGCGTACCACCCCAGCCACCAGCGTGTTAGAGAGCAGTCTGACAAGTCTGTACCAGGCACAGCAAGGTATATCCAAGGTCATCTGTACCACCTAAGTGACTCGATGTTACAATTTTTGTCAGTCATCATATATATTTTTATTAGGTGTATATTGATTATGTACAGTTCTTGCTTCTTCATTGTCTTACTGCTATAATGATTCATATTGATATAAAAAATATCTTCACATACAGTCAAATGAATCAAGTCCACATTATTTCCCCTAGAACCAAATTTTGAAGGAATGAAGAAAACTTATCAGTGGTTTTACACATAGACTAAATATTTTGATTAATTCAATAGGAACCAGTGCCAACACCTCTACAACTGCCACTCCGAGAGCCACACCCCCAATATCAGCTGAGGAAGAAAAGGTAAAAAAAGATGATTGTCATAGATGTATGTACATGTACATGTATGGTGGAATAAATAAATAATTGGCAATTTATCAGTAATTGGAGTACAGTTATATATGAATTTAGTTCAACCAATGAATGATCAAGGTGTGCTATGATAACTCTATTGCTTTTCAAAATAACAACCCCAGTATCTTGATATAAATATTTTCAAAGTAAGTTATCTTGGACCTTTAGTTGACAATATCATTTTGTTTCCCTGTTTCATAATATACATGTTAATATCAGGATCTGTTTTATTTAAAATCTTAATTTTGAACTTGTGATTTTACTAACCAGAGCAAAGGAAGGTTGAAAGCTCACAGAGAAATGAAGAAGCTCAGCCTGTCAAGTAAATCCCTCCCAGGGTCAGTAGAGGGTAAAACTAGTTCCTCCAGTGTTCCCCCCTCACCACTCAGGGCAGAGTTTACCACAGAACCACCCAGAGGAATCTTCAAGTCCCTCCCTGTGAAGCAGGCCGCCAGGGAGCTTCAGTTTGACGTGGGGTCCGTCAGGAGAAACATGGGTACCCCAGAACAGATGACAGAGATGGTCCAGGATAGCCCAGTACCAGGGGAGGGGTTACTGAAGGACGCGGAGGTCGATAGGTCAGACCTGATGGAGTCGTATTCTAGAGATGCCATTATGAAAACACAGGCTATTGAAGAGGGTAAGTTGTAAAATATCTGCTTATGAATGGAAATTTTGGCCAGGCATTTTTAATGTGTTGAAGCTTGTAACTTCATGAGAGTTAAAATTTTGCCTGTATTGATAGTGCACATTTTTTTAATGTCGAGTAAGTCACAGTCTTTCAGTAACAGTTAAAATGAATCCTTTAATTTGCTTATCATGCATAGATATAGGTCGCTTATTCTCATAATTTTTGTCCCCCTTAAGGCCCCTTTTAAAATTACACCTCATTGGTCCATCAGTCTGAAATAAAAAAAAAATAAACATAAATAAATGTACCACATTTTTTTATTTATTTGTTGCTAAAATATCAGATTAACTTGATTAATTTATATTACAGACATTGATGACCAGGAGGTGTCTGATCTCACTAAGAATCCGGTTCCCCCCATGTTCCAGACAGCCGAGTCCGTGGCCAAATTCATGAGGAGCGTCAACAGGATCCGATTCAATAGCATGACAAACGAGGTCGAATCAATCCTAGCACTCGAAAAGCACAGCAGCAGTAAAAGCTTCTCTAGATCATGTCCAAACCTACACAAGATGCCAGTCACAGAGGAGGAAGTAGAGGACCATCTGTCAAGGTCAGTCTCCACGACCTTCAGGCAGTGTTCAGAGTCAGATCAGTCAAAGGCCACGGAGGTCAAGGACATTAGAGCGAGAAGGACATCCACTCCCAGTACAGCCCCTGATACATCTAAATCCACCAATGTGACTATAAACCTGTCATCCCATGTGGTCAACAACATCGCGTATCATAGGAAGGACTCTGTAGATAAAGATAAGGATGGTGACTTGATGAGTCTGTTGAAGTCTATCCTGGTCCCGGCCAAGGTCGCTGTGTGTCAGAGATGTAGTGTCCAGTGTCTCACCACAGGGTCTCCATGTAGTAAGTCAGGTAGGAGTTGGTTCATTGAACTTAATAAATTTGTCATGTATATACTGCAACGATTATATCAAAGAACATGCAGTGCTTGTTTAAGATTTTTAGGAACCTTTTTTTATATTTTTAAATTTTTTGTATAAACTGCTTAGCCAGAGTCTCCGATTTACAATTCTGAGCAGAGTTTGATCTTTTTTGTCTGAATATATCTGAATGAGTCAGTATGCAAAACTTTCTTTATCAGAACTTAAGATTCAAGTTTGTTCATCTCAGATTGGCCAATTATTCTATTACATGTGTAAATTGAAGTTTTATAAATGGAAAGTGATACCTTTGCAGATGAAGATATGCCTGTCCCTATATTTGAAACCTACTCACCCCCTGAGCTGCTGGACAGACACCTACAGTTGGGAGGAAATATACACGCCAAACAGCTGAGCAGGATCCCCCTCACAAACCAGGACTCCATCAACTGGACACATTTTGGAGGTAGCTGTTGTTATACTGAGTTTCAGACCTGAACTTTCTTCAGGAGGGAGGAATGATGTGATCAGACTGATTCAGTCTCTGGTGGCCAGGTAGCTCTGTTAGTGGAGCACCTGTGGTTTGAGTCCCTGTCTGGTCCGTCACATTTTCTCCTTTCCCGTAATAATTAATTTCTTTGTTCTTATATTTTGCATTTAAAATAATTTTGTTTTTTTATTTTGTAGGTATGCCCCCTGCAGATGAAGTGAACATTCTCCGTGGACAAATCATTATGATGAAGAATCAGATTTTATATGAAAGAAATAAAAGAGAACTCCATGCTAAAAGAAATAGGCGACTTCTCCGTAAAATCACAACAGCTAATGCACTCGAGGAGCAAACAAAAGCACAGGTAATATATTCAGATAGGACAGGTAGAAAAAGTCTCGGGTAAAACAATCAATTAGGTAGGAAGGTGAACAGGGTCAAGATTTCAGGTAAAATGGTGTCCTGCCAAAACCAGTAACTGTGTAAAACATTCACTGACAGAGGGTACTGTATACAGGGTTATTTTCGCCCTTTCACACTTGAAAACAATTTTGTCCCATTTTAAATTTGCCCAGTTATAGTTTTGTTTAAGAAATTATACTGTATTCTTTGAATTCGTCCCGTTTTAAATTCGCTCAAAGGAAGATAGGGCGAAAGGAGCGAAAATAAAACAGGGGTGAAAATTTCCCTGTGTACAGTACTTGTAGGAGGGTGGTAAGTGGAAAACAATCGGTAAGGACAGGCAGTAAACCCCCTTCTTTTGTTATGATTTAATCATTTAGTACAAGGAAATGGAACATGGATTATCGTATAAGTGTAAATTTTAGTGAGACGCAAATTTAGCGATTTGTCGTTAAAATTTGGTATTTTATTTTTAGCAACATGTAATTTTAGCAATTTTAAAAAGCTCACTAAAGAAGCTATTACAAATAAAGTGCAATTAATTTTTAGCGATATTTAATTTAGCAATCCTGGCACCCTTGCTAATAATGCCAAAATTAAATCCTCACTAAAAATTCTGCTTATACAGTATTTTATCCTATTGTATACAGAAAGAGCAGATCAAGATTCTGGAGACTGAGATCCAGAACTTAAGGCTGTCCATGAAAATTCTCCAGGAAGAAAATCGCAGGCTGAAACAGACCAATGAAAGTAATGAGTATGAGACTCAAGTGAAACTGAGGTAAGTATTTCTTCAGGCATTCATAGTGACATACATACACGTCTAAATGCAAATTTATAAATAATATAAAATAAAAAATATTTAATTTTTAGAAAAAATTAATAGGATGTAAAAATGTCGCAATTATTTGGGGATGGGGGTGAGGTGGTGTTTGTAATAGGACATTGGTGCTCAAAATACTGTTGATGTGCAACTTCCGTGTAATTACATTGAAATACCTGTAGTGCATTTATCTTGAACTATTTTGCAATATAAATACTAAAGTGGTGTAACAATTGACCAATATCATGCACTTGACTTTATAATTCTTCTCTACATAAAACAGTTTTTTAACCCAATTCATAAGTCAATAGTTAGGGCCCCGCAAGGATTTGCGGGTGCCCTATAGTAATCACTCTGTCCGTCCGTCTGTCTGTCTGTCCGTCTGTCACTCTTCCGTCCACAAATTTTCTGTTTTTTTCTAATAACTTTTTTTATGGTTGCCCAATCAAGTTCAAATTTGTTATGGTAGTTCAGTAGGCAGAAATACATATTTTGATGCTAAGTTTGGTTCTCTATGTCTTCTGGTTATGAGCTGGGTTGGTGGGGTAGATTCCTTAACTATGCATAAGAATGAACGGGCAACTTTTTTTATGGTAGCCCAATCAAGTACAAATTTGGTACGGTAGTTCAGTAGGCAGAAATACATATTTTGATGCTAAGTCTGCATGGTTCTCTATGTCCCATGGTTTGGAGCTGGGGTGGTGGGGTAGATTCCTTAACTTTATATAAGAATGCATTGGCAAAGAGAGATAACTGCTGAAGATGTTCCTATTGTAAACTGAATGCTGCTAGGAGTCCCTTGGGATTAATTAGCTTTCCTCCTGAAGAAAATCCAGAGCATTATCTTTATCTGTCACATTGAGATTAATTACCACCTCTGTCTGCAAATGAAGTTTGTTTTGAAGTTAAATCAATTTGGAATGCTATGAACACTCTGAAATGTGGATTTAAATATAAATTTTTATTATTTATTTTTGTTTGATAGAACTTATGATTTCACTGAATTCTAAAAAAGAAGAAATAGATTAAGGAAGATTTTTTGATTGACTTTTTTCACTTTTTTTTAAATATATTAATTCAAGAATATAATTAATTTTTAATGTAGTTGTATAAAAACCCCATTCTATCATTAATACTGAAAAAGTTCTTATTGTAAATTTAGAAGAAAATGATGAGAGAGGTACAATTAATCCCTTGGGATTAATTATCTAGCCTGCTGCAGAAAATTTAGTAGGCTTTTCTTTATCTGTCGCTTTAAGATTAATGAAAACCTTTGTCTGCAACTGCTGTTTGTTTTAAGTTAAGGTCAAGCCTTCATGATATTTGCATTCATTGAAGGCTGGCATTTTATATAACACAAGCTTCATAATTGTTTAAATATACAATCAATGTTAAGTTGTTCTTTACTGCCTAATGCAAATACAAGGATATTATTTTCAGGTTTTTGAATATTCAGGAATTATCTTGAAATTTTAAGAATACAGTTGGTGTTGCTTATTCTTCATACATTTATTAATCATTCTGTAAGCTGCACCCTTTTAATTCTACCCCATGGTGGGGCCCTTGCTGACTGGTCAGTTTTCTAGTTAAAACTGTGGTAATGAGAAAAGTTTATCATATAGTACATGTATTATAAACTAGAACTGATCTCACCCCTTCAGTCTTGAATGTGTCTAAGATCTGAAACATGCAAGTTGACATAATAAAAGGCTATATTACTACTGAAGAATTGTTAAGTGTAGTCTTAGATAATAATCTGTCCTTGATTCAAATAACATTTTTAGCTCACCTCGACGAAGTCGAGATGAGCTTATGCTATACTCCCCGCGTCAGAGTTGGTGTTAGCGTCGGTGTCCCAGTTAGAGTTTTAGGAGCAGGTCCAATCCCAAGTAACTATCAGCCCTACCCAGACCAAACTTGCATGGATGATGCATCTAGGAATGGACACTACCAGACTTGCTTCGGATGCTGGATCTGACCTACATTTTCCAAACGAGTGACCAGGTTAAAGTTGAGAAGCAGGTCCATTCCCAAGTAACTATAAGCCCTACCCGGACCTAACTTGCATGGAGGATACATTTAGGGATGGACACTACCAGACTTGCTTCTGATGCTGGATCTGACGTAGTTTTTGGAACAGGTCAATCCCCAACGAACTTTACGACCTATTTAAACAGAACTTGCTTGAATATTGTTGTCAGGATAAATAATAACTCTTAAGAAAATATGATTGAGATTTGCATTACTTAACTGATAACATTCGTAGAGGTGAGCTTTGTAATCTTTACCTATGTTATTAATGATTTAATTGGATAGATAACTGAAAACGATAAACATACCAATTTAAAGAGATTAGAGGGATTCATTTGTAATTATTAAAGAATAGAGTACTATCAGTAATTTACACTAAACAAAACTGACCAGTTACCCCATGGTCTCTATCCTTAGAGCCATTACCTCCCTCCAAGTCAGTTTAAATTTTGTTAAACGCTAAATAATCAACCCTAAGTGCAGAAATTTATTATTTTAGAATGAATATTGAGAAAATTGAGTTCAATTTCATGTATGTTTTTTTTTCCCGACTAACCGATTACAGATTTTCTAACCAATTGCCGTTGTTCCGACCGAGTAATCGGTTAATCGGTTACAAACTGCCATCCCTACTAGATTTTAATGTTGTTTTAGGGCTTGCTTGAGTGAGTTAGATGAGCTTCGACTGGCCAAGACAGAGATGAACACATTGTTGATAAGACAGAGGGAGGATCAAGATGCCCTGAAAGCTGTGAGTAACTTATCCTAATTTTTTTTCATGTATGTTAACATCTAAATTACAGTCATAATCTCTGACCACATGGTATTCTTGTAGAAGCTGCAAAGTACAGAAGCTCAGCTCTTTCAGGAACAGAGAGTGAATCAACACCTGAAGGAACAAGTCCAGGTGACACAGAGGCTCAAAGAACAGGTAGAGGATGCTTAGTTTGTACAAGCTGTTTCTTCTAAGTTTGCATCTAACATTGTCATTGTAAGGAAGTTCATGTATTTGAGAGTTTCTATCAATTTCTGGATTTATAGTATACCTTAGGTGGAATTACCCTTACAGATACAATATACCGGTAGTTTTGCCCTTCTTTTAACTGAATTTTTAAATTTAATTTTTTTTAATTAAACTTTATTTTGGCATAGTTACCCAAGACAATCTGTTTGCAGAAAGTTTATTCTCGCATACATACATGTATACTCGATTCTCATTATATCGCGGGTTTCATTGTGTCGCGGTATATTCCAAAAGATCAGATACATAGCTCATATGCTTTTTGTTGAAAAAAATAGCAGTCTGTCATCTGAATGTAAATTTTTGTGATGATTAAAAAGTATGGAAAATGCGTCAGAAAAAAATTATTCAAATAAAACGTAGTTTTACAGAAATCAATCTCCGTTTTTATTATTTTTAGCCCACTGAGTTTTTATCTAGTAAAATCCATATAAAGTTCATGTTTTGAAAGTCTTAAGTATGTATAATTGTTTATTTTCTTATGTTAAATTACATGGTAAAATAAAAAATAAGAATTGAAGTCCATGTCAACCTCAAGTTTCCATGTTGATCCATACCACGATACTATGAGACTCTCCAATTTAGGAGGTAAATGAGACTTCCTGTTTTAAAAATAGACTACAACTTAGACGATGCAAGCTTGGGAAATAATTTGATACTAAAAAGTTAGGCCATAGTTTGCTTTATTAATATCATATGATGAAAGTTAAATTTAAAAAATCAAATTACACTTTTTTATGCAAAAGATTTAAGTAACGCGATATACTGAGACACCTGTATACAACATGTATATACATGCATTCATATTATTTAAGGGTTCATGTGTAGAGATCAATGATCATCAAAGTTTTCCATTCACAATTTTTATCAGGAACACATGTACTGATAATCAAACTTTGAACACTTCAGTACATTTAATGTCAAACACTTTTACAGAAAATGGGTTTAGATTCAAATATTTACATTACAAATGTTTTTGCATATAAAGTGAATGGAAATCTTGCATTCAAAACCCCATAACACTGAAAGGGATCAAAAGGTTTAAGATGATGTTTTAGTTTGACGTCACAAACGTTGAAGGCTGTGGAAGTGCAAAGTCATTCAAGCAAAAATCAAATATTACACTCACTTTGAACATGAGCTGTTGCTTTGCCTCTTCCATTGACTGGAACTAACCTGAACGATAGTACAGGAATATAAATCACATTTGCATTTTGCAATGAAAGGCAATATGAGCTAAAAATGTAAATACTGTGAAATCACTAATTTTCTTGGTGGTTTAATTTTCGGTGTTTTCGAGGAATCAAAAGACCCAGGAATTTATGACCACCACGAAATGTACAATTTCATATGCATTTACTTCTAAACATTTTCCAACATGAAATTAAATCCCCACAAACCAGAATTATTTCCTCAGACCTAAAAAATTTGACCCCTTGAAAATATGCGATTTTACAGTATAATAATGCATGTTATTCAATTTGTTTGCACACACCATTGCAGTTATGAGACTATATCTTTCAAAAAATAATGATTTATTGCTTAAATCTTTTCTGTTATAGGTGCTACAGTTACACAAGGAACTGTTATTGATGGGAGAACTTCAGGGTAAATACGAGACCAAGCTCAATGTCATCAGGAACAGTCACCACGCCAAGCCGGAGCAGGAGAACATGATTAGCACGCTGAGGGCCGAAAATAAAGGTACAAAATGATTTATCTGGACAGGTGATCAAACAATATAAAACCAGAACAGGAGAACATGATAAGCATGCTGAGGGCTGGAAACAAAGGTATGAAATGACTTATCTGGTGATCAAACAGTATAAAGCTAGAACAATAGAACATGATAAGCATGCTGAGGGCCGAAAAATAAAGGTACTGAATGATTTATCTGGTGATCAAACAATATAAAGCCAGACAAGAGAACATGATAAGCCCACTGAGGGCTGAAAATAAAGGTACAGAATGATTTACCCATATAATTACAAGCTATAAGGTAATTGTCTAGGTAGTAAACAACATCAGATGCATGTGCTTGTCTTGTTTCTTCAGAGTAAGATAAATGTTTGTGTAGGTAGGATATAATACATACAATCATGTACAAGAACATCGCACAAAAAAGATGTGCTAGGATACAAGCTTCAGTATTCTAGACCCCAGTATGCCTGACACTTCATCTTCTAAGTGTGTGAGAAACAGTATTTACAATTCTACAGTATATACGAGGGGTGATCAAAAAGTTCGCAAACTAATTGAATAACTTCCATACAAGAAACAATATTTGGTTTTAATGTTGATTATATTTTAAATTAATCCTCCCCGATTTTAACCAACCACCGTTCTGCGCATGCGCGAATCACGTGATATTGGCGGTCACGTGACCCCCTACGTAGCGTTCTGTCACAAAAGTTAAAAGATTTTTCCGAGTTTTATATTTCTTTCCATGTGAGTAAATTTTTATGACAAGAACAGTTAATTTGTCAGAAATGGTCATATCTCGGCAACAGAATGGGTGGATAATAACATCCTTTCCAAAAATAAGCATGGCGACCATTAAAACACAAATCTTCTGTCTCAGGAGAGACCTTTATTCAAGGTAGATAGAGAGTGGGTGCATCCTTTTTATCATATCTAATATGTTTAAATTCTAAAGTAAACGATATCTTAGGTATTTAATACTTATATCATTGTTCAAATATTCAACTATTTTTCAAAGTGCTAATTGGAGGTCTTTGATAGCAAATTGCTTAATTAAAAATACATATCTTTTCAAACTTGCTTTCACTGGGCAAGATGACAAGTATCATTTTTAACCAACAGCCTTCCTTCACTAAAACAATTAATCCAATCATTAATTGAATTTATAGGAACTCATTTATCTCAATAAACTGTGTACAAATTATTATATGACACTGTAGAGGGATTTCTAAGATATTACAGTAAATTGTACAGTCGTATGTTGAACGAGTTCGACTGAGACAACCATTTTTCGTCACAAGTGACTTAAGGTAAGGTTTGCGTTAACAGGGAGATAACTCTTGCGAATCACCAAAGCGTTTGAAACAGGCGAATTTAAACCAGCGATGCTAAGCATCTCGGTAACGAATTTCCTTTATCATACTTGATGTTTGTTGTCACTTATTGTTAGGACTAAGAACAAAGGACGTTTTCAGGAGAAAGTCTTATAGTTATAACAAATCAAAGCATAGGAATCTTAGAAGCCTTTAAGATTAGCGTGATGCATGTGGATGAACCAATAAACAGTCTAGACGAACTCCAAAAACGGCGTTAACGGAAGTGAGAATTTCAGTCTAGAAAAGACTCCGAAAAAAGAGTCCCGTGCATGCGCAGTTATATCAAAACACAGTGAAAAGTCGTGAAAAGTGGGCTCTTACAAAAAGTGCTTTTGCAAAAAATTGGATTACCTTACAATAATGTAAGTACTCAGAAATGATTAATAATAAATGGTTTTAGAGAATGTTAGAATTTTGATTTCATGTGCAAATAGTTTTTAATTTCAATTCAAAGTTGACCAACTTCGAGGTTCAGCCAGACATCGTAGAAGTAGGACACATCGTAGAAGTAGGACACAAAATACAAATTAAACAGTCGTAATCTTATGAAAACATCTCTGTGGTTGAATTTTTGTTTAAAGTGACTAAGTTAGTCATTTTAGAACTACTTTTACTGATTTTAGAAGTTTATTTTGTAAGTAAGGAACGCTGGTGAATTTTCAGTTCGAATTTCCTCTGTTTTTCATGTCTATCGTGTACGAATGAATTTCAGCATGTTTAGATCGCCAATGAGCAACTGCATTGTAAATACATCTTACCAATAATTAAAAAGGTACTGAATTGATGATTTTAATCATAAATAAGAGTCGATCAGGTGACAGTTACATGAGAATCAATTCAGATTCCACATTTCCTCCGAGGCTTTTTTGAAGAAAGTTTTCAAGAAATGTTATCACCATCGCTATATACGAAATGTTTTGAATATGAATAGATATAATCATGAAAACGTTTTCAAAATCATAATTTATGAGTTTAAGAACTAAAAAAATCATTCTTTTAAATTACGGTTAAAAAGTCTTCTCAAATCGAACCTGTTAATATATATCTGCTCTGCCGCCAAAGTTGTGCGGTTTTTCATTAAAAAAAACGATATATAATTAAGTGTCTTAGAAATAAAATTTAAGCATCTTTATAGTAGGAATGGCTTTAAATTTAAATCAACGGGACAATAAATAAAGTTAGAAAATTAATTCTTACCGACATTATTGAACCCTGGTGTCATACGTATATCCCAAATCACTATTATGCAAGAATACAGAGCAATAAATAAGCCAATAACCACTGAATACTTGAATGGGTACAATTATTTATTCAACAAAAATTGAAATCCAGTCACAATTCACTAAATACAGCCATTATTCAGTCGTATATGTGGAGAAAGCGAACGACAATCCATCGTTTGTTTACATCGGAAGCCATTTTTCCGCAATGCATGACGGAGCCAAAGACTTCTTTTTTGGAGTTCACGCCGTTTTTGGAGTTCGTCTACACTGATAAAGGAGGACTTGTTTATTTTCGATACGAAACGTGGCAAGTTGCACGGCAATTCCGATCAGAAGAAAGTCATTGACGCATTTGTGCTGATGTGTGTTTCTCGCTTCACCACTACACTAAAATTTTAAGTGAGAATGGGAAAGAAAAAAGAAAAGACCTGAGAGTATCCTGTAAAGTATTATGCTATATGCAGTCCGAACAGGGAAGAAAAGTCACGGTGCATTTGACCATGTCCAATGATGATGTTGACAGTTTGATTGTTGATAGTATTTTCATCAGGTAATTATTTAACTATTCATTTTACTGAAAGTTATGAATGATCTTCTGACTACGGATTTAAAAACGATGAATAAACGGTACAAGGATGTCAGGATGTGACTAATATCCCAACATTGCCAAAAAATAAAAAAAAAATGCATTCATTCAAGAAATTATGAAAAATAAAATCCTTGCTTTTTAGGCCTCGGAACAGGTATTCAATTGTTCAAGTTACCTTTTTAAATGAGTTTTGATTTTAATTAATATCTCATTTTCTAATTAATAAAAAAGAGATACAGATTGTGCATTTTGTACATTAGTTTTCTTGATCAAGCATTTGCATTTCACTGATTCAATCTGTAAATTTTACAATAATTTCATATTGATTCTTCATTCATTATATTGGAAATTTACTCATTTCATTGAGTGAATGAAACTCAGTGCAATTCCTTATGCTATTCAAAAAATGCAATTCCTTTTAATGTTATTGTAAAAATGAACACATGTGATTTCAGATCATGGGTCATTAATTGGAATAGATAACCAAAAAAAAAAAATACTTCAGTGTTTCCTTAAAAGATTTGTGCCATCAATCAAAGTAGAGGTCATCCCATATCAGCTCAAGAATATTAAAGAAAGTTGGATGGATCAAGCTAAGATGTTGAACCAGACATGGCAAAATCAATGGAGATTTGGAGAAGAACTTCTGACTTGTTATACCCAATGCATATTTTTATATGTCTATAGATTATAGAAGAAAATTTAATGTTTAACATCATCCTATCTAGTATATACATGCTGTTTTCCATATATTTAGAAAAGATGTGTATGCGATGATTGCAGTTCATGCTCTGCTTGTCCATCTTTGAATTTGTTTTCAGTAAAATAAATGTATACATCATAGGTATTAATTTAAGGTTGCTTTTGTCTATACTTACATGTAACAAGTTTCTTAAAAGGGGTTTGTAAAATTGCAAGGAAATTAATACATGAACAATTAAGATTAATATTTTTATTCATTTAATTTTGTTCTTACCAGGACCTAAAATGCTCAAATAAGTATTTCTGAAAACTGATGAGTTTTGTATATAAAGCTGCAGTGAACATGTATAATTATATCTACTGTAACAGTTTAAAACATGACACTTGGCAATTGTAAGGTTGTTAATTTAGTAGGAATGATAAGACCAATTTAGTAATCTAATAAAATTAAAAATGTTTCACAAATACATGTAGTTTATTTTAAAATTGTTTACATTTATAATTTTTTAATTTTTTTTCTGTATTTTGATTTTAAAAAGCAGAAAATTTTATCATATTTAAATTATTATTTCATGGATATCAAGGAAATATATCTATCACTGTAGCATTGTTTCTTTTTCCCTTATCTTGACAAATATTTATCATAATGACAGTGTTATGTCATTTTGCAGAATTTGCCTTTTCTCTGAAATCAGAAGTACTCTGTAAACTCATTAAAGTATGAATTGATGTCAATTAGAATTCATGTTTATTTTGTTCTGTCTGATATTTCAATTTAGATTCTAAGACTATCTTATCCAATGATTGAGCTAATGTCCATGAAGTGTAGAAATAGGCCATCTTTAAAAAATGTTTGGTTGTCGGCCTCTCCAGACCAACTGACTAAAATGACCAGACTGAAAACTTTTTTTTCAATGCAGGGCAGTATTTTTTTCTTTTTATTCCTCTTATCCCCCTTAAAAAATGTTGTTGAAGATTTTCTCACCTACTGACCCAATAATTTTATCCTGAGTCAAGAGAGGGCAAACAAAATTACTTTAAAGATAGCATTTCTACTCTTCGAAGTAAAGAAATGATTTAATTATAAAAACAGCAGCTTCGTGGATGCAATGCTTACAACATTTCACTCAAAAAATGGCATACATGTATAATGACAGTCACCAACCATAACTGAATAAAGATATTTTGCTACAAAGATGTCTAGAAGTTACTACATGTTGGAATAACTAATCAGCATGAGGTCAAATTCATAGGCTTTTAATTGGTTTAGTTGCAACATGTTCTGAAGTATGTTTATATACATGTACTTCTAAAGGTGTTGCAGTATAATTCATTGACAATTTCATCAGAATATGCAGATGTAAAGATTGCCATAAATACTAGAGTTCTTCCATGGAATAAATTTTTAGACCATCATGTAGCACAGGAGGAGTTTTATTTTGAATATTTTTGGCCAATTTATGCCTAAAAACAATATCAAAAATAACATTTAGTCTGTAACATTCACCATGACAAGGTGATATCAATGTTGTCTTTAAAAGTGTAGAAAAATCCTGATTTTTATGTTCCGAACCCATAATATAGCCCCTTTTTCCATGGAAATAATATTGGGGACATACATATTTTTTTAGTTCAAATTAATGAAAATGATCAAATTAATAACTTCATGGATTTTGATGGAATCGGTAGATATGTAAAACGTTGGTTTTTATATTTTTGTTGCCATGGCAACGGTTTCACTTTATCAAGGAAAATTGAAAAATCTTCTTTTTTACCCAAATTTTCACATTTTTGATAAAGGAAAATTAAAAGTTTAAATAATAGAAGCATGAATTATACTAATTCCGGTCATTTTGATTATAAAAGTTTGATAATTTATAAAATAAATCAATTTTTCCAATGAAAATAATATTCTCGGTGAAATATGAAATACGTTAAATTTGGCGTCTTTTACTAAAAAAATGAGACGGGCAATATCTTTGAAAATCATATTGAATGATGAAGCTAATCTCCCTGAATAAATTGATATATAGCATGTGTGCATATTAAAAAAAATATGAGTTGGAGGGAGACGCAAACCTTACCTTAAATAGTGACGTCATTTTCACATTGTGACATCACAAACAAGGAGAGAAACTTTATTCAGCATATGCTATTTATAGACCTTGTGTATGGCTATGTGTGTACCGAATTTCATTCTAATCTGAATCGTGGTTTTGTAGATATAGATATAGTTTGCGAACTTTTTGATCACCCCTCGTACTAAATAGAAAATACAGGTTTTAGTAATCTGAATGTTTTAGTAATCTGAATGCTTGGGAACATAAGTGTCCTGTTAGTAAGGCTTGACTGTATATCAGAGGCTTGGATGGCTAATTTTTAGTCAAAATTTGTCCATTGTCTGTCGTCGTAAACTTTTCACATTTTCATCTTCTTCTCTAGAACCACTGGGCCAATTTCAACCAAACTTGGCACAAAGTATCCTTGGATGAAGGGGATTCAAATGTTCAAATGAGGGGCCACGCCCTTTTCCAAGGGGAGATTATTATGAATTAGTGAAAAATTAATAGCATTTTTAAAAAATCTTCTTCTCAAGAACCACTTGGCCAAGAAAGATGAAACTTGTGTTGAAGCATCCTCAGGTAATGTAAATTCAGATTTGTTCAAATCATGACCCCCCGGGGTAGGGTGTGGCCAAAATGGCCGATCAAAGTTTTACATAGGAATATATTGGAAAAATCTTTAAAAATCTTCTTCTCAAGAATCACTGGGCCAGGAAAGATGAAACTCATGTGGAATCATCCTCAGGTAGTGTAGATTGAAGTTTATACAAATCATGACCCCCGGGGGTAGGGTGGGGCCAAAATGGCCGATCAAAGTTTTACATAGGAGTATATTGGAAAAATCTTTAAAAATCTTCTTCTCAAGAACCACTGGGCCAGGAAAGATGAAACTCATGTGGAATCATCCTCAGGTAGTGTAGATTGAAGTTTTTACAAATTATGACCCCCAGGGGTAGGGTGGGGCCAAAATGGCCGATCAAAGTTTTACATAGGAATATATTGGAAAAATCTTTAAAAATCTTCTTCTCAAGAACCACTGGGCCAGGAAAGATGAAACTCAAGTGAAATCATCCTCAGGAGTGTAGATCGAAATTCGTACAAATCATGACCCCCGGGGGTAGGGTGGGGCCAAAATGGCCGATCAAAGTTTTACATAGGAATATCTAGGGAAACCTTTTAAAATCTTCTTTTCAAGTACATTAAAGCCATGCTTAGTGATATTTATAGGGAATCATCTTAGGTAGTGTAGATTCAAGTTTGTTAAAATCATGACCCCCTGGGGGGTTAAAATTCATGCCCCCTCCCCCCTCAGTTGTGATCTGATGTGTGCTTTTTCTTAGCCAATTACTCAGGTGAGCGATGTGGCCCCTGGGCCTCTTGTTGTAACATGTTTGGGTGGATATGGATTGGAAATAACACCACAGATTGTGCAACACAGTCATTATATGAACGAATCTTTCCCTGTGCAGTGCCATTGCTTCAAACAGAGATAACAGCCTTTGAAGTTTCTATATATATATCTATTTATTTTCAAAGCTCTGCGGGAGAAAATGAAAACAAATAGACTGAGTCTAGAAGGCTTTGGGAAGAGGGTCCAGGAATTGGAGGGCAATCTACAAAATAAAGTGAGTACAAAGAAATTGGCCGGAAGAGATAAAATTTCTGATTAGAAAACATTTTAAACAATAAAAAATGCTGAAAGGGACTTAAAATTTACATCTTAATTGACAAGATTTTTGATTACACAACATCCATGATAATTTGAAGTTTTAGTTTATTTACTATTAGTTATTAGTAATCAGTTTACCACTCTCTTTATCCTTGTAGCAACTGACCATTGAAGAGCTGCAAAGGCAACTACATTATGCCAAAATTTGTCAGCAGGATGAAATTAAGGTATGTTTTGAATTTGATCTGATACACCTGTACAATTATTATTACCCAGCTTTGAATCCGTCGTTTTTACTATTGATTTTACACAATCATGTGACTTTGTGATCCGACTTAAGAATTTTTAAATGTGTTGTTTGTTCCCTATATCATTTAAAATGTGCCTATTGTTCCTTAGACCAATATATGTAAATGTGCCCATTTTAGGCTGTGGAGGATAAATACAACAGCATATGCAGCATTAACCAGAGACTGGAGGGGCAAATTATGTCCCTCTATGGTCAGATAGACCAACTGCAACAGCCTAAACAGGCCAAAAGTAAGTAGTATTACTACCATATCAATGTATAGACAAATAGACCAACTGCAACAGCCAAAACAGGTCAAAAGTAAGTAGTATTACCACCACATCATTGTATAGACAGATAGACCAACTACAACAGCCAAAACAGGCCAAAAGTAAGTAGTATTACCACCACATCATTGTATAGACATACCAATTGACAAACTAAAGCAGTCAAAACAGCCCAAAGGAAGTAACATTTACCCACCATATCATTTTATACAAGTTCATGTACTCTGTTTATTATAACATTATATATAGGTAGATATCATAAATAAAGCTGGGTAGAACTGCAATAAACTATTTTATTTTACTTTTACATGTAATACAGTATTAAGAGACATGTCTTAGGGATTTTTATTTTATTATTAGGCTGAAATCTCACAAAATAGGTAACTTCTAGCTTAAAGTTTATAGCAAGTTTTATAAAATGGAACAATAAAAATGCATGCAAATATATCTGAAACATGCTTTTAAAAAAATTTTTATTGTCTAAAGAACTTTTACAGTTACTGGTATGTCTTTTGAGCATGTCTTTAAATTATACAAGAAACATTTTCTGCCTCTCATTCTTTAATTGCAGCAGTTTGATCCTTATTAAATCTCGGTATTACTAACTTTATTTCTTCATAAAATGAAAAACAACTTTTAATATTTAACTATAAAAGCCTGTTTGCTTGCTGTCCAAAAGAGGTACACATATTTGACTTTAAGGTCAGTGGTCAAGGTTATATGTGGTTATATTTGTCAGATTTGTTAAATGCTAATAAACCCACATGTGAAATATCATACCTTGGACATGATTACATGTGAAAACCAAGAAAGATGAAGAAATAGAACAAAGCAAATCAGACAAGTTCTAGGACCAGGCAAACAAAAACTAGAATAAAGCTCATTTTTCCTTCAAGTGGAGAGATTGGTAGAATGTCTCCTAAAATTAAGTGTTTACCTGTCTCCTTTGTTAATATAGCTGTAAGAGGATACCGTTACTGGTTCAGTATTTATATCCTTAATTACATAGATTTGGACATCCAACATACATGTATTTAACCCTATACGATTCCAGTCTCATATTGCTACTTTGATCTTTCGAAGCTGTTGGAGAAAACTTACTGATTCAAAGGTCAGAATCTCAAGATTCAAAGGCAGTGATAAATGATACTTTGTACTGGATCTAATATAAAATATTAATACCCTATATTCGGAGACAGTACCCAAGAACTTGTGAAAAAAAAATGAAGCATGCATTGCACCAGCTCTTGTAAATCTGTATCAAGTGATGCTGCGATCATTCAAGAATCATTCCTGCACAAGTTAATTACTCGGTAACAAATACCATCATCACTCCATCTCTTTGCAGCATATCTCTTAATTTCAAGTCTTTGCATGAAAAACTTCAAAATATGTATTTATATCCATATGTTATTGTAATTACAGTAATAAAACAAAGTGTTTAAAAACAAAACACCTACAAGTTTCAAATTAAAATAAAAAGTACATCATTGAAATGACAAGATGCCTAATTTAACAAAGCATTTGTTGTTTACTTGTATCAATATTGTATATTTATTAAGCATGTTAAAATGAATATTAATATTCACTGTTTACAGTTTCCATTCCACAACACCACCATGTATCAGATGATAGCACACCCAGAGAGAGAACAGGATCTGTGCCCTCCAAGCCCCCCAGCGTCAAACCTCTACTTACAAAGATCAGTAGTGTCCCCTTAGGATGTGGACTGGCAGGTCCCCCACCCACAGGGGTCAGGACAGGTCAGGAGGGGTCAAGGTCACACCATTCAGACACAGGGAAGTCAAGGTCGGAGGTGACAGGAGCACACCTGAGTGGGCGGACAGAACGGTCAGAGGATGCTGTGTCTGTATCCTCCACGGAATCGATGGGGTCCTCTGGGGTCAGGCGGGGGAATATACTCCACAGTGATGGAGAGGAAAAGTCACTGTCCTCTAAAGACAGTGGTTATAATAAATGACTGCCATGTGTTCCAGCTTTTGTAATGGTCTTTCTTAAAAAGAACTTAGAGTTTATGTTTTGATAATGTTAACCATGATGTCTTTAGAAATTAACACAGTTAAAAATGTTTTATGATCATACTGGAAACTAGCATTTATTGCCAGACTAGAAATATTCATGATTTTTGCATTCTTCTTTTATGCTATCATTTGTGTGTAACTCGATCTGCCTGCTTTATAAGTTGTATGCCAGCATGCTTAATTTGCATTACTGGAATAATGTGTGTGTACAAGTGTACTGCAAAACAGTTTATGATGATTTATAAGTAATTGATGGCTCTGTTGCTAGTTTATTATACATCTAATGAGATGCTGGTTTGTGACCAGTCTATACAGAGACATCTCTACTTCTGTGTATGTGAGATCCACACATAAAAAGGGTAATTTTGAACTTACAATCAAAACTTTTTATGTAGATGATACTTTTCTAGTTAAAGAGTCAGTGGCCAATTAAATCTATTGATATTTCTTAGAAATATGAACAATTATAAAGATCAGGGAACCTTCAATCTTAATGTACTAACACAGAGATATAGCCAGTGGAAGAAATGTATTTTAGAATGATTTATTATGAAGTCAGTGCTATTGGTGTTTGATTTTAGAACAATATTTAATATGTGCCATATATAATATCATGGAAAGGTCAAGGTCATAGACAGTGATCAGTTTAAGGCTGTGTGTACAATTTGAAGTTTTCCTTGACATTTCCTTTTCATAAAGAGAAGATAATCTAGTTGACAAGGAAAGAGGATTTAAATAAATGTGTAGTGAAATATTGGAGAGAATGGAAGATTATTATTATGTGAATGTTCAGTACCAATGATATAAAAATCTAGTCAGTGGACTTTTTGCCAGCAGTATTTGTATGTTATAGCATTTTAAAAATGTTTGTTATAATTAAGACAAATAAAAGGTACAGATTTGATGTTTTTTGTGCATATTTCATATTTACACATATTTGCAGATCAATTGCAACTTCTCAGGCCTTTCTGACAAGTGGAAAAACAACCTCAAATGTATTATGTAGATGCCATGACAACCCCCTTTTCACAAAATTTGAAATAAACGTGGGAGGACCTCTTATCTCTGGTGTATGGAGTTAAACTTTATTCAAAGTAAAGATATTTACCTAAAGTACACTTTAGAAGGGATTTGTTACTCTGTCTAACCTATATTTAATAAACAGGAAGATGTATAAATTTTTAACATCCGGTGATTGTTTTTTCTGACCTCTGACGGAAAGACCAGAGATGATGCCATTGATTTGCAGATATGGATATACAGCAGTTACAGATAGATAGTATTTGAGAGTTATTTATCAGTAATATTGAATTTTTGCCATTGGATCCTACAAGTTCTCTATTAATATGTGCCATACAATTTGGCAAGGATTATATCTCTACTTTAAGGGTTAAGAAATGAACCTCAAGCACATTTAAATATGTTTCTTGAAGAGATTTCTGAAGGAGCTGAACTTGAAAATCCCATTTCATTGATTTTAACTTAAATATATTGGGATTTATCAGGATTTTAATTTGACATGTGGATAACCTGTGACATGACCTTTCAGAAAGACCAATCATTTTTTACAATCATGAATTTGACCTTGAAATATTTTATTATGTTGAAAGTTGCAGTAAACAAGCAAATTCAAAGAAAGTTGGATAGGCAAAAATTTTTTATATATTCTTGAACAAATCTTTGAAATTATCACCGAAGTTGATTTTTTTTTTTTTAAATCAGGTCAATCGTGAAAAGGTAATGATTAACACTCACAGGTAATGCACATGTCATATATGAAAGCCCTATCTCTTCTCAATATAATGTTTGTTTGAATGGCAACATAACGAAGATTAAAATTTTTTTGAATGCAAATTAAATATATTATTACCCAAAGTGGGGTTTTTCTCACAAGAAATATGATGTGAAATACAAAATCCCTAGCACCACCTGTTCAAAATTTATAGTCGAGGATAAATTTTTTTTCCAACGTGAAAGGGTCTGAATTGTTGGTTTCTTAAGAAAGGTCTTGTCACAAATAATACATATGTGAAGGATGAAAACCCTAATCCTAACCATTAAAAAGTTATGGCAAAAATTGAAGTTTTTTACAAAGTAGGTCAACTCCAAGGTCAAGATCAAAGGGTCAAAGTTGTTGATATCCAATGAAAGGTCTTCTCACAAGGATTATATATGTGAAGTATGAAAGCCCTAGCCCTTACCATTCAAAAGTTTTGACCAAAGTTAAAGTTTTTTCATAAGTACAGAGATGTCCAAGGTCAAAAGGTCAAAGTTGTCGGTATCCAATGAAAGGTCTTGCCACAAAGAGTACATAAGTGAAATATGAAAGTCCTAGTATCTACCGTTCAGAAGTTGTGACCAAGGTTAAGTCCTAGTATCTACCGTTCAGAAGTTGTGACCAAGGTTAAAGTTTTTTAAAAAATAGTTAAAACTCCAAGATCAAGGTCAAAGGGTAAAAGTCCTTGGTATCCAATGGAAGGCCTTCTCGCAAGGATTACATATGTGAAGTATGAAAGCCCTAGCCCTCATCGTTCAAAAGTTATGCAAGGTTAAAGTTTTCTCATAAGTACGTAAATCTCCAAGGTCAAGTCAAAAGGTCAAAGTTGTTGGTATCCAATAAAAGGTCTTGCCACAAAGAATACATATGTGAAAAATAAAAGTCCTAGTATCTGCCGTTTAAAAGTTGTGACCAAGGTTAAAGTTTTTAAAAAGTAGTTAAAATTCCAAGGTCAAGGTCAAAGGGTAAAAGTTCTTGGTATCCATGAAAAGGTCTTCTCACAAGGATTACATATCTGAAGTACGAAAGCCTTAGCGCTTACCGTTCAAAAGTTATGGTCAAGGTTAAAGTTTTTTCATAAGTATGTAAATCTCCAATGTCAAGGTCAAAAGGTCAAGGTTGTCGGTATCTAATGAAAGGTCTTGTCACAAAGAATACATATGTGAAATATAAAAGTCCCAGTACCCACCATTTAAAAGTTATGGCCAAAGTAAAAGTTTAGAATTTTTGTTTAAAAGTGGGTCAAACTAGGTGCAAATTTGGTGGTACCCAAAGAAAACACAAACGTGTGAAATATTGTATATATAAGTTAACAAGGTTAAAGTTTTTGTGAAAAATAGACAGGTTCATGTCCCCCTCGCTTTCGCGAAAGCGGGGGACAAGGAAATATGGCAATAATAACTGTTTGAGGAATTTTTTTAACAGTTTTATTCAAAAATATATCAATGGACAGTCAATTTGAATTCAATAAAAACCTTTTGCTATGTACATGTGAAATATCACTCCATAAACAATTTAAATGTATACTTTTTTACATTCTGTAAAATAAAAACAGTATGTATATTTTTCACACAATAATAAAAGTTGATAAATAAGTCTCAGATTTTAATGTTCTCCATGTCCTCTTGGAGTTGTCTTTCTCTCTCCTCCTTCATTGCTTTACCGTGTTTTTTCGTTATATTATAAGGCAGTAACTCTGGGTTTAAGATTTTAAACGGAACGTCTGTCTTTTCTGCCTCCTCAGACTTGTTTAGCAGAGATCTGTAATAGTCCATGTCATATCCCCGGAACGGAAAGTTACCCTCCATGTACCCTGTCAAATATTCAACAATCAGATTTAATCATTCTTCCTTTGCTTCATCAGCCAGTGGATTTAGTATCCATGAAGTCAATCAAAATTCCTCTGAAGACATAAATTATGTAAATGTACTTTGTGCATCCCCCCACTGTCCCAAAAATACAGCAAAAATTAGTATGGTAATCTCAATAAGCTAAAAATATTGCATTTCAAATTAACTTGTAGCTTAATCAACATATGATAAGTGTGTGTTGAATACTGATTGTACATGTATTAGATAATGCTTACCACTCTCTATAGCCAGTTCTGTCTCCCTGATGAGATTTCTCTGCTGTTTATAACAAACTCCTGTCTTCCTGTTGTCGGAGACCTTGATTGAGTTGGCATCTAGAAACTCCTTTAGCAGTCTAGGATGCTGAAAAAGGAGCAGAAATACACATATGAATTCGTACATTACTCATTTAACCAGTTATAATTTAAATGGTGCATTGTGCATCAAAGGTTTCAGAATAGTAATGGGCATAATGGCTCACCCTGTGGTCAACCACCAGATAAACATCTCGGCACACAGGACATGGGTTGTTTGTCAGGAACACACCTTTATGCTACACAAAGATATAAAATATTTCTATATTCAATGTAAAGAAATACTCATGAAATAAATCTTAATTTCCTGATTTCATATCCATACCTTTCAGTTACAATCAGCCTATTATGACCTTAGAGGTCACAGTATTACCATAAATTAAAGGGGAAATACTCTTACTTGTGTTTCAAATTTACTTCCACAAAAATCAACATGCTGATTCAAAAAGTGATCAAGAAGTAAAATCTGAAGCTTGTTATAAATATATGTTGTTAATTAATCACAAAGAAGCCATTACTCAAAGAATTTTATTTTTGATGTATCCTTGTTCTCTTTTTTTTCCAGAAAGCTACAGTTCTGCAGTTTGTTTCTTGCATCTAAGCATAGCTTTGTCAGTCTGAATTTATTTCACAAGACTAGGTAACGGGTCAATTTCACTGAACAAAATTTGTGTAGATTCTCCCTTACTTCCTAGATTGATTGGTAATGAACAAGACTAATTCCTTTACTTATCAAGATTTCAATAATACCTGACATACAACATAAGACATTGGTAATTGAAGCTAAATACCTCACAATGATTTGGAGATATTCAAATCATAATACACTGTATTAAGCCTTCAGTAAAAATTCTAACTTACAGTACAGGTGTACCGAGGCCGTGGCATTATGTTCCCTTTGTAGTTCCTTTTGTATCTCATCCATATTCTGTTTGACCCGTAAGCTTTCCTAAATGCTGAAGAAAGAAAAAGTTTAATTCTCATTTCTCAAAAATATCCTTTTCATTTCAATACCTCAATCATTTTCTTTCAAATGAACAAAACAGAAAATTAAAATACTATAGTTTCATATATTTTTCATCTGCACAAAAATACATAAAAATTTTTTTTTTTTTCCTCGAAGAAAATCATGCCTTAGACTTCATTGGTGAAAATTTTTTAAAGAGACATTACTCAAGTTCTACTAAAATTCATGTATTCTGAATAAAAATGCCTGTACAATAATGATATCATAAGGTGTAAAAGAATTTACAGACCAGCACTGTCAAAGTACTTGATGCTTTGTTGGTAAGTAACATCAGGTTTCCGTTTCTTCTTGTAAGCAAACCCTCCGTAGACTCGGCCGAGTTCCTCCGAGTCTTCCTGGTCCTCCGAATCCTTCCACTTCAGTGACATTGATCTGGTACCAGACACGGCCAGCTAAACATACATATTTACATTTTAAAAATTCTTTGTCTGAACTAAGACTACAAATAGTGAAAATACGTGTACTTGATTTCTACATGAAGCTACTGGTTCATTGATAGGCATTGTTAAAAAAAATCAGAGAGACAGAAGTTGGCAGAGCTTACACTGAATACTCAAGTCCAGCACAATCTCTTGAATTAGCTATATAGCTTAATTAAGGTATTCAAAAATAGTTAGATTAGATAAAGCTATTTTAAAGATGAAATAAAATTTCTTATATTATATTTTTTGTGTGATATGCTATCAAAATATATAATTCGTGATAGCATAGGCTAGTATCCTCGAGGAACCTATTTCGGTGGTATTAGCAAACTACGCGATAAAATAATCTTGACGGGAAAGATTAAAATAAAACAAATGTAACTAACTTTCGAAGGACTCTTTATTTAATCAAATTATTTCCATATTAGCTAATAAAAAACTCTATAATTTGTTTTTCTTGCGATTTCTTTTTTCCTTGTTGTTTACGTAAGCAGAACTGTTGAGGTACCTAAATCGGTGGTATGGTACTTCTCAAAAGTTTTCACCCTAATAACACGAACCACGGGCATAAATTTATGAACAACGAATATTAAATCGTATACATGAACAAAGGGATAAATTACAATTTTATAAAAGTTTTATTTATCATTGTGACAGGGACATAAATAAATTCATCACCACATCTTATAACTTTCGTTGTGCAGCAAAACTGCAAGTGGATCCAGTGGTTACAATTTTCAAAGTTACACTGAGCCCACTTCACAAAAACAACTTATTCATTTATTTTTTATTCATTTTTTGTATTTATTTATTTTACCAACATGAAACTATATAAACTTTTAATAGCTTTCTTTTGATTTCTGAACTAATTTCTATGTATTTGTTTACTAACAATTTACCAACAAGATTTATAAAAATAAACCCCTGGTATCAAAAACATATAACAGACACTAACTTTTGGACATCCTCTGTATTTCTATTTAATTATGCTAGCCACATGACAGTCACGTGACTTGAAAGCGCAGACGGTAAGCTGCGTCTACAGTATGTATTTCGATTAATTATTTCTTTTAAATCTATATTTAGAAGTCAATTACATTTAGATATTTTTAGCATTAATAAAATATGGTATTTTTTGTTGATATGACAATATCGGCCATTTACTTACACTTTTCTCTGGCATTTCGGGTTTTTTTTTCACAGAGTCGTAAGCTTCCGTGTTTACAAACACTACGCAAAAATCAATGACGTCAGATCTCGCACGGTAAGAAAACGCGCGTGCCCAATGGGAAATACCACCGATTTAGGAACCCCACCGTTTTAGGACCTTTGACGATATACAGAAAATATTAACTTCAAATCTGTGTCTATGTACCTTTAACTGTGAGGAATAATTGTAAGATTTCTTTCCAGGATGATGGTAAAGCAATTGGCCTGAGTGGTAATTTAATGCATAAAAAAACATTATGACATGGCCATGGGTCAAGCCAAGAATGAACATTAAAGTGACAAATTTGTCCCTTTTTCGTTGTGTTTTTATCCTTCTCAATCTAAAAACGATTTCATATCTAATCTAAAAAAGAAAATATTAATTACCAGCTTGGTATCCAAAGAAACTAACTGCTGACATGCTTTCTGAAAAATCTTCAACATGATTCTACTTTCACTTTGATCTGAATCCTCAGAACGTTTGGTTCAGTCTATATCGGTAGAAGGGGGAGTCTTTATTGACACCTATTCTGTGCAAATAGATTCACCCCTAAATTAAAACAATCATTAACTTTGCAAAAATAAGGTTAAGATTAATAACAATTTCTTTATAATATGAAAAGTTGATTCATGTATAGCATGCATAAATGGTTATTTTGTCCTCTTTTATTTCTGTATTAGATGCTTTTGTTTCTTGTAAATTTGACCCAAATTTCTGCATTGTCATACTGTGAGACGAATGGGATAAGTATTTTTCATAAAAAGGAATAAAATGAAATTGCTGATTTTTTTCCTTGAAATAGATTTATTTGAATTTCTATTTTACAATTTTACAAAAATGAAGTGATTTGAAAAGGAAGTATTCCAAAATGAAGAAAATGAATTTGACAACTCTTTTCCCATACTGTTCTCTTTCTTGAGCTCCACCGGTGACGTCACAAAATTGCCGACAGTGCTACCGCATTCGTTCACTGTAACGGCTAGGGATAGGTTGAAATGTACATGAGATTGGTTGTGTAAATTGCATCTAAATTTTTAATTCCTTTAAATTTATTAGTATTTTTTCTTAAATATTAATCAAAACTATCAACACTCTTCGCTACATTCTTCACATGTGACAACGACCGTTGGATTTAGCGTTTATAGAAGACTCCATATTGCTTGAAATACTGCTGTTTTGATCTATTTTTCTCATGTATAAATTGTGGAACGTGATAATTCCACAATATTTCTTTGACCATAAGTAACCGTATAAAGGCTGAACATAAAGCCTAGACAGGACAAGGATTCACTATTTCGATCGTAAGTTGTTGGCTGGTTACCATATTGTTTATTTGTATAACACGTTTACCAATTTGATATTGTAATATATTATAAAAGTTAACTATAGATAAAATCTTATTAAAGAATCTTTCAAATTAGGCCTACATCAAGAATGAGAAAGAAAATGCAAACTCTGTCAGGTGATCGGTCCTCCTAGAGAAGACCGAATAACTTATATTTTGTATGGCTTTGACATGTTATAATTGGGTGAAAAATGATATGAGTGTATATCAATGTATTTTTGTCTCTAAACTATTATAATTTCATAAAGATTTTTATTGTTTTGTTTATATTTTACTGATAGACAATTTTTAAATGAATTAAATATGGCTGCCGATCTATATTCACGTCAGATTTCAACCACACCGAAATGTAGGACAAGTCAACACATGGTTGCGATAACCTGTATAACCATGGAAACCGGGTTGATTGTCATACCCTTTGTCCTGGGGGGATATTGATTTTTTACTGAGCTTTGACACCCTTATGTGACGTCATATTATACGTCTGACCTTGGGCGGATCAAGGGCGTTGAAAATTACCTAAATAATAAATTTTGTTGTCTGTATCAAGATATTCAAAAGAGTGGAATAATGTTTGGTAAATAGGATTTGGTTTAAGAGATCATGAGTAATAACAACTAAATAAAATGGTAGGGATTCATACATTTGAATTTTCATGCAACAAAAAAATTTTATTACTAGCAGAAAAAAATGAAATGTATTTTCCTTTTTCTATAAATATATAATCTTTTCTGCAGAGGATAATTTACTGTGACAGTATTCTAAATTAATAGATCATGTTTTATATATGCATAATTAAAAATAAATATATTATTTCAAAATCCATAATTAATTATTAAAATTAAATTAATAAAGCACTTGTTGAAAAACAGATTTACTAATTGGCATTGTAATCTGACTTTTTAAACTTTTAAAATTTCCTCTAAATTTCAATATATAGTATCAAAAAGCCTGTTTTGTCTAATGTGCATCATAAAATTTATTTTGTGAATATTACCAAAGAAAAGGCCAATTTAGCAGGACAACTGTATCAGCTTTTGTCTTGATATATTAAGTTTACGGTACAAGAAATTTTAAATTTTATCTTTTCATTTTTTCGATTGTAAAATCTTGAAAATTATTCCTTACAGCTTTGACAGTACTGTTGCAATAATATGAAATGCTTTCACTGGGTATCTTTAAAATATTTATTTCCTTGTCAACTGTTTTTGTAACAAAACTATCATTGTGTTATTTTTGAAATGGAGAGATTTCAGGAGGAAGAATTTTTATATAAAAGAAAAAAGTAGTTGAAAAGGGGTCTATTAATACCACAATACCTAATACCACAAGTAGTTGAAGTTACAGGAAAGCATTATGATAATAAAAGGATTAAAAGCATCTTATCGATAAGTTGACTTTGTAAAACGAAAAAAGTTTGCTACTAAAATTCTGATATATATCTGAAATAGCAGCAGTTCTTTTCTCACCAAATGAATATTTTTTCATGCATACATTTCATCAGAATTATAGTTTGTACACTTTGGAAAAAATAACTTTCTGTACGGAAAAGAGGAAAATCTCTGAATTTTCCCAACTACAATTCTGATAAAATGAATAGTCAATACATATGAACGTAACAGCATATGCATGAAGAAAATATTCATTTGGTGAGAAAAGAACAGCTGCTATTTCAATACAGGGTAGGGCAAGGAGAAATTTTATTTGAAATAAAAAAAAATCAATAGATTTAAATATATCGGAAATTTGATATAGAATCTCATTTTGAATTGCAGTAGACAATGTTTAGATGTTAAAGAAAGAATAGATTGTTTTCCTATGACATATTTTGCCCCGGAGTTATTCCCCTTGGCTGCCATCTTGTAGGGCAAGGAAGTGAATTTTCCTCTTTGAACAACCAATTTTAAACATGCATGGCAGAAATATTTGGTGAAAAATATTTACAATCTTGAAATTATGAATTAAAAGATGATTTTACAAATGTATATTCATTAAAAAAAAAAAAAAAAAAACAGGGTTATCTTTACCTCAGTAATCAGTATAACAAACTGAACTTGGTTGAATAATGACAGATTCTGGGAATACTGACCTACAATATGGCAATCATGGGGAAATAACTCTTGCTTAAATCACCTCAATGAAAAACCATTCACATTTTGTATAACAATTCTTGTCTGTCTATTTAAGGTGCCTAAGAGTTGAAATAGCAGGGGACATAAAAAGGGTACAAGGGGGTATGGGGTTCCTCTCTTAACAAAAAAAAAAAGCCTTGGGGGAAATTACCAGTATAACCGGAGGATTATGTCAATATGGGCAGGGAAATTCCCCAGCCACTGGGTCTTGCAGACAACCCTGCTACTGTTTCATTAACACTCTTACAAAATTAGATTCAGTCATTAGATTGATTAGTTTATTGTTGAGAGAAGCCCTGGTTTTAACCATTTTTGACACTTAAATGTTCTCTCTTTAAGAAGTCATTTCAATGACACAAAGATTAACTCAATCAGCAAAACATTACAACGGTCAAGTTTTGAACTTGATTTTGCAGTTTTAACTTAAAAGTCTTATTTTTTTCTCTTTTCAGATTGCTGCAGTCTGCTGCGTGGAACAATGGTCGATTAAAGTCAAGAAAGCATTCAATTTCCCTTGCTCTCTGATAATAATAATCGTCCCAGATGAAAAATATTAAAATAAAATGGTAATTTTCTATCATAAAGCAGAACAACGAAAATAAAAAAAAAGTTGCTGAAAATGTGTGTCAAAACCAGTGTGTTTGTGGACAGAGTGAAAGTGGGATATAAGACCTTGAAAACAGCATTCTCTTTATTGAAGGCATAAAATTTATTTTGAAAATTTTGTTAAAAATGCATATTATTAGAGTTATATTATAGAAATGGTCTTTTTCTGAGGGAAATTCTAATAAATCGGAGGTATGTATCCTGGACAAATAGGTCTTGAAATCTAACGTATGGAGAAGTCATCAACTTTGGGATGGAAGTGCAACAATTCCTGGCCCTGTTTGAGACATAAAAAATAAGGTCAAGGAATTAATTGATACATAAAAGCAAGGTTCACCAAGGGCCCTATTTGGCCTTAAAAAATTTTTTTATTCAATTTTAGCTGACATTTTAAAAATCAATTTCACTCTGACATGACGACTAGATAAAAAACGTTTTTCTTACTATGTACAGTGAAACTAGCTTAGTCCAGATGTTGTGCAATATGAAATCTTGTCTAATACAGTAGAAACTCAAAATTCAGTTGTTTAAGATACTGTATGACATGGAATGGTTGCTTAATCTGGTCAATTTCTTTGGAACCAGGTCAAAAATTCCAAGTAAATATTGATTGAATAGGTGGGGGATATTTCAAATATTTTCTTGGCTAAGTTCCTGCAGAATATCTATTTGTTGAGCATACTCATAGGCACATATTTTTTTTTGTAGCATTGAAACCCACTTCATATCTACAAAACAGTTTCTTCTTTTTGTGGCTTTTGAAAAGTATTTTTTTTTTATAAGATGAGTTGAAAGGAGAAAGTTTTCTTTATATTAGTTTTGGAGAATGGAGATAGGACTTAGAGAATCCATAAACTGGACCATTTTATACATAATGTGAACTTAGCTCCTATATCTCTTAGTACAATATATTGGCAAAGCATACAGTCCCATGGCATAGTAAAGGTAAAAATGAAATTATGTACAAAATGCAGGAAAATGAAAACAATCTGGACATTGATTAATTGATAAAACCGATGAATACAAAAAGAGGACGGACTTCAATGATTTTGATAAGCTTCATTGATTATGCTGTCCTGCTGATCATACAGGTATAGAGGCTTTAAGATTGAAATGGCACATGACAATCTTCTTGCCTTGCTTTTGTCATCAAATATGTATAAGCCTTTTCTTCCATAAAGACTGGAATCTTCTCTAAAATCCAACTTGAAGCAAAGTGCAAAATCTGTTGGTTGTGAGAGACATAGTTTTCTCATATGAAATGCATAACACACCATTATATATTTATAACAAAGAATTCTGATTTAATGGGTTGAATTCAGATCATAGAATTTTTCAATTTTCATATAATAACTATAGGTAAGGGGAGAATGAACAAAAAAAGTGATGCATCTAGTCTTGAGATTATAAAACATAAGGTGCTTTTAATTTTCCGAATTGAAATAAAATGAAAAGATTGGGTTCACATTTGGTCAAGGGTTTAATAGAAGTCATGGAGCATGTAGATAATTTGTAAATTCGACTCCATTATTGTGAATGTTTCTTGGCCTTCAACTGTTTTTTAATGCCCATTGTGATAAAAAATAAAAAATTACAAGAGGAAATATAGAAATAAAATTTCAAGTTGTTTAAAATGTGGCTGTATGACAAAATCATTATCAGTCGACAAAAAATGCATTCAACGGAAAACACAAGGAGTACTTCCTGATTCACAATTATTCTCGTGAGCATGTTGTTTTGAGGGATTTTCTCAGGATACATGCATTAACAGTATTGATTTTATATTTAGATTAATATCAAAATAAAGAAAGCACACTATGGGCATGATAAATTCAAGGAATCATTGAACTTTTTCAAAAGAAATTGTTAGGGGGGGGGGGGGGTACCATTTAGGAATAAGAGGTAGCCACTTCTGGAAAGACATTTCTGAGTATTGGTGCTTGGGTGCAGTATAGTCAAGTATCTTTTTTAAGGCAGTAAAACAGAATAAAACTAGTTATCCAACTCAACAACATTAAGATCTGAAAGATTTTGCATTGCATCTTCATCCGGTAGAAGGATCCTGTCCCAGTTTTGAATAGGGAATAAGTTTATCCTACTTAACATTAAAATAAAAAAAAAAAAAACAAACTTTAGTATTTTCTGATTTTGCCTTTGTTTTAACAATTTGAAATTCTGGATCAAAAGGGTACATAGACCTAAAAGGACCAATTAAGCCCTTAATATGGATTGGATTGGGGGGGGGGGTTAATGATACCTGTTAGATGAAAGAAATTGAGCCAAAATTGATGTTTAAAGACTTCATTCTTTGGTGTAAAAAGATTTGCACAGACGAGATAAATTTGAATGCTGTTTTCAAGGTTTATGAGAGAAAGGTTTGAAAATAACAACATACTGCAGTACATGAATACATATAAGGCCAAGAGCAAATGTTTTATTTCTTTATGAAATTGAAGGTTTGACTCTACATAAGGCCAAAATATATACACAGACACAGATAAAAATAATATATATTTATATATAATTATAGCCTTATTGTAATGTAATATATGGTACTTTGATACTTTGTCTGAAGAGCTTCTAGTGCACATCTCCAAGAATTCTATAGAATTATACTAAATCTTCAATGTATACCCTGAATGGAAATATTTTTGGCTTCGTTAAATTTGATTGAGAAGAACATGAACCCTCTTCAATGATTATTATAAAAACAATTCTAGAAACAAACACATTGGCATTCATTTCTGAAATTCAAGAGGGACTACCATTACCCAGTTCATATATCTGATTTTATAAGGAGCTTTGCTTTGATGAACTATACATCTTCCAAGTATTTGAAGTTAATGATGACAAACTTTTTACAGGCCCCAATAGATCCCCATCAGTTGTTGAAGGGACTAGCTCCCTTGTTAACACCAAATGGTGCCATCAAAAGTCCAACTGAAACCTCCAGAATAGTTAGCTTGATGAAAGAAGCAAACAAGCTTGTAAGCAGATGTGTTTACATCAACATCCTTAGAGCTACAGAGTCTGAGAAAACTCTGGAAAAGTAAGAAAACGTTCATACACTATCAGAATACTTCAAGCTATATAAATCTCATTAAACTGAAGCAAGATGAATATTCTGTTAAAGCACATGCACAAAATATTAGTTCAACAAAAATAACACTGGAAAACATCCTGGTCGCCTATACATGTTGATTTCTTGACATTTCTTTTCATTGATACCTGTAGGTTTATTGAGGTGGGAGGTTGGGATGTCCTCAATAGTTGGCTACAAGACTGTAAAGAATCGGAGAATTATCCAGTTCTGGTAGAGATGCTTAAAGTATTCCAACAACTTCCTGTCACAGTGGAACTACTCAAGCAAAACAACTCCGCCAAGACCATCAAGGCTTTTTCTAAATGTGACAATGAAAGTGAGTGTCTATATACAGTATTGATTAGCTGCTCTCATGTTTTATTATGTTGTACATGTACTAAAAGGGCCTGCTACATTGTACTAACCTGAAGCTGGACAACTTCAGGGAGTGATATTGTAAATACGACAACTTAATAAAGCAAGAATACAAAGGCTAGAACACAATAGGGGGTTATGGGGGGATGAGCTGTATGCAGGATTATTTTCGCCCCATGTTATTTTCGTTCTTTTACACTTGATAACAAATTTGCCCCATTTTAAATTAGCCCAATCACAGTTCTGTTTAAGAAATTTATACTGTTTTCTTTGAGTTCCACCCATTTGAAATTCCCCCATTTGTGACTTGATTGAAAAGGGCAAAAGTAAAACAGGGGCCAATATTTCCCTGTATACAATATATACTAATCCTGGCTAGGGACATGTACTTCATTCCACTGTGTTTCATGCCTGTGTACGCTTGCTTACTCTTGTTACTGCCCTTTTGTTTCTACCTCCTTGCCTTTCGGGGAAGTGAGTGAGTTCCTTTTAGTTCAGTTGTTTGAGCCATAATTTGCCTCGGTATTGGCCAGCGACTATTCAACAATATTGCACGTATTTCTAGGCATTCATAACCACCATCATCTGTAGAGTAAAACACCCCTCAGACAAAGTACCAGAATGAGCAATTCTGATTTGATATAAGCATCATTTGTTAGATTTGTTAGAATTACAGTATTTTTTAAAAACCATGGGGAATGAAAATCATTTTGTTGTAAGCGTGAATTCATTTCAAGCATGTTCGCAAGTTTTACTGTGGACAGTGAGGTTGATGTATCACTGTATTAGTGTATGTTTTGCATCTGTAATATAGTTACAATACACATTTGATAGACTGTTTCTTTATTTCTTTTATAGCTGTCAAAACAATGTCCTCTGATATTGTGGACAAGTGGATGGAGAAGGTCAGAGGAAAGAATAATGAAGTTTCAAGTATGTAAATATATATATATTTGCTCTGCAAAAAGTTTATTACTTGTCATGTTTAATTACTTACTCAATGCATAGTGTATTTTTATGGAGAAATATACATGTTAGATGACTTGATTTTGAAAGCATTGAAATTTCAAGTTTTTAATCTGATGATGTAATTGCTAGTAATTTGTGTTTGCAGATGACTCTAAAAAGAAGAAGTCAGACAAAGAAAAAAGTAAAAAGAGTGACAGAGACAAGGAATCTGATGAAAACAGGAAGAACAGTGATAAATCTAGAGATGAGAAATACTCAAAACATAGGACTAAAGAGGAAAAACTCAGTGAGGATGTGAGCATTAAGGACTCGTTAGGTGTTGTGACAAAAACTAACGGACTGAAGCTTCATATCAAGATAGAAAGACCCCCAGTGTCAGACAGTGATAAATCAAAATCAGAGTCCAAACCAGACAAAAAACGAGCTTCCACGGTCAAAAGACCAAACACAAAGTTCAGGTCTACAGGTGCGATTTTATTTTTGTATTTTAGATAATAATTGATCAGTTTCTTGAAGATTTTTGATCGTTTTCAAACTCTATGAATGCCAAATTTTACAGGTTTGGAGGAGGATATTGTTACCAAACAATCAAAGAAACTGTCAAATGATCCAAACAAGTCGCAACAGAAGAGGCAAGGGTAAGGAGGACATAAATAAACGTATTACAATTGCATTTCAAAGCAATTACAATTTACATACACTAAGATGATAATTGCTGAATGACATTTCTAATTTATTTATTTTATGAAAGTTCGGAATTGAAACCAAAGGAGGAGCAGCCACCTGGAAAGCGGTCTCGTTTGGAGGGTGGGTCTACAGAGGATGCCACATCAGAGCAACCACCTGCTCAGTCCCCCACCACAGCTTCTCCTGCAGATGTGCACAAGCAAATCAAAATAACACCGCCTAAACCCAAAAGTGAGTTGTCAAGTTTACACATTGTAAGGAAAGAAGTACATGTATCTGTCCGAAAGCTCATATCCAAATTTCAATGTTTTTATCTGACTCATCGTGCTGTCGTCTGATTTCTCTGTAAGAGAAATGGTAATGTTTAATGTGTAAATTCATATTAAAAATTCATGTTTTCTTTTAGCTGTGATACATGAGAGTACAAATTTCATTGACTCTCTCCTTCCTGACCGTCCAACTGGAGTGATACGTAGGAAGAAGAAGACGGGTGCCACGGTGGCGATAACCTCTGTACCTGGTGCCTCGCGTGGTCCAACCACTCCCATTACTGCCAAACCCCCAACGCCTACATCTCCCCATACCCCCATCTCCCCTACCACTGCCATCAAAAACTCACTTCCGGTTGTTCCATCTGTAAGTCCTCAAATAGATTCACTTTTGTTATATCAGAGGTTTTTTTTTGTTGGTCATATCACTCAAACACTTGAGATTTGTAAAAGTTTTAATTTAATGGAGAGTGGTTTGTATACTGTATAAAATGACATTTTTAAAAATAAATATACATCTGTAATTAACCTCTAACCTGTCTGTGATGAAGAAAGCTGGGACTGATGATAAAATATTTATGATTTTGATAGTTTTACAAAGACACATTGGAAACACCAACTGAAGAAAAAAGGAGTCCAAGCCCTCCCACATTGGACAAGAGGAGCCCCTCCCCCACAGAAAAAGAGGACAAAGATACTGCCCCACCCACTCTAGAGGAGAATAAAACTTCAGAAGATGTGGAAATGACGGATGCTTTAAAAGAGGGTAAAAACTTTGATCGCTAAAAGACTATTTTATTTTGTAAAAAGTTAATATTTCTTCGGAATTTTTAATTTTGTTTGAAGTTATTGAAACATTGTAATTTAAAATGAGAGAAAAAATGATGAGTGAACAATATTTTGTTTTCAAAAACTTTTTCTGACCATGCAAACTGAAAATAAGGTAACAACTTAATATTGTACCTATATATTGTGTCTTGAAATACTTGATACAGGCTCTGAAGCCAGCAGAGAAGCAATGGACACAGATGAGAAGTCCGGGGAGTCTAAGGGTCTACTGACAACAGGTGCTACAGGCAAAAAGAAGAAAAACAAGAAAGTATCCTGGGCCGAAGACTCCAGTTTACGATTATTTCACTACTTTGAACTGGACGAGACAGAGAGAGGTACAGACAAACTTATGTTTCTATTTTTCTAGGTGCAGTTGAAACATTTTTACAAACAATAAAGAAAAGGGGGGCATTATTAATATTTAATTTCCTTACATTTATAGAAAATGTGAATAGGCCAAAAGACTTTAACCAGTTGAAGAAACAAGAAGCACATTTGGATAGGAAGGTAGGCATGTCTTGGTTTTATAAATATGTTTGTAAATTGTAAAGGTTCATGTACATGTAGGTAAATCCTGGTTTTAAAATAGAAATTTTACGAGCAGAGTTTTTATTGTATTTATAATACACATAAAATTTATTTACAGGTGATGGAATCTGCAAGAAGACAGACCAAAGACAACATGGTTGAGGCCATACCTGTAAGTATAGACCAAGAATTGTTTTATTACTAGGGATATTCATTGTTCAAGTTCTCTGTGTTTATTCAGTATTGCTGATTTATAAGGGGAGTAACTGTGATTTGAGTGTTGGATTATCTTTAAAGTGTAAATAAATAATGAACAAGTTAATTGATAACTGTAAAACATTGTAAACTGTTGTAGAAATAAAACCGAAGGGAGGTTACCTGCAAATGCGTTGTAAACAATTAGGCACCACTTTGTGTAAGGAAGAAGGTGTGAACATTAACATGATTTTTTAAGTTCAATTTAAATATACAATGAATGTTTAATTTTATACGAGAAATAAAATCAGAAATGGTTCACAGTGTTTTTGTTTAAAAAATAATCTGTTCCGTAATTGTTATGTAACTCTTTTGCGTTTGATGTCCAAGTGATAAGTTGCCACAAAGCTATCCTTGTAAAGGGGATAAACTTGATCAAGCCATCCTATAAAGGGAGATTTATATGAAAATTTAGTGGCACTTTTTAAAAATCTAGATTTCATAGAATTATGATACGGTAAAGATGAAACTTTGGGGAAACAACGAGGTAGTGTAGATTCAAATTTGTTAAAGCATTTGCATTAATTGGCATGTAATCAAATGCATCCAAAGTTTTACATAGAAATATACAGGAAAATTCTTTAAAAATCTTCTTCTCAAGAATGACAAAGCCATAATTCATCATATTTTTATGGGAGCATGCTCAGGTAGTGTAGATTCAAGTTTGTTCAAATCATGACCCCCGGGGGTAGGGCAGGAAATGGCCGAAGTTTTAATGAAATATATAGGAAAATTAAAAACCTTCATCAATATATATGGAAGCATGCTCAGGTAGTGTAGATTCAAGTTTGTTCAAATCAAGCCCAGGGGTAGGTACATCAAAGTGTTTGAAATATATAGGAAAATTCTGTATAAAAATCTTTTTCCACAGAATGACAAAGCCATAATTCATCATTTATTTGGAAGCATGTTAGGAAACCCTAATTACTGTTTGTACAAATGCAATGAACATTTTACGTTTTAAAACCGACCAAAGTTTTAATAGCAATATATAAAAATTCTTTAAAAATCTTCTCAAGAATGACAAAGCCATAATTCATCATATTTATATGGAAGCATGCTCAGGTAGTGTAGGTTCAAGTTTGTTTAAATCATGACCCCTGGGGGGTAGGGCGGGGCCAAAATGGCCGACCAAAGTTTTACATAGAAATATATAGGAAAATTCTTTAAACATCTTCTGTGTTCAAGAATGACAAAGCCATAATTCATCATATTTATATGGAAGCATGTTAGGTAGTGTAGATTCAAGTTTGTTCAAATCATGAAGTGGAGGAGGCCTCCATGGCCGATAAAGTTTTACATAGAAATATATAGGAAAATTCTTTAAATCTTCTTCTCAAGAATGACAAAGCCATAATTCATCATATATATATGGAAGCATGCTCAGGTAGTGTAGATTCAGTTTGTTCAAATCATGACCCCTGTAGGGTAAAGCAAAATGGCCAGGCAAAGTTTTTAAAGATATATAAAGGAAAATTCTTTAAAAATCATTTTCTACAAAGTAGCAAATCCATGATTTATTTAAACTTTACAATAAAAAGCCATTTTCTACTTTTTCCTACCCTTAGTGCTCAGGTGAGCGATGTGGCCCATGGGCCTCTTGTTATATATCTAGTATAGATTGGACGTTTTTAAATACACAAATGAGTATTCAAATTAAATCTTCTGTTCCATTGTAGGCTTCCTGACACACCAAGTGAACCTGACCTAGAAACAGTAGAACCTGCAGATCCGAAGTTTATTCCCCTCGAAGATGTGAGTTACAGTACCTTTAAGCATTGCATCATTGTTAAATACAATGTGAACATAGTGATCTTACTCAGAATGTAGACAAATTTTGGTGTAGGCTGAGCTTATTTGTGATTTACTTTTTGACCTTTCAGGAAAACTCCACAGGAGAGGATGTTTTCAGTCATGTTAACCCTACTGCACACGAGGCTACTGCTGCTAATACTCCTCCTGACCCCAGTTCTATTTTTGGTCAGCTTAATATACCTCCAGACATTGCAGGTGTACTGCAAACATTCCAGCAGGGAGGGGGGCTTCCTCCAAACCTAGACCCCGCCAGTGCTCAGAATATCCTGGCATCAATGATGGTAAGAACATACTGTAAATGTATTACTTTTAGCAATGTATTCTATTTAGCAATTTTGGCAGAAAGTAGAATGTGCTTAATCAAGTACATGTACACCACTAAATGTTTTGTTTATTATACTTTTACATCTCCCGCTTTCAGATTGCACTTAATCAAATCTACATAAAGTTAAACTTTTTGAAACATTAATTTGTGCTAAATATCATACACACATATATTTACAGTATCCTGATTATTACACCATCTCAAAAGATTTTTGTTTTCACATGTATATTGGTACTTATCTTCATTCAATGAAATGTACTTTTACTTTCTGAACTTCCAGGGAACAGTTGGAGATCCAAATAAAACAGGAGATGCCTTTGACAAACTGAAACAAATTCTAGAACCATTCCAATCCATGCAGAATACTGGAGGTAATGTTCTTGTTATCTTAAAATTTAGACTATTGAAGAAAAGTAATTTGTGAGAATAACTCTTAAAAAATGCACTTATATTCTTAATGTGTTTTTTGTACCTTTTAGTTATGGGACCTATGCACCCGCCTGGTCCAGGCATGAGAATGCCTCCCCCAGGGCAGGGGATGATGGGGCCACCTCCAGGTGGAATCTTAGGAGCTGCTCCTCCAGGGTTTAACCCCATGATGGGACCAGGTGGACCCCAGAGATTCCCAGGTATGACATTGTATATTTATTTTAAAAATGAAAAAGACTTTTGTTGTGTAAAATGTCGTACAACTTTTTGTTCATTTATCAAGGTTGACCTTTTGATTTCATTGTAGGTGGCCCTGGGAATGATGAGTGGGGAGAAAACATGATAGGAGGACCACCAATGAGGGGTAGAGGTCGGGCGGGTATACCAATGAGAGGTGGGGGACCACGTGGCCCTCCTCCAGGAATACCTGGGGGCCCTCCAATGGGTCCCCCAATGAGAGGAGGAAGAGGGGGCAGAGTTAGACAAGGTAAATATTATTCTGTTGGTTTGCTCATACGTGTGATTAATAATTGGGAAACAAAGAGAAAAAATGTAAATAGTGTAGGAACAATATCAATCTAAAATATTTTAACAATCCCATTCTTCTGTTTTTCATAAGATTCATAATTTGTGGTATTCTCAAGTTATTACAAGAATTTCTCAAACAAGTGACCTTTTTGTTTCAGTGAATGGAGACCGAGCGGTGTGTCGTCATTTTGCTGCGGGTGGTTGTCGGAGAGGAAACACTTGTTCATTCCTACACCCGGGTGTTAACGGACCACCAGTATAGCATTGTGTTGTCTTGGTGTAAATGGACTACCTCTTACACAAGGGGCATTACCATATATTCATGAGAAGAATCAAGTAAATGGAATTCAGAATGTTTTCCGACATGTCTGTGAGATGAGCTCTCTTATAGACTTACGAGTGTGGGACTGAAGTCTGAAAGATTAACAATAGACTTACAAGATTAACTTACAGGAATAGAACTTACAGACTGGAAACTTACAAGTTCTTGTGGTTTATAAAATTAATTGCAAAACTTCAGGGGAATTTCTATTTAAGGTTGTTTATATGCACATTTTCCTTTTTAAGCATAGAATATTGCAAGAAAGAGACACACTTCAAAAGTGAACTACATGTACATTTGTATTCAAAATTAGGTATCTTATGACTGAAGAAATAATGTAAATCAAAACTTTTCCCAAAGAAATGGGGTTGGTGAATTTTTATTTATATTTGTGTATTTTTTAAAATAGACATATACTGAAACTAGATGTAGATATGGTAGAGGATAAAACTAAGGTTGAAATCCATATTCTGTCATGCAAATTGTGTAGCATTCAGTTCAAATTTCTGTTTGCTATTATAGAATTATTACATCTTTGTAATATTGACCTTCAAAAGTGTTCAAACCGATACACTAGTCAATAAGTAACCAATAAATGGATGATGGAAAATCTGATCACTGATTTTATTCAGATAAGGGCATTGACATATTTGTACATTTGAATATTGTAAAAATGTTTTTTGCTGTTGGACAAAATCAAGATTTTGAGGACATTATTGAAAAAAGAAGGAAATGCCATTTATGATTAGTTTGAATGGAGCAAATGCATGAATTTCAGTGTATGTATAAATGTCAAATGTGTGACTGTCATAAGACTTCAAAAGTAAAGATATGCAACTTGGATGGTCTGTTAGTGGGTATGTGTGAAGGTGTGTGATTGTTAAGAGTGATTAAGATGGTTGTTATTTTGTATGACTCAGAGATTATGATGATGTTATAATTCCATTTAATGGAGGTGTACATAAACAATCTTGTTATACATTTACATACAGGAGATGCCAAAAATAAATTTTAAAAAAATTAACTTTTAATTTTGTTGTATGTATACAAAGGATCTTTGATGTATGAACTGATAAAGGTTACAGATGCTTCTTTGCACTTACTTTCTCAGAAGTAGTTTTAACTTGTCTTTAATTAAGTTGAGAAAGGAAATCTCTGCTGAATACAATTCATTTCATACTCATCATCACTATGCAGAGAAAAATGAAAGAAATCTCATTTTATAATTGTATTATTAATGTTTATATACAACATAAAACCACAGTTCGCGAAAATTTTCTCTCGTTAATAAAAGTTTTTAGCTCACCTGAGCTGAAAGCGCGAAAATATAGTGATCTACAGTAAGTTGAGAAAGGAAATCTCTGCTGAATTTAATGCATTTTTTACTCATCATCTCTATGCAGAGAAAAATGAAAGAAATCCCATTTTTAGGTCACCTGAGTAAACCTATTGCTATCTCAAATGAAGGGCGTTTCCCTCTACATCAAGTCGTAAACTTTTGAACATTTTTAGCTTCTTCACTGGGCCAGGAAAGTTTCAACCAAATTTGGTATAAAGCATCTATGGATGAAGAAACAAAAGTTTGTGAATTTCATGACCCCTGGGGCTGGGGCGGGGCCAGGGGTGGGGCCAAAATTTTACATAGAAATATATGAAAAATTCTTTAAAAATCTTCTTCTTTCAAGAATAACAAAGCCATGAATTGATCATGATTGTATATGGAAGCATTGAGTAGTGTATTAAAATTGTACAAATCATGGCCCGGGGGGGTCAGGGGCACAATAGTGCTAGGGCAGGCTAAAATTTTATATAGTGAAAATGCAAAATTCTTTGAAAATCTTCTTCTCTGCTCCTGGGCATTGAATAAACTTAACTGAATACATAGTTATGATGAGCAAGAGTGCCTCTTCCAAAATTGTGAAATTTATGGCCCCAGGTAGGGCAGTGGCCACAATGTTGGCTGGCTCAAAGTTTTAGTGAAATATACAAAATTCTTTCAAAATCTTCTTCTCAGAATAACAAAGGTTTTAAATAAACTAATTTAGTATATAGTTATAATGCCTCAACCAAATTTTTGATTTTCATGGCCTCTGTGTCAGGGGATTTGCCATTTTGTTTATAGGGGGGTTGGCTCTTTTGATTATATAGAGAAAATACATTAATTCTCTGAAAATTGTTTCCTTTGCACCTGGGTATTATGCAATGCCATGTATATATAGTTATATGAAGCAAGTCAGTGTCTCTTCCAATTTTGATTAATTTCATGCCCCCTCAGGGGTATGTGTGGGGGGGGGTTACAAAGTTTTACATAAATTATATATGTTTTGAAAATTCTTGGTAAAAATCTTCGTTTATGAGAATAAAAAGCCATAAAATTCCATGGTCAGTGGTTCTTTTGGGGTGGGTTGCACAACTGGTTTTAAAGTGGAAGTGCATTTTCTCTTTGTTATTCTGATCTACCTCTGGGTATTAAGTAAATAGAGTAAGCATGCTTAGTTTATAATTATGATAAGCAATGGTGCCTCTTTTAAAATTGTGAATTTCATGGCTTTTGGTTTAAAACACGAACCAAATTCAATTGTTGGAAAGTTGTTACATGATACCCAGGTGACCTATAAGGTCCGTGGGCCTCTTGTATAATTTATAGAGCCCGACCCAGGGGACCATAAAATCCACAAGTTTCAAAGAGGTGCCCTTGCTCGTAACTGTCCACATAGTTTTTTTAACTGGTTAAAGACCTGGCCTAGGGGCCATAAAACTTAGATGAGCTCACTTTTGATCTTAGTCCAGTTTTTGCTAAGGAATATACAAACTTGCCAAAAGCATCCTTGGATCAAAAGGGATTCAAAGTTTTATGGCCCCCAGGCCTGGATCCAAGATCATGAACAGGGAATTAATGAAAATTTGGTGGCATGGTATAAAAATCTTCTTCTCAAGAACCTTACTTACACTATAGGAAATGTTAATGAAAGCCTTATAGGGAAGCATCCTCACTTTAGAAATTTGTTCGAAAATGTAGTATAAGAATTGGCCTACTAAAAGTAGTTGACATAGAAATATATAGGAAAATTCTTTAAAAATTTTCGACTTTGAAGAATAGCAAAGCCATAATTTTTTTTTTTTATTTATATGTCAACTTTTTCAGGTAGTGTAAAAAAAAGTTTGTTCTCATGACCCCCCCCCACTTTCAAACACGATGCTACGCCACTGATGAAACAGACTTAGACTTTAGTCAAATTTTTAATTGCATATTGTAGCGGACAGTATATAGGAAACTTATACTGCCTCGCCAGTGAGCTAGCTTTTCTGGTGATGCGGTAGAGTCTTTCTCTATTTCAGGCAAGTTAAGCAACGGCGAGCCTGTTTAACCCTTGGATGGGTGACCGCTTCACGTTACAATGTAAAATGTTTATTAATTATTGAATAATTCTCTAATTTTGCAGATAACAACAATTTTATAAAGCTATATTAAAAAATATTTTCATTTTTGCCTACTTGACTAAATCAAAATTCCAGAACAACATGAATATTTTGACTTAAGCTTAGGATGTTTCATGATCCTGGGACCAGAAGAGCTTATATGATAGTAAGATGAGCATCCGTCTGTCTGTCTGTCTGTAAACAATTTTTTTCAAAACAATACTCCTCCTACAGTTTTGGTCTGATTTCAATAGAACTTGTCACACAAGTAGACTACACTAAGATACATAATATAGTGCATCGGTTTTTGATTTCAATGAATGGTGTTGCCATGGTTACTAAAAATAGAAATTTCTGTGAAATTCCTTTAAAGAGCAACTCCTTTTACATTTTCTGTCTGACTTCAATATAATGCAAAAAAGTAGACAACACTAAGACACATAATTCTATTTATTGCTGCCTGTTGCAAAGTTTCAAATCCAAGTACTACTTTTCCTTTGTTTAATATAAGTACAGACCAGTAGAGCTATAGTCTAACCAGATACTTCTGGTTTGTCTTATACCCCAGGGGGAGCAGAGATTTTTAAAGCAATGATGTACTCTCGCTACTTGATCTATTGAGCCTTAACCCCTAACTGAAGGACCAATTACGAAGGGCTCCGAATTTCATAATTTTGTTAGAGGGCTTATTACAACTATGCGAACAGTTTGACTGCTTGATGTCCAAGACTATAGAAGAAGATTTTTTAAAAGATATCATTTACCCCGCCCGGGGGGGGGGGGGGGCCATAAAAAATCACAATTTTACTTATCGATTGATGGATCGTTATTAACAATAATTGAACTTGTATTAAAGCAATGTCATTAAATTTTGTATAAAGAGAAGGCTACCTAAGTTGTTGAAATTGTGCATCTTGACTTTTTTAAATGTTTGTTTAATTCGGTTTGCGAATTAAGAACCTGCAATGAAGTATATGAAGATAACGAACAGTATTCAAGCTCAAAAGACCATTAAACATTACAAAGCAGGACTGAAGCAGAGCAAACAGGGACCTTCAAAACATCAGAGGTGGGATCAGGTGCCATGGAGGAGTGAGTATCCCCTGCCGACTGGTCACACCCGCCGTGTGCTCCTTGTCATGATCGGGAAATAACGGGAAAATCCGTCGACAATTCAGTGTGTAAATAATGTAATAACAATAATTATGAAAACGTCAGTCAGCATTTGACATATACCGATGGATCTTATTTGCTGACAACGTCATTAATATTGTACTGACCATATGTTCAAATGTTAACACACGAAGAACGACCAACGGCAACGGACAAAAATCAGTAAGAATTTAAATAGGTCGATAGTTCAGGTGGCCTAAAAAGATTTAAAAGTTGTATAGAGCTGATTGAATAAAAAAAATCTGTACAAGTTGTATCATTTAAATAACGAAAACCTGTGAGAGTAATGATTGCTGAAAGGGGTGGGGTATAGGAGGTTAATCTCTCGTAATAACCATTATGTTATTTCGAAACGGAGGATTTTAAATATCTAAACGTGCAAATTTTATATCTATAGTGAAAATTGAACTTAAAGCATATTTTTCTGGGACAACTGTTGCACCACTAATTAAGGTGTTCCTCTCTGAAAAGGACGCAATTCTCTTTCCCTAAATAGGGACACTGATAATATCCCGGTAATTAAGAGCATTTTGTAGTAGACCGAGATTTACTATAACAGAAATTTTCAAAAACGTAATTAGCCGAGCAGTATTTAATCAACTAAGTTTGTACAAGTACCGAGGTCAATGGGGACAGGCATATTTTTAAAATTAAAATTCCAAGAAAAACCAATATTTAAAAATGCTGCGATTGAAAGAAATAGATTATCACAAGGAATTTATATCATACAGGTTTATGGTACTAGTAGATTTTCTAATAATTTTAAAAAGGGAGACATATTTGCAGGGACATGTTAAAGATATTCTGCAAAAAAACCAGATACATATTTATTGGTAGCTGCAGCTGTGGATACTCATATTTTTACTGAAAATTGTGAAGTTATTAAGCAGAGAGCACACAGATCCGATAAACGTATTGTCAAAGCCTTCGATTTACGCCGACGCTTTTTTGTCGCTCATTTCGGGTATTTTTCTTGTATTTTATTCTTTCCCCAGCTTTAAAAGTGGTATTTAATAATTAATCAAACATTCAACTTCAAATTCTGACAATTCACTTACCTTTCAATGCTAACAAATGGCTGTTTGTGATTACGGACGTCGAAATGGACCTCTTTTAAACCAACATTACAAAACTATATACAGGACTGTTTTGGACCATTAAAAGGTAAATAAAGTATCCAAAATAAGAGTTTAATATATTACTAATTATAAGATACCATTCTAAATGCCAGAGAACGCTTAAACTACAAGAAATAAATACTTAAAATAGCGACAAAAAATCGTCGGCGTAAATCGAAGGTTTTTACAACGCATGGATCTGTAGCTCTCTGCTTTATCTGTCCGAATTTTCTCAAGCAGAGAGTTACAGTTCTGCAGCTAATTTATTGGTAGTTCTTTTTCACGTGCTCGACTTTTTTAATACTAATTACATACACTATAATTATTTTTGGTAGTTCTTTTTCACGTGCTCGACTTTTTTAATACTAATTACATACACTATTAATTATTTTTGATTGGCTAGCACTGATGCATCATCTTTTGATTATGATGTCACAATGGATATACCGGTATATATACTGGTGACGTCATAATGATTGTGACGTAACCATGACTGGAACAACATTTGTGAAAAGTGAAAAGGCTCTCTTTATGTAACATACTAGTAAATGATATGAACTACAGTATAAATATAAGTAAATCATGGCTAAATCAGTAAATAATTAATCAGTAATTACTGGGTAAACATTTAAACAAATTAACAATATCAGAACGGAATTTCATGTCAAAATAACCATAAATAATCGGGTTAACCACGTGATTGATGACGTAAAATCTCTGCAAGGTGAAAAAGATGATCGTCTCTGCGTTAGAAATATTGTACCACATTTCTGGCGAAAGTTTGCTTATGATCAGAAAAATGCATGTTGGTGTGTAGGAAATCAGATAAAACACAATAATGGTGAAAAACATCACATTAAAATTAATTTTGCTTTCTTTGTGAATCTTCGGTTTCGACGAAATTTCTTTGGTGCTGCACTGGCTTGGTTTATTATCTGAGATTGAATCGAACTGCGTTGATGTGATTTCCATACTTTTTCTACGTCGAGCCGCTCGTAGTTTGTTGTGACGATAGATGACGACTCCGATGGGAATGTAGAGGAAACCCACGGTAAGGATGTTTACCACCATCAGAAGAAAGATGATGTAGTAGTAAATTGCTTCATACGTAGGATAGTTCCCTGCTCCCGTGAAACAAGTTAATCCAGTAACGTTATGTCCATTAAAGATTCCCTCCACTTCTTTGTTTCCAGAAAACAACAAAACTGGACACGAGTACAAGATAGAGAAAACTACAATACATGCCAAACAAAGCTTTCTCTTGTTCTCGTCCATTTGTTTCCCCAGAGGCTTGCAGATCTTCAAATACCTCTGGACAGCTATTCCGATAAGTAGCAGAGCCGACAGTCCCGAGGTAGCTGTCATGGTGTACAACAAACCTTTGCAAAGTCCGGACGACGGAAAGTCTACAAAGTAGATGGATTCGAGAACGTAAAACACCGAGGCGACAGTACTTGCGATTAGATCGAACACTGCCAAGATGGGTATGAAGTAGCGATCATCGCGGTTCCCTTTCATTCGAAAAGCGTACACAAGTAGCACCAGTATGTTCCCCACCAGACCAATAAAGCAGACGACACCTTGAAATACAATGGTGGGCAGAAGTTTCTCCGCATAGTCCTGGTTCCATTGCAGAGTGAGATTGTGTACTTTATCCATGGTGGTCACATACCCCCTTTCCCCGTAATCTGAAGTAAAAACTGTGTTAGACTAAATTTCCAAAAATAAATTGACAAGGACCAAAAATCTTAGGTTTTGTTGATATTTCCATGTATTTTTCACAATTCTATAACATTTCTAGCGCCTCCATCAGCGTTTTAAAATCACAGCTGTTTCTAGCACAAACTACATGAAGAAGATGGTTATCCTCTATAGTGACAATTTGTTTTTCATTTAATAGTTTCAATTCAAGTATTATGTATTGACCACGGGGCGTTAAGCTTGAAAGATTTTACTGTTTGAATGGTATGCCAGTAGGTAGCCAAGATTAGGGGGTATTAAAAGCATTTAACGACAGGCAGTAGAAACCTTATACATTCAAAGCTAACATCGCCTCCCACTTGCAGATTTAACGAAAATTCTATTTCTGTGGTTTTGTAGACTACATGTTTAGATAAATACTTTATAAAAGAGTAACAGGTTGTGATCGTGGGAATAAGCCTATATAATATTGGTCCTCTATTTAAAGAATTAACTAAATGTACCACTTGAAACTAAATGATGCATGAAAAATATGTACACGTTATAATACTGGTAAACTGACCTGCGTTAAGTGTATCCTGAGATATAACATATGCATCATCTTTGATACATCTATATTAATTTTATTACTAGTATTATGACAAGTCTAAATGATTTTAGTAATAGGACGCATTATTTAAGTCACGATTATACGACTTTCCGGTTATGTAGCTGAAGGACATGAACCTGTTTCATGACGGTTCATCGGGTAGAAAAGAAGCAAAAAAAAAGTAGCAGCATGCAATAAAATTCAATGAAAGACTTGAAATATATAAGGGCTCTTCTTCATATTTGACACACCTGTACATATAGACAGTATAACGATCTACCTGGTTTCAAAAAAGGTCTTGTTCTGTGGTTTTATGGGAACCCTGTAATAATGTCAACAACCTCGGTGACAATTTACATTTTATGCCTTTAAAATTTAAACTGTTAAAGACTAAGTTAGAACGCATTAGGTGCTTTAATACACTGAGACAGAATACTAGAGACATATACCAATTACATGGTATTTTCATACATATGTATTTGGGAAAATAGGTAACTGCGACCGTTTGAAATGAAGTGATGGTAATATTAGGGCAAGGCCTAAAAGCTTTCTATAAACATTACACACTATACGCTCAGGCAGTATGTTTTCTCTATGGTAAGGTGGTAATGTAGTTTTGGTCTGCCTGTTTGTCTGTTAATCTGTTTGTATGCAAGAACTTTAACCTTGCTTAGTATTTGAATGGTTGCTTCCAGGGCTTTTATATGTTACCTTTTTATTCCTAGTGACAAGACCTATCTTTGTCATTTATCTTTCTTTTCCAGAAAAAGCTAACTCGGCCATGTATAAAACAATGTAGCCAGAAAGTTAAGTCAACAATGTAAGCAGTGTCCAGTTCTCAATATGTCTCCTTCCTATACTTTATGTAATGTTTTCAATTAATGCATTCTCTCAATGCCTTCTGAGAACTACATTTATTAACAAATATGGACCCCCCATTTTCTAGAATTCCTGTATTAAGATTGAATGATCAGAGAATGTGCACAATGCTATAGAGATGATTCAAAATCTGATGCTTGTAAGTACAAGTTTTTTTCCATTTTGGACATTTGCTAGCACATTTCAGGTAACCTTTTATCTTTGTAGCAATGAGAATATTTCATCTGATATTTTTTTTTATTATTCAATTCATTAGTTATAGACACATCTCAGCAATAACATACACATATCACAGATTTTTTATTATAAAGTACAAACTTCTTCAAAGTGTCAATATTTTCATATCATTGTGAATGTCTTTAAACGCTGTGAAAAAAAGTTAACAAAATATTTTTGCATCTACATTCAATATAGCCTTTGAACAAATTTTCTAGCTGACATAAAAATATTCTTTTATGACAACATATACATTAAAGAAATTATATGAAGTGAAACAAGTTTTGGTAATATGTAGGCACCAAATCATATCACAAAAATAAAGATTTTTAAATGACCAGCAGTGTTTATAAACAAAACCAGCAGTTTCAATGTGTTCCAAAATATCTCAAAACTTTGGCAGTATACTAAATTCTTTACAGCAGTATTAGAACATTAAGACATTGATAAAAAAAGAAATATCAAAATCCTTCTCATCAATAATACGTAGTATTTAAAATAAATGCCATTAAGTACAAAAATAAATACATTGTATCTGCTACAGAACAGTATAGTTATTTCCCTTTCTTGGATTTACTGGATTTAGAGCTAGCTTTAGAGGCTTGCGACTCAGGTCTCTTCTTTTCTTCCTTCTTTTCTGGAGATTTATCCTTGGCAGCGGGATCCTCCCTGGGGGTTGTGGGCGTGGCTGAGGTCTTGTTTGGGGTCTTGTCACCAGCTGTAGACTCCTCCTCCTGCTTTTCTAGCTTGGCCAATCGTTTTTCTAGTTCCCGGATTCTCTCGTTAGCCTCGGCCAGATCGGACTCCGCCTCTGCAGCTCGGTCTTCTGCGGCCTGAGCTCTCTGCTCAGTGGCCCTAAACAGTCAAGGACAGAAAACATTACTTTAGAGTCAGGTAAAGATCTAGTAAATGATATAATCCACAGGTGTCATGAAGTATGGGCAGTATTGTCAATATGGCAATGTTTCTTTTAAACAGAGTCTTTATTATTAAGCTGTTGTGTACTTACATGAGCTGTCCTTGTAGACTTTCTACAGCCTCCAAAGCCTCGTAAGATTTCTGTGTGTTGGGGGCATCAGGTATAAATGTGGCAGGAGCTGAGGGCTGTCAGAAACAAGAATATTATTTTATTTTCAAAAAAGGCAATTAAAAATGGGAAAAAAAATATTTAGAGAGAAAGAGAATTTTTACCTTAGAGTCAGATGTCTTAAGAGTTTTGGTGTGTGTGTTCTCATCATAACCAATCACTTCCAGTTTCTCTTTACTGGACTCTTTGTCTTGCTGTAGTAAAAACCATTATCAAGATTAAAATTGAGGAAGATTAAATGCATCTTTAATGCTTTAGATTTGACCTGGACCTTAATACTAACCTTGGGAGGTACTGGGGCTGTTTTCTTCTGCTCCTCTCCCTCCCCTGCATCTCTCTCTGGTGGAACCCCATCCTCTGGTTTTTTATCTGATTCAGCTGGCTGTGTGGGTGGAGCCTCGGTTTTCTATAAATGAAAACACTAGATGAATATATCATGCTGCTTACATAATGTATTTAATTATTAGATGTAAATTTTACAGTGAGTACATTTTATACATGCTAGTTGTTCAATAAATGTTCAAAAAAAGTCTGTATATATGGTCATTGTCCAACTAATTGAAAATAAAGCACTAAAAAATTAATACACACAAAATACAATTAGATTTTCATTCTATAAGAAAAGTCCTTACAGCCTCTGGTGCTGAGGGTTGTAGTTTCTCTTTGTCATGGAAAGCCACGGCAGGTTTCTCTGGGGCGGACTTCTTAGCTGGCTCCTCCCCGGGGGTAGTCGAGGGGAACAGGGACTCGACTGGTTCCTCTAACAGGTGACTGGTTAATAACTTAGCTGTGTGGATCCAATCCATGCATTCCGTCTGTAAAGGTCAAAGGTCAGTACACAAAGGTCAAGGTAGAGCAGAGAGATACAAGCTATTCTGGACAGACTAAAATATTCAAACCTTCTTTAATATTTTCATTTTTGTTTTCACAGAAGCAATCTTGTGTAAATACACAAAAATAAAGTTCTCACAGATAAAAAGTGATTTGCAGTAGCAAGAAAAATTTTAACCATGCAGATTTTAATTTGTAAAAGTCTTAGCCAAAAGTTGCCTTTTTTTCATTGAAGAAAATAGAGGTATTTCAGAGTCAATGGATTCTTCAGCTAATGGTGTACATTTAATCAAGTCTGTAAATGTAGTTTAAGCCTAACCCCGAGTCTGAAACTGTCATTATATTTGAGGACCTACCCTGAGTCTCTGTAAATCCTTGAGTTCATGTTCAGCGTTGTCCTCCATGTTGTCTCGCCTGGCCTGGGTGTTGTCCATCACTACACCACTACAACATCTGTAAACAACAACAACAACAATTAGCTCATCTGAAAATATACACTGGATGTACATATACATGTTAAAAGAATTAGCAAACATTTCATGATTGATGCACGATTCACAATTTATGGCTATATTTAGTTAAAATATGGGTTATTATTTATAATCTTTATTTAGCTGTAGTTTAAATTTTGCTATTTTCTAAGCAAATTTACACTTGTCTTTAAAAGAATAAAAAGGGACAGAAATCAGCAAATACAAGAAGTGAAATCTGCTTCAATCTGTGTATCTTTACCTTGAATTCTGAAATTCATCCTCTATCACTAGAAGACTACTGATGCCATATAAGATTTCACTGCATTTTCTGATTAAGACAGGCAGAAAGAAAGAGAGAGAAAAAGTTAGTATATAAAAGAGAAAGATAGATATAAAAGCAGTCATAGCAAAGATAGGTTAAGAAAGTTAGGAAATTGTCAGAATAAAGATAGTGAAAGAGGTAAAAGTTAGCAGCAAAAGCTAATACAAACTATTATAGTCCTTACACAGAGGCTTAACGATACAATGCATGTACTGTAAATCACTATTTATTCGCGAGAACTTTATTTTCGCGTAATAACGGGAGACGGAATGCTCGCGAAAATTTCATTCTCGCGTATAATAGAATTCCTTAAGATTATATAGAGCAATGACCACAATTCATGAAAATGTTGTCTCGCTTATAAAGAGTCAATGACTATCTCGCGAAAATAAGGTGTCGCGAAAATTAAGTGATCTACAGTAGTAAGCAACTAGGAACTGTAAAGTTAATGTTCATACAAGCTGTAACAACCTGCACTTCAAGCATCAGAGTACACTATTATAAACTTACTGAGCTACATAGGTTGAGAACTGCTCCAGTTGTTCAAACAGCATTTTGACGTTGGAGTAGAGCTGCCCCAGGGTCAGGCTGTTTAGGAGGACCATGTCTGCTGCCTCCTTAGAGTTCCCCTCCTTATCCGGGGCGAGTCGTAGCAGCATCTGGACCATCCATTGAACCATCTGAGAGTGAAGTGTCGAAACCTACACAAATCACAAAGTATTGTCATTCAAAAATTTTACAGTCACCCGATCAGACTTATACTTTGATTTGTTCTCTTTTTAGAAACTTTGAATCAAATAGTGGGTCAAATTTTATACAAACTGGAATTTTTAAAATAATCATAAGTCATATTTCAAAGATACAATTTTTTGTTACCCCTTTTTAAAAAAAAAGCCCACTAAAAATGTGATGTTTTAATAAAGTAAAAAATAAATTAAGTTTCCAGTGAAATAAGAATGTCATTAACCTGTTCGACAAGCCTTCCGTCCTCACTGTCTATAGCGTTACTGGCTGTGGTGGCCCATTTCTGCACCTTCCTCACCGTATCCATAACATCAATCCTAAAAATCACATCCAGTCAATAAAAACAAACCTAAATTCATTATCCAGTTAGGGGCATTTACTTTAAAAGTCAGTATTTTACAGTTAAGTTTACATTCTTTATCATTACTAGATATAGATATATACTATTTCTATGCTTGCTGTAAAGAAAGGAAAGTTATATGAATCAGAAGTATGGATTATAAATGTAAGTAAGAAAACAGAGTGAAATCAAAGCCACACAGTAGTGAAATATTAGTGCCAACAGCAGCGCATATGGTATAATCTGAGTCAAGTTCTGTCATGTTTTAACTCATCATGTTGAATGCTTTAATTAAACAATAAAATGCTTTCTTTGTTTGTTGTTACTGGAATTAACGGAAGCAGCTGTTGCAGAAAAAATACATAACCCACGTAAGCGGGTTATGTAAATTTTTTCTGCAATAGCTGTGACCGTTCAAACAAAGAAAGATATTTTATTGTTTATATTTGTATCTGTTTAAATAATCATTTAAAGAAGGATTAAAAAGTTTAATTATTGTATAAATGATGTGAACGTCTTGATAGGTTTCATTGATATTGGAACAGCCACTGATCAAGAAATCTGTACAGACGACATGCCTAATGTAGTTCATGCAGTGATTAACGCAATGGGTTTTCTTAGAAATAAAGGAGAAAATATTCAGTGGATGTAAATATATGACAATGCCCCACTGATTTAAGATCTCAGGTAATTCTGGGAAAACTTTGTTATTCGATGGGCTCAGGGTTAAATGGCAAGTTATCATAAATAATGTTTATGTATATTTAATCAAAAAATTGACACAAAAAGGATTCGTTCAATATCAAGACAATATGAACTGGGTAATTAACCTTTCTATTCATACATGTTAATTTAGGGTAACATTAAAATAAGGACACTGGAGAAAAATACAACTGGAGACATATACCCTACCTCCTTGGTTCAAGGAAAACCACAAATCTAACACGAAAAAGCGCATATTAGTTAGTACAATATAACTTCTATCTACAAAGCATTAAATTTAATGATTATAAATATCTTTTGTGATTAATTCTAAATCATTTATTGCAAAAACATTTTTTAAATAATGCAATTCACACTTAACTTATGTAATGGTGATGTTAGCAGAAAAAAATGACTTAACAGCTACAAAATGAATTGCTTAGTATACAATGTGATAAAAAATGATATTTTGCTGTGAATATATTTGAATGTGAATGGTGCAGAGTTTTAGTTGAGCTGTGTGGAGTTAGTAGATCACCCAGAGTGCAGATTATACATAGAGAGTGTTCCTTGGGTTATTCTGTAAAAGCAGATGGCGTGCTGGTAATTTCTGACTATGGTAACCGGTGGTTACCAAGGCTACCTAGTGTGTGGTTTTGACTCAATCCTGTCCTCCTCTTTTTGGGTGGAGCCTACGTACTGGACGGCATCGTCAATACCCCCCATCCACTCCTCCATCAGGTTAAGCAGACTGACCCACTCATTGTCATTGATGGGCTGGGTCCCATTCAGGGCGGCCGCTATCTTTAAATCCCACGTCTCCAGACCATGCATTAAGTGAATGGCATGTGGTGCAACCCCTTCAAGAATGAAGAAAAATTTGTTAAAAGCCAGCAAAATCCACTAAAATGTTTAACATACTTGTATATATTAGACAAAATATCTATCTGTTTTATGATATAATTGAACAATGTTACTACAGATAATGTATGAATCTGTAAATTAATTGTTACAATATTTAGTCATCTTTCTGAAATAAAACATTGTGAAATAATTTGTTTAATTGCAAATTTTAAGGTAATGCATATCCATTCAAGAAAAGAAGTAAAATTGATGAAAAGGAAATAAATGCAACATTCATACATGTAAAATCAACAAAAAACTGACAAAATCATACAGGGTTCATTATATTGTTATATCAGTAATTTTGACTTTGACCTTTGAGCAAATGTCCAAGTTATTACATACTCTCAACTTTGACCTTGATCTATGACTGAGTGGCTAAAAAAAACTATACATGTTATGATTCTCCACATGCAAAGTATACATGAAATCAGCATGTCTGATAAATATATCAAAATTTATTATTGTATTCAAGTTATAATTAGTGTGATATACAGTATGTATTGACTGGTGGATCCGGTGATCACTACAGAGCACTCATATTTTGATGCAGGGCCTCAATAATAATAGAATAAACAGAAAATTTGAAATAGTTAAAAATTTAAAGCAATAAACCGAAATTATGAACAAATGTTAAAATCAGAATCCTCAGAATATTAGAGGTAGTACATTCTGTTAACATTTACCTACATGTATACAGAAACCTTCTCCATTTGATAATCCACTCAGGTTCTTTGTAACCTATAGTATACAGCTGGATAGTGATTAATCATGTCAATTTCTGAATCTGTAAGATATGAGTACAAAGCACTACTCACCATTTTCTCCCGTGATTCTGTTATTAAATTGTCTCAGTAATTCCTCTACTTCCTGTTTAGAAGAAAAAATATCTATGAGTATGTTTTCTTTGATAAATACTATAGTATTCTAGATCAAATTTTTTAAAAAAAGTATTGTGTTTGTAATAAACGTTATTTTAATTGAATATTGCAGCCCATGATATTTTTGCTTTCTCTGCCTTTTCAATACCATTATACTGAGACTGTCTTCCAGACAGCTCTGAGAATTGAAAACACCAATTGTAACTTTACTAATTTATTGAGAAACAAGATCATAATAATACAATACACACAATGTTGGATGAAAATGGCCGCAAATTTTGTAGGAGTCAAGGGAGACAACTAGGATACCATAAACAAACGGGCAAACTAGTGGCCTCGCTTAGATGCGAGTGCCATGGAACCCCATGCCTGACACACGCATGATGGCTAGGCACACAAGCTGCACAGCTTTTACACCCTGCCTCTGGCTTGCTACCTGGTTTAGAATTTTAACACCAACCAGCCTGTAGCCTCTCCTACTTTTATATAGGTAGAGGGGGTCTGAGCACTGAAATGCTGCAGATCCCAAGCAATTTACATTTATTCTACACATTTCCTCAATGGCATTTAACTTCCATGTTAAAACACAGCCATGATACCCCCCTCATGCTTTGATGCAGATGGGCAGAGACAAACAGGTTAAGCGTGTACTCTTGTTTACCTTAATGTTTCCCTGACTCCTCCCCCTTAATGAATGCGACATGGAATTTATTATTCTTTTTTATATTAAGAGAAGAAAGAACTATATTGATATGCTGAATGTAAAGTCCACTTTTTTTTTTTTTTTTTTAAGAAAAATCCAAGCTTCTTCCTGAATAACTAGGAATTGGTTGTGAATCTGCCACAATAATCACTTGAGAAATCCTAAGTATTGAAAGAACAAGCTTAGCTTGATTGAGTCCACAGCATGAAATCTACCTAAAAATATAAAATACTTGGCACAGATTAAGTGATCAAAGAAAAAACAGTTACATGATAATATATATATTTATATACATTTTTTTTTTTTTTTTTAAATTTGGGAGTGGTGGGTGGGTAACTTTTACTAATGACCAAATGGCTGAGATGTTAAAGAGGAAGAGGAAGTTGCTATAATAGTTAACTCATCCTGATGCTGACTTTCCCATGAACTAGATAACTTGTACCAAGTTGTGTCTTATGTTCAATGCTATCCAAACAATTAAATGAGATTAGCCGCCATTATTGCAAAATTAGGTCGGGGGGCATTTCTGGCAAAGTCAGACATTAAATCAGCCTTTAGGTTGCTACCAGTGAACAGCACGGATTTCGACTTGTTAGGTTTTCACTTCAATGATGGTTTTTATTACGACAAGATGCTACCTTTCGGTTGCAAAATAAGTTGTGCAATTTGGGACAGATTTGCTTGCTTTCTGCATTGGCTTATACAGGATTGCTCAAAAAATGCCTCAATCCTGCATTATCTAGATGACTTTCTTTTCTGTGGCAAAGAACTTCCCATTTGCAAAAATACGTTGGACACTTTTCTTTATCTGTGCAACGATCTGGGGGTCCCTATTGCAAAAGACAAAACAGTATTTCCAACGCAGGTTCTTACGTTCTTGGGCATTGAGTTTGATACGACGGAAATGATCATGAGGTTACCGTTGGTAAAAATTGATGAAATCAAACAAAAGATTCTCGACATTATGGCACTTAAGAAGGTTACTCTTAAGCAACTTCAGTCTTTATTGGGTTTGTTAAATTTTGCATGTAGAGTTATAGCTCCAGGTAGGGCTTTCTTCGACGTTTGATTGATGCAACAATTGGCCTAAACAAACCTCATCACCATACCCGCGTAACGTTAGAAATGAAAGCAGACCTCAAAGTCTGGCTTGACTTCCTCCAATCATTTAATGGCATTTCAGTCATTACAGAAGTTGTATGGGTGAATAATGAGACTCTACAACTCTACACTGATAGCGCAGGGGGAGATAAGGGGGGCTTTGGTATATATTTTGCAGGCAAGTGGACATATGCTCAATGGCCCATTTCCTGGTTCGTACAAGGCATAACCCGTGACATGACCTTTTTAGAGCTTTTCCCGGTCCAGATAGCTATTGAATTGTGGAAACATCAATTTTCCAACAATAAAATTTTGTTTTACATTGACAATATGGCGGTGGTACAGGTCATAAACTCGACAACATCAAAGTCACAAAGGGTCATGAAAATTGTAAGAAAACTAGTTCTCACTTGTCTCAAACACAATATTTTGATTAAAGCAAAACACATACCGTCAAAATCAAATTTTATTGCGGATTCTATCTCTCGTTCACAGTGGGGCAAATTCCGACGGCTAGCACCGGCAGCGGATCCATGGCCAACACCGCTTCCCAAGAATATGTGGGAAATTTAACAAGGGAGGCAAACAGACTTATACAGGGTTCACTATCAGCAAACACATACAAAGCTTACCAGGGGGCTCTCACCAACTTCAAAAAATTCCTGAATAATTGTGGGACCACATTGTATTTCCCCATTCCTGTTGATCATTTGCTTAATTTCATTGCCCACCTTTCTATTTCAGGTACAGCTTATAGAACAGCTGCACTGTACATTAGCGCATTATCATATATCCATAAATTAAGAGGCATACAAGATAACACTCAATCATTCATTGTCAAAAAAGCCTTGCAGGGTCTCCACAAAAAGAGAGGTATCACTGTAGATTCTCGAATCCCATTAACTGTATCTATCTTGGAGCATGTAGTATCAGCATTGCCGTCAGTGTGTAGATCATCTTACGAGGCAGTGTTATTTTCCACACTTTTTTCAATTGCATATCACGGCTTGCTTAGAGTAAGTGAAGTTTTGAATATCCATAGGGCACACATCACGTTTACTAGAAGCAAGGTCAGCATCTTAATTCCCAGGTCCAAAACTGACCAAATGGGAAATACAACAACATTGCATAAACCTTATTCTATATTAACATATTTGAAATGATGTAGGCGAGCCTTGTCAATTTGGCTGCTCATCATGTTCCATTGCAAATTGTGGGAAATTTTGACAAATGAAATGTTTCTTTTATAATTGATAGATAAAGATGTCAATTTTGTTCCCCACAAATTTTTGTCCAGAAAGTAAACCATCCTGATTATTGGGGTCCAGGTTAACAAGAATCTACTGTATATTCATTTCACTTAATCTGTGAAAATACAACCAGTTTGAAATTTATGCATTTCTTTTGGCGAATTAACATAAAATCACAATTACCTCATTAAGTGTCATCATTCCATCCTGGTCTGGGTGGTTCTTGGCCCCTTCCTTTCGGTGGCGACTGAAGACCTTGAGGGCATTGTCTGTCCACCCATCCATCTGTTGTCTGATGACCGTTAACTTCTCTTGACCGTTCAGTAAAGTATCACCTCCAAATTTCTCCGCTTCCCTACCAAGTACCTACAACAAAATATGTCTTTATAAAAAAAAGGGCTCAAAATTTTGCAATTTTAAATCTCCTCCTGCTTTTAAGATTGTTAAAATTTAAAGGTACACTGTAACATCAAATATGTTTGTTTTTAAAAATTCCCCCATTCCTCCACAACAACTGCAGTGTTTACTGTACTAAAGTTTAAAATTTTAAATCAAATGATGATTGTATTTCTAAGTAAAGTAAATTACCTCTTCCCAACTTCTCATTTCTTCTAGAAACAATCTCAGAGTTGATTCATCTGGAGGTTTTTGAAAATGGCCTTCTTTTGTACTGAAATGTACATGATCCAGCATTAGAGAGCAACTTAAATAATATTGTTTAACTGGGTTGTGAATATATACTGGCTGAAAAAAGGAGCTGAATAAATAACAAACTGTCTTGAAAGTTTTATAAATGTAGAAAAATTTGAAATTCTTATTTCCGATCCTTGCATTGAGATGCTGTCGTAAACTCTAAAACTAAATTCCAGAAAAAAAGTAGTTCTATTTTGCATGCAATTTAGTCAAACAAGTGCAACCCATTCATTATTTCATTTCCCATGCAAGATACTACAGTCTCACATTTTTGGTTTGCTACATAACATGGCTTTATTAAAACTGACAAAAAAAACATAAACACATACCATTTCAAATAAAGAAATGTCAACTTTAGATGCAACATCTTACATAAGTAAAGTCATATCTACCTAAATGCCCAATGACACTGGAAGTATTTTTTATCAAGTATGTTTGGTACTTTTCAAAAGGGTCAAAATATTTTTTTCCAAACAAAGACTGAAGATTCAAGAGGCCCACTGGCCACACTGCTCACCCTAGACATATTTAGCCTCATTAGAAAAATGGATACATGTATATGATTGAAACCTGCTGTGGTGGCTAATATTCAACATTTTTAAAAATTTTACAAACAATACTTTAATTCATAACAACGGAAGTTTGATTTCTTAAAAGGGATTTCATTTTTTTAGGATGATTGGTCCTTCAGAAAAAGATTTCAAATTGCCCTACTTTACTTTTACTAAATAAATTATCTCTACTTGTAAAGAGACAAGATCATTAATTCTGTTTACAATTTAAATATTCTTTACCCATAAATGCTTATGCCAAGTTTAGCTGAAATTGGCCAAGTGGTTCTGTAGTTGAAAGAGGACAGACGAATGAATATGCCAAACTTTGATCAGAAAAACTCAGGCAAGTTAATATGAGCTGAAAGTATTTTATAAAATAGTTAATAGAGATGATTGTCTATATGAATAAGAGAAATAAATTCACTGTATTGTAAAAGTATGAATTAGATTGTATATAATAAATAAATCTAGGAACAGAAATTCAGGTAAAATTATGTTGTATTAATTTTATACATTATAAGAAAAGTATGATTGTGGCAGAGAAAATTAATATAAAAAAGGTACATCTATTTATATGCTTATATTTTGAAATTTATTGCTCATATATTGTATAGCTATGTCATAGTTTTTGGTGAATGAATTGGGTTGTCTTTGTTCTGCATCAATTTTTAATTGAAAAGGGTTTTACATTCAACGGTTTAAATTTAATTAAATTCAACATTTAAAAATTTCTGACCAATACATTAAAAAAAAAAAAAAACAACAAAACTTTCACAACAATCATCAGATCATGCTATTAAGACTTACTCTTCATAGCTTCTATAACGAAGGAGCCTTAATTAAAGTGTAAAAACTTCATTATAAAGACATTCCATGCGAAGGCTTTAAAAATGCTTCAATGCATGTAATATATGAGATGAAGTATCAATGTTAACCAAGGATGCATTGCCTACTGTCATATGGCCTACAATTCTTATATTTTACATATTACTTTATCTGAAACACTAGTAAAGAAGTCCCATAACCATAGCAATATTTCTAAAATTGAATTCTCTATACTAGAATTGTGAAATTGATGACTCGTATCTAGCATTATTTCAAGAGAAGCAAACTGGGATCTATGAAGATGAAATGGATGACACTTTGATGTGAAATTGACGACCTACTGGCGGGGTTGTTACAAACTGACCACAGTTTCCCCTCAAACAGTGCTTACCTCTGCCTTATTTTTCTATAATAATTAAAATCAAATCAAACAAATCAATTTTAAACCTTTTCTTTTCACGTAAAAGTTTGTTAAATTCAAATTTGTTAATAAAACATGCACGCTGGAATCAACTTTGAACTAGTTATTACAAAAAGCAATTAAATACATGTAATACATATGTAACATTCACTAACCTAAATTTTAAAAACATGATTAGTTTTGCCCCCCAAATACAATCTGTTTTTTTTTAGTAACACAATTTTCCCTCAAAGCCCCTTACATATATAAAGAACAAACCTGTAACAGTTGTTAAATTAATATATATAACAATTAATTATACACATATATATTACCTCATTGTACTAACACTAGCATTTTCATCCACGTCACTGAAATTTATGTACTTATTAATCATAAATACTTAACGATCCCCAAGGCTGCGAAGGAGTTAGACTGGTACTTAAACTGGTACTCTGTGCAAATGTGAATTATCGTGCACAAGTAAAATATTGAACCAAAAAACCATAAAGAAGTGTCCAAAATGTGTGCTTCTACTCTTGTAGAGTGCCATCAGTGAAATTAATATAACAATGAAAAAAAAAATTGTATGTCCTCTATTCCGATTAACAGACTGAAAACAAAAAAAAAAATCTTCAGAAATGATAAACTTACAAGCAAATCTTTCGAATCTCAAGCATCCATTTTTGAATGCTACCCTTGAGAGAGCTGATGTTGACTTTCATTTCTTCCTCACGGGATTTCAGAATGATGTTGAATTCCTCCACCAGGTCGCGCCACTTCTCCACATGTGTCTGGAGGTTGGTCAGGAGTTCTGTGTCCTTGTCACTCAGTAGAATGGTGAAGTGAGTGGCCAGTTTGGCCCAGGATTTCTCACTCACGTGGAGCTTCTTAGCTGTGGTCAAATTAGCTTCCTCTGTAACCTAAGGCATCGTAAAGTGTGGAATTTTGTTGTAATTTGATATCTTTCACAATCCAAAATATTATCTGTTTGCTTCTTATATTCAGAAATATATTAAAAGAAAGTGGTCTTATTTCATGAAATCAAGAGAAGATTTCATGAAATCAAGAGAAGTAAAATAACAAACTTGATACACTGCTTTATACATGTATAAGCTTTAAACTTAGAATGTCATCAAAAGTTCAAGATGTATAAAACCATGTTCTCAGATATTTTTAAATACATGCATGTCACACATAAAGCCCCCAGTCTGACATCTCCCTACCTTAAGAGCCAGACTATAAGCCGCGTTACTCCAGAGTTCTCTCTCCTCTGTCAGTAAATTGACTGAGGTCTCCAGTCTTTTCCTCTGTAACTCGTACAAATCATGATACTCCGCCAGAAGACTGGCATTTTTCTGGGCCTCAGACAGGGCAGTCTTCAACTGTTGATGAAAAAAAATCAACAATTAGGCATGTAACTCCTGTATATCAAGAGCTATATAGAATTCAACTCCATAAAGGGAAGCAACTTCTACTTACATCCTCCTGGGCCTGTTGTGCTTCCTTTGTGACTTTCTTGTCATGTTCTTTGACTGCAGACAGCTCACTGAAATGTTAAAAATTTTCTCTTATGCAATGCCATTTATTCTATCAAGGTTGTAAAAATATTCACTCTTAACATTTATCAATGAATATTGTAGAGATCACAATTTAAGGGAGATAACTCTTTTTCTTCCTTACATTTTGAGACGTGAAATTCTCACTGTTTTACCCTTACCTGGTCAGTATACCAATGGTGCCTTTAAACCTCATCAGTTCCTCGGTCAGTCTTCTGTCCAGAGCTCTCTGTGCCATAACCTCCTCATGTAAACTGAACAATGTTAGACACATTAGAAAATGTAGAATGATTTAAACATTTTATAATTTAAAAAATAAATGATTATTATAAGTAGAGTTGACCACTGACCTCTTGATTTGCTGCGGGACTTTGTTCAGTAGATCGCTGTATTTCTGGCGAAGATTGGCTAACAGTTCTCCTCGGTCCACACATTCTATGCTTACCTACAAATAACACCCAGATTTGTTTTATTGTTCACAGAATTTGACAACAAATGTAGTGTAATATATAAAAAAAAATATATTAATTTTACAAAAGGTTCTTCAGTTATTATACCAAGTACAAGTAATTGGTTAAAACCTTTATATACTTATTGAAGACAAAGCTTACCTGTCTAATGACTTCATGAAAGACTGTGTTGTAAATATTCTGTTCTTTCTTGATTAACTCAAGTAAGTTGTGCATCTAAAACAGATTACAAAATGTATTATGTACATGTAGTTATCCAGTATTAATGAGTTTTATGTATAAATGATTAGTGGACCTCTATTAAAATATCATGGCTAAGATTGTGGAGAAATAAATATATTCATTTATCTTTGTGACCATAATTACGATATACATGAGCATACTGAAATATGTGTACCACATCTCTAATAACCTCAAAAAAAAAAAATTCTGTGCAATATGTGTTTGAAATAAAGAAACTTGCTTTTGAGTTTCTTTCCATTTTTTTTGTAAACATTTTTAATATATTTTTCAGACTTGTGATATTTTTGTGACATAAACATGCGTTTACATATATCATTTACCTATTGGTTCATGATTTTGGTTTCCAGTACATTTTAATGTCCCCTTTTAAAGAAATATTTAAACAACTTCACATTACCATAATAAAATTCAGCGGGAAAAGCCACCGAAAAGGTTAAGAGTATCAATTAAAATGGGTGAATTCTGCTACTATGCATTTGTATAAAAATTGTCATTTACATGTATCTGAAAAATGATACAGTACATGGTATATAATTCTTCATGAAATGTGAAAGTAAAGTTATACATGATATTTTAGTCTATGATCTCACCTGAGTTGGCCCTTTAATCTCAGAGTCTGTGTCGTATACCCCAGCCTTATCCAACATACGATCCATTGTGTTCTTCAACTGAACAACTTCAAACCGACTCGAGGGCTTCCTGCAATGAAATTAAAATCAAGAAATCAATTCATGATGCTTAATTAAAAGTTAAAGATCTGTAAAAATTTTCTTTACCATTTTAATATCCAACTTGTACCAAATTGTGCATCCATGAGCAATTATTGATTAGCCATTCTAATAAATTTAGTGTGATCATTGAAGTGCAAATTCTTCACTGATGGTTTTTTCATTGCAACAAAATTTTCATTCTTCTCAACATTAGGATTATACTATAAGTAAGTATGAAGTACATTATTTTTATGTACTGGTATATAAATTTGCAATTATGAAAAGCTAAAAAATATTTTAGAAAAGAATGTAGTTTTTGCCACTGAATTAATATAACTTCTGTTTTTTTTTTTAATTAATTTATTTATTCTTGTTATAATCTTGAAAAATCAAGAAAAGTGAAGTTCCTACGCTTTAATTAAATTACTTACATGGAAGGAAACACAATCAGATGTTTCTCATGGTCCTCTACTTGATTGCTGTATTTGCTGAAAAACGAAATTTTATTATGAAAATTGAATTTGCCAGCATATTAGCAATTTAGTTAAATATGGATCACGTTGCCTTTTGAAAGTCCATTTTGTACCTCTGATGAATTAATTTTTTGTGAATATTTTGATAAAATTAAATATACGACTATTCTTTGTTCTTAATTTTGCATCTCTTTAAAAAAAAACCTAAGAGTTAAAAAAAATTCCTATACTATAAGCATTGGATTGATCATGACTGATTTAACATAAAAAGTACAATATACAATGTGTAGGATTTTTCTTCCATACAATATACTTACTCCTCGTGAAACTCAATTCCCATGACACCTTTGTTTTTGATGATGTGATATTCCTCAGGAATTAATGTGTCTGGGAGCTCCAAAGGCTGAAAAACAAACACTGATTTATCAATTTAATTAATGTAATGGTATTTCTAATGTAACACTCTTACTCTATATAGAGAATCTAAGTTATGACTTTCTCCTAGGAAAAGTTATATTCATTGTGTATCCACTTGTAGTTAAATGACTAGTCAAATTATCAGAACAAAAATTTCAACAAATATTATTTGTTCATTAACTGTCATTTTTATTGCTGCTGAGCAAAAGAATAATGGAATCTCTTTCCTCATTAAATGAAGAAAAAGGAAATGTCTTATGTATGATCATTAACATAAGTTTTAACACCAGTCAAATATATAATGTATTAGTACAAAATTATATGTAAACCCTGTAACAACCCATTATGATATACAAACACACTGTACACATACATGTATATTTCAGAGCTGATATCAGAAAGTTAGTTCTGTCAAATATTATGAAAAATATATGCCAATTAAAATATCAAAACCATTTGTGGAAATGTATTAAAAAACCTTTTGCCTTAGATAAAATATCTGCACCAGTACGATGGCACTACCCAAATAAAAAAAAATAATCAAGACAAAAGCAAGTTAATGCCATTTTCCCATTCAATGTTAGACTAAATTTCTCTTAAACAACTTTTACTTTTTCATCCTTTCCTGTAGATCTCTGAGTAAATAGTTTTTACTTATGAAAATGATATAAATTGTGAGATGCTGGTTATTTAAAAAAACATTAATAAAGTTTGTTTGTAATTTTCAGTGTACATTTGTGCATGTGCTTTGTTTACAAATTTTCTAAAAAAAAATTTGAAAATATTTTTTTATTATGTTTTAATCATAATCTAACAAAGAGTAAATTCCCTGACCTTTCTCTGCTTGTCCAGAGCTTCCTTTCTTGCGAAGCTTTTATCGAGTTTATCTGGTCTCTCCAGCTTCTTCTCTGGGAGAGGCACATCATAAAGGAAGGAGATGTCACTACAAAATCCATAAATACTTGTAATACATTGTAATAATATAATTCAGGGAAAAAAATATCTTAAGTTTAAACTAAGTTTTTTTTTAATTTCAAGATTTTTTTTTACCTTCCAGCCCCACAAATACAAGGTGTGTTTTCTGTGAGGTGCTTAAACCTTTCTCTTCTTTTATGGCTCCATAGGTTCGATGGAGGAGCCCTAGATGGTACCTAAAATATGTAATCATGAATTAGACACACAAGTAAACACAAATATACAAATAAAACTTAAAAAAGTAAATTACTACTTAAACTATTCATTAAAAGACAGATTACATATTACCGGTAAATATTTTAGAACCTTTATATGCCCTTATATTATTTCTATCAAACTAGTCCAGAGCACCTTTATTGATTTACACTAGAGACATTCATATATGTATTCTATCTAATTATTCCAGAGTGTCTTCCCTGACTTACATTAGAGACATTAAGGTTCCTGGTTCTGGTTGGGGGGCCCAGCTGGTCCCTCACAGGGGGAGGCTGTGTCAGGGCAAACAGAACATCCTCAGGGATAAAGTCACTCTGTAGGGAGGTGGGGAGGGGCTTGGTTTTGTCTAGGGCATTGTTACTATTTCTAAGCTCTGGTAAGGCTGAAAGTATAATAATATATAAATTTTATTGTGTGTCAAAATCATATGTCATCAAAATAAGAATAAAACCAATAGTGATGTCTGAATATTCTCCAATACCATTTTTGCCATCAGATGAAACAAGAGCTTTTCTGTCTTGGTGTCTAGGGGATCCTACGGATTGACTAGGCTGATGAAGTGCTACTGCAGTGCTCATTTTTCCTGAAAATATTGAAGACAATTCCATGAGCCAATTAATTGACCATTGAGCATTCAAAATCAGTTTATTCAGCAACATGAATCATGCAGAGTCCCTTTCATTCCTTAGTTTTACACAAAAAAAGGAAATCAGAAATGGCTACATTATTGCAGCTGTATATCTACATGCATGTACAATGTTCGCTCTGTTAAACAGGTCTCTCATCATCTCTGGTCTCATGTCAAATTTTATGCTGTGTACAAAATACAGCATTTAACTTAATATAATATTTCCTTACTTACTATCAGTGTTCGAAATTAGCGTCGGTCCGTCGGTCCTGCGCCGACGTACAAACGGAAGGACTCATGTATAGTATGACTAAATGGGTCCTTGAAATGATTTTGGGCCGATGATGATTTAAAAAAGAAAGCCTAAAAATATGTTTCTTTTATCAACCGACACATTCAAATTGCTATCATATATGTGCCGGTTTTAAAAACTGATGCAATTTTTACAAAGAATGTTAATTGTAGCTTTAGTTGAAATATAAATAGATCCATACAACCTTCATATAAATATGAAGAGGAATGATCATTTATATAACATCTATTCTTTCCCAAATTTGTTTAGCTTCATTTTCTATCGCAAGACAGCCATGTTGGGTGTCTACTGTAAATATCCCACCTGGATATTTCAGTCCTGAGATGTTTGGCGCTCTTTATGTAGGAAATAATGGAAAGTGAAAATTAATGTTTTAAATAGAAATTTTATTATGCATCAATATGTGAGAACTCTCATTAGGTAAAAAAAAAAAAAGCCCAGACAGACCCTCTTTTTTTTTTCGGGGTGGGGGGTGGGGGGGGTTATAGGAAACAAAAAGTATGTTGGGACAACTGCACTTTACCGGTACGTACAAATAACATGGAAATAGCACGTGCTTTCTCTCTATAAGAGAGTCACGCGTCAGCGTGACGATTTCGCTAAAACGGCAATAAAATGCAAAAATAACCCATTTTTTAAAGCATTTTTTATGTTAATAAACGTTTAATTAAAATTATTAACTAAAACTGAAAGCATGTGTAAAACAAACCATTCACTTTCATTTATCGGCCACATTCCAAAGTTGATTTTGTTAAGCACGTGACTTATTTCAGTGCTGTGATTGGTCAGGGTAGGTGACGTGAAATAGAAAGTTTGACTTCCACTCCATATGATTGTAAACAGTGATTCAACGTGCACCATGTTTACGATGATTTGTATTGTGTTTTCTATGAATGGATATTTTTAATTGACTGACTGCAATATTCTAGAATTTTTGGAAATTTTAGCGATAAATGTGATCCTTAGTTTGTGGAAATGTTGAATAAGTCGAGGGGTAAAACTTGTAAACATACAGTGAGGACGGTCTTGTTTCGAGAAAAAGCAATCGACAGTATAAGAAAAATGAAACATAAGAGACACATCTTAGATTTCTGGAAACAGAGCTGCAGTTAATCTAAACTCCTGGATTTATTGACTAAAAATCTGGAGATTTCAATTTGCAAAACACTGGATACTTTACAATCATTGAGACTACATGGAATGCAGTTAGGAAATCTCTACTAAAACAAGAATGCACTAGGATAGTAGCTATAATTGAAAAAATGACGTTTATCTCCTTCATCGCCCATAAAAAAACGTATTTACAACTCGGTGCAAAAAAAGACACAATAGTTCCACAGTGACACGTGTGGATCTGAGTCTTAGCGCTGATTTATTTAACAACTAAGGTAAGTTTGTTTTATTCATTTATTTTTTGTACGTATTGGGGGCTGCCGCCCCCAAACCCCCGCTTAAAAAAGCGAAAACCCATTTAGATATCGCTTCGAGAGTTTATTACACAACAAAATGGCGTTCCATTATATGATATTAAAGTTTTTACGCCGCGCACTCTCATATTTCAAAATACCGTACCGGTAAAGTGCATTCTATGCAGATTATCAATTAAAGTTTATTTTTCCAAAATATTTGATGGTATTATTTTTGGGCCTATGCTGTCTTGGAAGGACTAGTGTACATCCTATATCATTGGGTCCTTTGGACCCAAAGGAAATAATTCCGAATTTCGAACACTGCTTACTATGCTTTTACTCTATCAATTCAAGGCTTTATACATGAATCTTGTGCACAATATTAAAATGATGAATAAATAAATCATTTTAAAAAATAAGATTTAATCAAGTGTTCTTATAAAAGTTATTTATCTTGTTTTCTGGCTGTAAAAACTTCATTGTTAGAAAAAGCTGATACAGTACTGAGATGAAAGATCCATACACTGCAATGAGTTTTTGTTGTGCACCTTTGCACTTTAGGTGCATTTACATTATATAACCATATCCTTCCTGTCAGTGTGTGTCTACAGCCCGTACATGATCCACTGGATGTATAATCTCTACATATGAAGAAATAAAACTGCTTGTAAATACCTAAATAATGTGTTTATCCTCTTCAAAATAAGCATCTAATCTGCGCCTCCAATAGGCGCCATTTTAATTTACACTTGTTGTCAAGGTAGGAGGAACCGGAAACTGTCAATGTAAATTCTGAACAATGGCGTCGTCCAAAGGCTCACATGTTTCCCTTTCCAAAGAATTAAAGAAACTTTTAAAGCAATTTCCAAACTTAAAAATTATGGATGATAAACCAAGGGTGTGTACAATTACTATATATCATCATTATTTATTTATTCCTGGCATAAATTTTAAAATAAGAGTACAATAAATATTTCTAAAATTATTTCGAATTTCCTCCATAGCATATTGAGTAAACTGAGCCACGATTGTGTGTTCTTTACGATGATTCTCACAATTTATTTGTCTCCTTACTTTTTTGATCACTCAAACACTATAACATAACGAAAGAATTGTTAAAAAGTAAGGTTATGCTGATATGAATCCTTTGCCATGTTTACATTATGAAAATATTGATCCGGAATAGACCAGATATTAATCTCATTTTTATACACGTAGTTATAAAATCGGCTGTGCTGTTGGATTAAATGTTATTTGAAATAAAGAGCATCAACATTTTTTTTCCAATCAGCAATCACTGTTCTATTTTATGATTCACTTTATTAAATCCAGGCTCCAGGACACAGAGTGGAACTTTGAAGTCAATACTTTCTCAAATTTTCAATATAACATCATGGCCCATATGTTTCTATAGCATTTCATATGGAACGACATGTATTATAAAACTTAATTCATCTGGAAATTATTGAAACTTATAATTTTGGAATAGGTTTGATTGAAACATCCTTGCACTTTCACAAAGTAAACATCAGTCACAATCATTTGGTATTTATTATTGACTATGATCTTCGTAGATACAGTCTCTTGTGTAATTTGGTCCACTTATTGGTTTAGGTCATTTAAATGTTCTTAAAATCTTGTTATTTTAGATCAAATGTTCTTTATCAGGCCATGAAATGCCTTGTCAAGAAGAAGCTATCCAGAGCTACATTAAAGGCAAAAAATTTCAGAAACTGCAATCAAAAAATCTCTACAGTTATGACAAATATAAGGAACACATAGTGAACAGCAAGAAGAAAGGCAGAGAGTATGTATATTTACATATAAGTGTTTCATATCTTGTCAAATTTTGCTACATATTCTTACTTGGGTAAGAATTGTAAAGATTTTATCATTTTAATGCACTTTTTTGGAAAAATTCCTTTTCAAACCTTTTCATTTTAGTGCCAAATCACATGCCAATATTACACCTCTTAACATCCTAACTAGTAACTACACATGTATTTCCAATCATTCCACATATATAATTTATTCACATTTTTCTGAATTTGACAATCAATTTTTAAATTTATTTGCAGGCATCAATTATTTTGCCTACTCACTCTGAGACATTTAAACAATAACCCAGAACACATCAAACGACACATAGAGGGACGGAAATTTACCAAGGCTTACGCCAGATGTAAGTATTTGTGTGGGTTCTGGAAACTTTGATTTTGGTGAGATTAAAAGAAAAAAAAACTGTCAAACATCAGTAAATTTATTGCATGATTTTTGAGTTAAGCTTACATGTTTCTGAATAAATATACACATGAAAACTTGTAAAACCAAACGAAATATGAATCTGAATTTAATTTTTTAGTGGATAATGTATCTGCATTTTTTTGATTTAGGGGAAGAATGTCAGAAAACTGGTGAAAAGTTTCAGCCATTGGCAGGAAAGAGGAGGAAAGACACAGAAGAGGAGCTGGAGGAAGGAGAGACAGGAAGTGATGTCGACAGTCTCAGTGACCTATATCCAGGTAAGCAGTGGAACTGTTAATGTTGGTTAATGTAAGAATGGAATCAAACAGCTGCCTCAAAGCCCTTGAGAGTTGATCCTCTCATTATAAAGACAGAAGTAGGACTTTTCATTTTTTGAAAAGTAAAAAATATTGATAAAAATATTCAGTCTCACTTTGAGTCTCCTATGCATCCATGTGCAATATACCATAGTTAATGTTTCATATATTTTCTTTCTCTGAATATGAAGTCTTAAATCGTTTTATTAGACGTTTAGAACTCAGGTTTTTGTTCTTCTACAATAACTTACCAGTACTTATGAATAAATGAAATACAAGCTCTGAATTAATACTTAATGATACATTACTTTTCTGTCATGGTATGCAATGTAGATAATTGTGTGAGGTGTAAATATTTCTATCCTTTGTTTACAGCTGAGGATTTAAATGAGGAGGAGGAGGAAGATTCTGCCTCAGATTATGACGTGGATGTCATGGAGAAGGAGAACGGAGAGGACAAGTCAGTGAAGAATCTCAGTCAGGGACAGAAACGGAAGAAAAGGGAGGTCAGTAGGGTGAACCAGTACTTAATGATTGCGTCAAACAGCAAGAATGACCATTATCAATAGAGGATATGGGAACCAAATGAGAAAAACTTTAAAAAATAAGTCATTTAGGATATAACAATATTTTTTAGAGAAAATTAAAATCAAATTAATAAATTTTAATAAAATTTAGCTCTTAAAATGGGATAATTATTTTACTTAAAGTGAAAAATGTTATCAAATTTAGAACTGAATATAAACAGATGTATGAAATATTCCACTTTTAGATGGATTGACTTTGCTTAAAAGGTGTACTGGTTCCTGTCTATTTTCCAAAGTGTTTTAATTCTTTATGATCACAAGTAATTATTGACAGAATTTGAGTTTTCAAGAGGAATGTCCAAATGTTCTTTTTTTTATTTTCCAGGGAAAGAAAAAGACAAAGAAGAAAAAGACATAACACAATCTGTTATAAATTATTAAATCATCAAAAAAATTTTACTGTTATTTTAACATTTTTGATCATGGGTCAAGTCATGAAATATTGGGAAGAGACTTGTTTGTTATGTACATGGTCATTGGTTTTGCTTTAAAGTATGTTTGTTCATGAAATGTTGATTATGCATTGTATATCATTTGTTAAGTTTTTATGATCATTGAAATTAAAATAATTGTTTGTTTTCTCATTATGGTAATTTTTTGCCCTTTCCGCTGCCCATATACAGTTACATGTGCATGTATTGCACATGAAAAACATTAATACCAAATCTTTGCTACTTCAGAGGTTATAAAAAAAACAATGAAAACTTCAAGATTAGGGATCAACAATGATGGTATATTCAGAAAGATCTTATCACAGTTCATGCACATGTGAAATATGAAGTTAAATTTTCTATTAATCAAAAGTTATGACCAAAGTTTAAAATTTTGGTGATAGATGGATAAACTTGAACTTTATATCTATGAGCTGACATAATTTCATAGTGTCTGAACACATTTCTTGATGATTGATGCCTTTTTTGGTTTTACCCTAAATGATTTTGTTAAAAACAAATACGTCAAAATTTTCTTATAATAAGCTTTGTTAAAGTGTCCAAAAAATGTGAAGTAATTTGAAGCGAATTCGAAATAAAATATGAAAAATAATAATACAAGACTTTGTTTAGGCGGAAAAAGCTCACTAGGTAAATGGAATAAAACGCTAACTATAGCATAGGAAGGGAGGTCTCTTCTTGTAAAGAGTATTTTGCAATAGTAAATTTTCCTTAATATGCTGCCCCCCCACTTTTTATAAAATAGAGCACTGTCAAATTGCAATTTTGAAATCTTTTAGATGGACATGACAGAGCACGACATTTTCCTTAATTTTGTACAATTTCAACAAACGCATCTTTTCGGGTCTTTCCGGTAAGCTCGCAAAAATAATCGTTTTTCGTTTTGTGAGAAAGGCCGGAGAAGTTGAAATGTCGTTTTGTTTGATTAATTATATATTGTTTAACGTCCCTCTCGAGATTTTTTCACTTATATGGAGACGCCAACACTTGTCGGTGGAGAGCTACAAATTTTGTCCCATGCTCGGCACTCAGGGCCATTGCGCAGTGAGGGATCTTTTTCGTGCCAGCACCTACTGTGACACGGGACTTTGGATTATACTGGTCATCCGAAGGACTGGTCTCCACGTCCCACAGTGGGATTCGAACCTGCGACGTAATGATCAACTCCTTACTTCCCGCCTCTAGAGAAAATGCTCTAACCACTGCGCCATTCGGGCGACAAAATGTCGTTTTGAGTTTCAGTTTATTGATGCATGGCAAATGGTTCCAAAATTTCATTTTAGACTCTTTAGAAGACTGGTTCGTCTTCGTAATAAGGATACGCGTGTAGGAATATATAAAGTAAATCTTTGTTTTTTTTCTTTGCACATGTCAAAAGATTCTCAAGCATGCGCTAGTCTACTCCAGAGGGCGGGAGTTCAGATTAATCCGCTTTTAATCATTTGTTCATGCTTGATTTGGTTTCTATTGATATTAATGTACAGTATTTTTGCTGCTCTTTTGTTTTGTTTTTGTATTATTTTTTTTCTTTTTGCATGACATATTGTATTATATTTTTTTTGTTTCCAATCCTTTTGATTGGGGGGGGGTTAGATTTACTTTGTTAAGTTTACTTTGTTAAGTAATGAAAATATCAAACCAACCTCTTTGGAAACTAGGATCCTATAAAATATGACAAGGAGGGCAATGTATTTGAAGAAAATTGAAATTGACACTGAATAGTTTTCAGGTGGGGCTTTGTAATTTTATTTTATTTATTTATTTCGTTTTTTTGCTAGTCAAAAACATTTCTACGCGCGTCTCTTGTCTATGTGGACGTGAATGCGGAACCCCCCCCCCCCCCCCCCAAAAAAAAAAAAAAAAAAATCCAAGATCCCTACGTGTTACTACAATATGAAAACATTTCATTAATTTTTTTTTTTAAATAAACATGATACATCATTAAATTAATTCTTCTCTCACATAACTAATGTAATAATGAAATTCACCTGTTATGAACTAAACAAATGTTAATGTTTCTCAAAAATTGATGGTCTATGCAGTTATAAACATGAACTTTTCTTCCTGAAAACAGCATAATGTCCACGTATTAGCACACCTCAATCTTAATAAATGTGATTAATGACGCATTTTTTACCACGCACCTAAAAGGTAATTTTTTTTTTGAAAGACATTTTGATTGGTGGCTATAGACAATCCTGTACACACGCATAAGAAAAAAAAAATCAAAACCAAATAAATTTTAAATCGCGTTTGTTTCAATTTTATTTTTAATCAGATGTTTCTTAACTCTACAGGAAATATAAATGTATAGTAGAATGATGTTTAAAAATAGCCTAACTGTTGTTATCCTTTGTATATCAAGTCTTTGGTAAGTATTGTAACTCGAATTAAATAAATCGAAACAAAATATTCCAAATTAGAATTTACTTTTCACAGTTACAGTATTTGGTGTATTATTATTTTTTTTTTCTATTTTTTTTTTTATTTTTACAGTTGCGATGGATGGATTCTACACGCGAAATCCCTTTGTAAGGAGATGAATGAGAATAGTGCAAAAGGTGCGGTTAAACTTAATTCAAGTTTTTTTTCTCGGTCCTACATGTAATATAATTATAAAACACAAGATATTATAATTAAAAACTTTAGATATTTCACTGTTTTATGAATACTAAAAATACAGTTACAATTGTCATGGCATGTTAAAATAATTAAAAAATATATTTAAGGTATTTAAGAAAGAATAAACTCAACCGTTGACTATTGTATTCTTTACCTTTCTACATCTGAAATAACTATTTTTGACATTTGACATTTTTGACATTTCAGGAAGCAATATAACAATCAAGTACACAATACGTAACCATTTTGCGGAACCTTGGTTTGAATATGAACAAAACGTGACGTCAGAGGCGGGTCAACCATTCATTAGGTTCATGGAGCAGGCGGCAGAAAACGATATCAACTTCCAGTGAGTACTTTTTTTCGTGGACAGAGTTTGGTTTTTACGGTATACCTTACCATAAAGACTATAGACTGGAAAAGGAAGACCTTGTTTTTGAGTTTTAGTATCCTGGATTCACTCACAAGGGCCTCCTATCCCACCTTTTCTCTACTATACATATTGCAAACTCCGAATAAAACTTTAGATCTTGCTTGGAATAAAAACTTTTTTATTATGTTTAACAGGGAATAAATGCACTGTATTTTATGTGTAATACGAAATAGCGGAAAAGGAAGCCCCCGTGATTTTTTTGTTAAAAATTACATGTAAAATTCACTCAATTACATTTATATTTTCAGATTCTCTTCGAGACACTCTAGCAAGCAAGGCTATGCTGTCGAGGGGCTTGGAAAAGACATGTTAGCTGGTACTCCTGGTTTGGCTCACTGGCGGTTTCTTAAAGCGCCATCTACCGTCCTAAGTCTAGGTAAGAAATTAAAATTAACAACGGTGAACCATTTTTTTGTAAAGATTCACCAATTGATAGCTGAGTATTGTTTAAAAAAAATTAAAATTCAACTTTATGGATAGTTTTTGCAACTCATCATGCTATAAAACAAACAAATACAACTTTTAACCCTCCTATCTTATGAAATAAACACGTACTAAATGAGATATTTTATTAAATCTAATGTTTTATACATTTTCAGATGTGAGTAGATACATACCAAAAGATGGTGACCATTTAATCTTGGACTTTGCCACAGTCTGGGATTTTGCCATGTAAAGGGACGTTTTTGCAGACCATTTCATCAGAAATCCACCATGCGTTGATAATTGTATAAATTATGAATTTATATTTGTTCCTTGTTCATATACAATTGGTATTTTTGTATTAATTTATTAAAAGAAATATCTTTATACAGTATGTATATTAAAGTTTATCATATGTTTTACTTTATATGAAATTATTTGAAAAAGTAAGACAAAAGACAAACAAGCGTCTTTCATCTTAAAAATTGCGAACAAGATAAAAACAGGGAGCCCTTATAACACCAGTGCTTACGAGTAAAAGCATCCATTTCAACCTGACAAGTACACCGTCGACCCCTTTCAACGATTACGATCAGTTACATCAAGGACCCATATAGGACTGAGGAATGACAAAATGACGAGATTTCAGCTTCTAATAAACTTTTTGTTCTGTTCAATGAAATATATGGAGATAACGAATAGTATTCAAGCTCAAAAGTGTATAAAACATAAAAAGGAGCAGAGCAAACACGGACCTCCAAAACACTATCAGGTGCCATGGAGGAGTGAGCTTCCCCTGCCAACCGGTCTCATCCGCCGTGTGTTCCTTGACATGATCGGGAAATAACAGATGAATCCTCCATCAATTCAGTATGTTAATAATGGACTAATTATAAGTATGAAAAATGTCATTCAGCATCTGACTCAGTGATAAATTGTATTTGCTGACAAGTTAATTGCATCGACCATAGAACTTACGAAATGATGACTTATTTCGTCACATAATTTACCTCGTTCTAGACATTATACATACGTAGAGCATACTCTTGGATAACTAATCAGCTAAGAGATATAAACTCCATATGCAGGTGATAAAGGTATATTGCTGCATAAGTAAGGGAAGTTGACGAAATAAAGACATCACGTTTATAATAAAGCTTGGTTGTTAGATTACCATTAACGTCTTTTTCAAGTAAAATATCCCAATATGAAACAGATGTGTCAGACTCTATATATGGTATCTTTTATCTCGAGTTGACCAGGGTATATCGTATCATAAGAATGAAAATTACCATTGTTAATTGACAATACGTCTTCGATATATCTAAACGTTGAGTTGAAGGCCACAGCAAGTGTTTTCTTCTATTCACATATAAGATTTTGGACAAATTCTGCTTCATATGAATACAAAAATAGATCTGCTAATAACAGGGTGCAATCGTTACCTAGGGGAATTCCAATGGATTGATGGAAGACCTGGTCTCCAAAAATCACATAGATATTGTCAATCAGAACTCAAGCATTATTCTGATGTCAAATTCAGCAGTGTTCAGAATACTTGTGTGTACAATCAGAATGTTTTTAACAAAATAATTTTGCAAACGGCCAATGACAAAGTATATTTACGCGTTCCATTTTTTATTGAAAAAGCAGCCATCAATGATATCAACAAGCCTGGACTTTAATTATCGTGAGGAATCGTCGTAGCGGATATAAAGTTGAAAAAGTTGTAAGTTTTTATGGTGTTAATTTTGGGGAAAAAATTGTGATTTAAAATTTTCCAAAAGTTCCTTCGGATTTTTTAAATATCCACATCACAGTTCTTTGATATTTCTCCTTCAATACTGTTTAGTGAATAAAGAATATTGCTAGAACGCAGAACTCCGCTATATATATATATATATATATATATATATATATATATATATATATATATATATATATATATATATATATATATATATATATATATATATATATATATATATATATATATCTGTTTGTAAGGATTTTTATGCAGTTTTGGAATCCAATATAGATATATTTTATTTAATTTTGGTAGTTTAGAATATTGAAAATACTCAAATCTGACATTATGTTTTTGAAGAACTTCTTCCTTAGAATGAAACATTTGGAGATAAGAAACAGTATTCAAGATCAAAAGTCAATAAAACAATACAAAACAGGAGTAGAGTAAACACGGATCTCCAAAATATCGGAGGTGGGATCAGGTGCCATGGAGGAGTGAGCATCCCCTGCCGACCAGCCACACCCGCTGTTTGCTCCCTGCCAGGATCGGGAAATAACGGAAAAATCCGTCGTCAACTCAGTGTATAAATAATGGACTGACAACCAGTATGAAAAACGTGAGTAAACATTTGACTCAATGGTAAATTGGATTTGCTGAGAAGGTAGCCGGATCGACCATAGAACTTATGAAATGATGACTTTAAACGAGACTGCTGAAATTCTTGTTTCATCAACTTGTTTGTCAATAATTTACCTCGTTTTAGAAATTGTTCATACAAGAGCATGCTATTGCGTATCGAATCAACTGAGATATATACACTCCGTATGCAGGTGATGAAGGTATATTGCTTCATAAGTAAGGGAAGTTGACGATATCACGTTTACCTTAGAGCTTGGTTGTTAGATTACCTTAAATGTCTTTTTCAAGTAAAATATCCAAACACGAAACAGATGTGTCAGACTTTGTGGTGTCCTTTATCTCAAGCTCACCAGAATATAACGTATCGACATAGGAATGAAAATGGAATAGGAGTATAATGAGGAGTACCATATGTAGAATTAAATTCAAGTTCCGCTATGTAATGAATAATACAGCTTTCAAAGTTGCACCTCCATCAGTTAAAAGACTTGGTTTCGCATTTTCACCCAAGTACTGAAGATCTAAAACAAAATCCTATTCATAGCTCTTGCTTTTTTTTCAACTACATTTTTGCCGGACACGTCATTACTGGGGATTTTATTATAGTTGAAGAGGAAGACATAAAATCAATCACCGTAAAATTTCCTAAATACAGGCGACCCCGATTTTATAATTGACGACAGAACTTCATATCTATTATTTTTTCTGTCTTATGTACGTATACAAGACATATAGATTGCAGATTTATTGTAATAAAATGTTAAATTCCTTTGATAAACATCAGTTCTGAACACAATTTCCCTGTAGTACATAGTCCAGAATAATGTGATCTCCGTCCTGTGGAATATAGGTACTCACTCCTGCAATAATACACTACTGATTACCTAAACTGTTTTGTTAATAAATGTCACAGGTTCAATGTAAGAAATGGTGTATTTTGAAAGCAAAATTTTTAATTTCTATTATAAATAGAGAAAAAATATGAGGTGTGCTTTTACTTACTTTAGATATGAACTAAAGAGGAATGCTTTCTTTAATAAATATCATCTTCTGCCCGTAATGTAATTGAAACCTATAAACCCTATTACTTATTACGTCCTTAATCCAAATTATTCTAGCAGTAAACGTTAAAAAATACGTAGGGCTCAAGTGTATTTCCAAGTACAATTTATATTACATTTATAAAGGGGAGAGAAGCCCCCGCACAGAACTTACCAACTGGCAATACTGTAGACGGCGCTCTCAGGAACTGCCAGTAAGACAAACCAAGAACGCCCTCCCTACTTGTTTCCTTTCCTAGCTTTTGTATGAAGTATCCAAGTTTAGCATAATATGTTGATGAAAACCTGAAGAAATACGAAATTTAAGGTTTAAAACCGTCATACTATGAGTTCCGAGTTTAATAGTTTTAGCAGATTATATTAAAGTATGTCTAAAATGTCAAAACGAGATTGTTTATTTCACGTTATAATTTTAGGAAGTAAGCTGGAATGAATTATTAATTATAATTAATATTAATAATAGTCTATCACTTCTAATAAGCATTTTTATCCTAACCAGAGTTAGAAAATAAAATGTACTCACTGAAAGTTTTTGTCGTTATCAGCCGCCTGCTCCATGAACCTGATGAATGGCTGACCAGCCTTTGACGTCACGTTCTGTTCATATTCAAACTTAGGTGTCGCCAAATTGTTACGTATCGTGTATAAGATCGTTATTTTTCCATTTTCTTAGAAAAGGAAATAATATAAAAGTGTAATAAATTTTAATACAGATATGGTCCGGACAAACAAATCAGTGTTTCATAATTGCATAACAAATGTAACAGGCATGTTTGTATGTCTTAAAGCGCAATTGGTATTCTATAAATATTTATATGTCTTTAACATTCCTTACAAATTAGAATTTGTTCATTTTCTCATGAACTATCATGGGTGAGCATGAATATCTCCATTGTTACGTCATAATACCGCACTTGACGTCAAAATTATAGTGCTAACGCGCTTCATGAATATGCCGGCGTGAAGCGTCGTAGTTCATAACCTCATGAATCTTCAAAAATTAAATTCATTTCTTAAGTAAACATCTATTTTTAGCCACATGTATATCCTTTTTAGATATATTGATTTTTTGCTTAGATGTATATATTTCGAAATTTATGATATCCTTGAATTCACTACGAAAAATTTGTGTCAAGGAAATTCTTAAAAACATTTGCATTTTTAAGGAAAAATGCTTTTTGAATTACTATAAAAAAAATAGTACAGTGAAGTCGCCAATTCCGGGTCATATCAGGGTGTTTCTTTGATATTTTGCAAACCTATTCAATTTATATTTTATGCAATATATGTATTGAAAGAACAAATAGTGAGTCATGCAAACACCTTTTCGTTTTCAAAGTAGCTGCACGGGAACAATATTTACAGGGGTATTTCAGCAAGGCCTAGCCTCCCCAGTTACAAATCATTTTCTCCACTTTACGATCGTGTAATATTCATGGAACGTTTCGGAACACGATTTTTATGATGTTGAAAAATAAAACAATTCATGCAGCTTGGAAAAAAAGTAAAACAACCACAGAAATATGTTTAAATTATTTTTAAAACAATTACAACAAAACATGCTGAATTAAAAAATGTATTAGGATTAAAAATAATACAATTAAATTCATTTATTTAAAAAAATGCATTTGAAGGGTTAACTCGATTTTAATTTTTAGAAAAAAATATTTTACAGTTAGAATACTTTTGATAATCAAGGTAAATACATGTTTGTCGATTGGTTTTGTACATAGAATTTTGACATGTTCATGCCACGAGATTGCGTGACCCGCAATTGGAGAGACTACTATAGTTTGATTTAATAATCATTATACGTTTATTTGAGCAGCGATCATTATGATTGATTTCTGAGTTAAAATTAAATGCATTTGCCATACTTTCGAGCTATCATTATTTATCCAGAACTTTTATATCAGCCTTTCTGCTGCGAACAAAAACGAAAGTAGCCCGTCACCGCAGCAGAAACATCCAAGTCTTTAATGCGTGCGTTTCAGAATTTCGATTGTCGGATGCTCTCTTCAAGTTTATATTCAAAATTTTGTAATTAATTACGTACAGAAAGACCACGCAGTTCTTCATGACCAGCGTATTCATTAAGTTTTTTGCGCATAAATTTTAACACTAGGCATAAAATACACGCGGGTGACCCGGAATTGGAGACGACCCGGAATTGGCGACTCCACTGTAGTAATTGCATAAAACAACATTGTGACAAATGTTAGTCACAAGTCTTCCTAATTTCAGTGGAATAACAATTTCTTTTTAATCCGTGGGTAGAAAATTAAGCAGATTTTTAACACGACGCGGAAAAATGTTCGCACAAGTTTTTGAGTTAAATTTAAAACTTCGTCTTAAGATGCAGATCGTAAATTTGAAAAAAGTAAACTGCGTTCTACAATCCGATTCCACAAAATCCTGTATCCGCATTCATGTATATATTGAACTTGTCTCCAAATCAGATCATAGATATGTTTATCGAAGAGAACACCTGTTACAAACTATCACTGGAAACGTGCATAACAGTACCTATAGCAACTTGAAAGATGAGTGGTTTGAAAAACTTTATTTGCACTTGTTTTTCAATCTTGTTTTTGTTCTATTTTAAAAAAATGAATAAATTCAAAAAGGCCACCTAAAATTCATCGAAATCCACTGACAAAACATGATCCTCTTTCTATTTGTATTGCTCTGGATTTGCATTGTTTCAATGGATTTTGAGCTCGAATTCTGTTTCTTACCTCCATACACACAAGAATTCCACTCAATAGTACATGTAAATAATTGTATGTTTCGAGGGGAAAAAGTGACGACTAGGCTCCCTGTCTACCTAACAGGCACTTGTTTCGGAAAATTTGTTTTAACCCATAATATAGCATCCACAAGTCATTTAACGTTATTTATTACGCTATGTGACAGTATACAAAACTACCAGTTTTCAAAAGCGTATTTAACACATTTTCGTGTCTCTAACTAAAAAAAATCTAATTGAACTGTAAAGATAAATTGTTAAACAATCTAAAAATTATAATTTTATAATTTTTTATCGCTGTATTTCGTTTTAATTCCTATCAAATATTCAAGCATGTTCTGAAATTAAACGTCACGATTTTAGCGCGTCGTAAAAACCGCATTCTTTTATTCCGCTGTTTATAGGACAACAGAGGATATATTCAGATTTCTCTGTACAATGGTAGATACAGCTGATTATTCTGAATATAATGATACCAAACACGACTAGCCAGATTCGTATATTGCTATGATTATGGATAGTCAAATGTAAGCATTTTTTCGGACAGTTTTTTCACCCGTTTGACGAACCGGTTGCATATGTGTTACAATAATAGATCGAAAGAGAATCTTCTCCTCTTTAAGAAACTGTGTAGATTTATTTTCCTTACATCGGCGCTAAGAAGCGATCTTTCAAATAACAACACAACATATAGCCAGCGTGAATGATATTTGACGTCATTTTCAAGCCCTCCACGATTCCTGGAAATTGTTTTGTAATGGAGTTTGTTTACTGTAACTATAGAAATATTCAGAGGGGGATAACTCTCGATGTCTTTTTTATGGGGTACCCGAAGGGGTAATTTTAAATATAATAATTTTTTATCTAAGAAAAATACTAATTAAACATGTCAAAAATATAATATACAAGGAACGATGATTATAGGACTGAAAAAGAAAACTTCTATAAAGTAAAATTGACGTTATAATTTTGATGCAATAAAAAATTATAATCATGAGTAAGAAATAAAATAAAAATGTCAGAAAATAAGTACCTAGTGTAAAGAAAAAATACAATAGCCTTCTGATTTTTTAATTAAAAGGAATGTAAATAAATTCAAAATATCTATCTTTGAAAAAAAAGGGGGGATTAATACCCCTATACCCCCCCCCCCCCCCCCCGGTTTCGACGCCTATGTAGAATATGAACATATGGATGGGTAGACGGATGAATAGTAAAAATCAAATAGGCAAAATAATATTACTGACGCATCAAAGAGGTTTAAAATTTAAACAAGAAATCAAAATTGTGGTCCCCCAGCTGCATTTCTGGTATTTTTCACTGAGAGCATCTCGGGCGGCTCATACATTGCACCTCGGAGGTTTGAATGGAGCCTAGCGGAGTCAGCCGAGGATTGCCGATTGGAAATTTTTTCGATGTTTCAACTTTTCATGGCCGACATGTTTTAGTTTTCATTTCTGACATTTTAAAATTTTCATTTCAGACTCTTCAGATTGTACTTTTTGGTTATTAAAATAGGATTGAAGAACTCACTTCTCAAAAATTTTATTTTAGTAATGAAAATAAATTAAAGTATATATCAAATGTCTTAGACATTGACATATTTTGAACAACATGGGGATGAAAGTTGCATGTAGATGTACTATACATGTACGTTTATAGACAAAATCTTTAATTTGTTTTACCGGCTGTTTGTCTCTATGTGGGTAATATTACGTTATTTATGGCATATTGTTCCAAAATGAACGCCCTGTAATATGTCATTCAAAAGTTATAACTAAAGTTGATTTTTTGAAAATTAATCAAAATATAGGTCCAGATCAAGGGGGTTAGAAATCATAGCAATGAACATGTTAAATATGAAAGCATTATCTCTTCTCAATCAGAAGTTATAAGGGGGAAATTGCATTTTTGAAAAGTATGTCAAACGTCAAGGTTCAAGGTCACAAGGTCAATATCCATAGTGTATTTAGAAATGATAATATACATATGAAATGTGAAAGCCTATACAGTGTATTTTCCATCGTCACAAACCACGACTAAAATGTACAATCCTTCACAACTTAAGTGGACGCCAAACCGTGGCTTGTGACTTTGTATCTTTTCTCATTCAAAAGTTATGACCAAGGTTCAAGTTTTTGAAAAGCATTTCGAACTTCAAGATCAAGGTCATGAGGTAAAAAAATTTTAATCGATATGAAAGTTTGAAGTCGCCGTGCGGAAACTTAGAACAATTTAAATAAAAATGTTATTTATATTATATAGAATATTAAAAAATGCTATTTTAAATGTTTAACAAAAAGCACAATAATCATAAAATCAAAATTTTATAAATAATGGGTGTAAATGATATCTCCAATCCTGATTGACAAACTCTAACATGACAGAGACTTGAAAGAGAAGAAATGTAGTGGTGGATTTAAAAAGGGGAGTTGGGTGGGTGTGTTAACATTCTCTAAGAGAGAATAATATTTTATATTTGTTGCGAAAACTACTTTAGCATTAAAACCGGAGTTCGTTTACAAGTATCAAACTGAGTGCAGATACACAGAAGTCTATGGACAGTTTGCTTATACAAATACAGTTTATTGTATATGCATTATGCATGACGAAAATCGGCAATGTCGCATGCACGTGTTTTATGTCACGAGGATATTTTGATAGATTAAAGTAAGAAATTTTAAAAACAGATCACGCAAATTTCAGTTTCTTATTACTATATCAAAGGAACAATTAATTGGGTTTGCGGCCGATTTTTGACGCTTGCGACAATATATAGGTTTCTTGTAGTGTATTTAAAAAGGTCTTGTCACAGATTAAACACATGAATAATATAAAATTCTATTTCTTCTCTGTTCTAATTCTAAAGAGATGACCAAGGTTGAATTTTTGTGACATACGAACAGATTTACAGTCTGACTGACAAACAGACAGACATAAGATATAAAGAAACCTCGATCGCTTTCGCAAAAGCGGGGCAAATCAAATGTTTTACACCAGAGAGAGAAAGAGAGAGAGAGAGAGCACAAAAAAAATCGGACAACCTTTAACACACATTAGGAAAGATCTACATGTCTAACTAAATGTCGTTCAAATGAATTTTAAATTAAATTCCCCCCTCCTTTTTCTTTTCAGATTTTATCATATGCTGCTGTCATATCTATGACTGATATTTTTATTTTTTAGTTAAAAATATAAGTCTCCACTTACATAACGGAATAATTTAAGATTTACATCACGCTCCCAGTTAATACTAGTTCATTACCAATTCTCCGCATCGTATCAAATGTATTCGTATGAAGAATTTAAAATACAATTTAATTTATAACAAAAATTCATGATTTTTAGTTTCCTTATATGATAAGTGGATATCACTCCAACTCTCTATAAATCCCAAGTCCAGGAATTAAAGTAAGGGGGCGCCCATAATTGTATGTCTGGTTTAAGCTGAATTCTAGAGATTTTGTAGGAAAAATTGAGGTTAACCGAATAGACATTTTTACAATTTCTTGACGAAACTATGATTTACGCTAACTTTGACAATCTTTGGGGGGGGATGCTTTGTATTGTGCCAAACACAAAGATTAATTTTACAAAAGGATAAAGACAGTCTTTAAATTTCTAGTAATTAATGAAAAAACCCAGTGACCTTGACTGTGACCTGTATGTTAAAAATAGTTTTTTCGTTTTTAGTTAACCTTTGCAATAACTTTTGAACCACAAGAAAAAACTTCATTTTTGGTATCCATATTTTTAATCATGTTCTCTCTCAAATGACAGCCAGGTCAATTGCCTTGTGACCTTGACTGTGACATATGTGCCAAAAAGTTTTTTTTTATTTTGTCGTTGCCGGGCGCATAGTGTTTCACAAACAAATCTTGTTTTAAATTAATTTGTGATCATTTTTATTGATTGGATTTGTTGACGTCTTTTTGTAAGCATAAAAAAAATTCGTGTCCCATGTGACCCAATTAATTACACTGAAAGAAGACTCTCACTATCTAATGATTCAAGTCAATCTAGGTGTTTGATGCAATTGAACTTTAATAACTCTGATTCTGGGCTAAGAAATAAGAAGAGAGAGATTATATTTTGAATACATTACCTTAAGTTTTGACCTCAATGCTACTAGGTATTTTCTTCAGAAAAGTGGTCACACACTATAACAATACCTTTACATTTCGCAATCTATTTTTAGTAACAATGCTTGACCAGAAAATTTCGAAATGATATTTTTCTTAAACAATTTTTTATAAGCTTTATATGATATATAACACAATGGTAAATACTAAATTTGAAATTTGACTTGTGGATGCTACATAATATAATAATATTAATATTATTATATTGATAATGTTATTTAACTTGAAAATTTTTCGAAACAAGTGCACAATCCCTCCCTGAATAGTACGTGACTGAATGTCTTTTATTTTGATAACATTTAAGATTTTATCACATCAAAAACTAATTATTATATCAATTTTATCAGCTTTACCCTTTTCTCCTTTTCCGGGATTCGGTTCTGGACTTGTAAGACACCTGTAAATAAAAAAAACTAATGACTAACTTATCGTCCATCGCCTGTCTAATATTTGTTGTCTCTTTAAGAGTAAAAAAAATTCTAGCATGTGACGTAAAACAATATACAATCTATCTTTTTGATATATTAAGACTAATTGATAACCATACCAATACTTAAATGATTAACAATGCTGGAATTAGACTAAAGAAATGAATGTGAAGTTTCAACCTATAATTTGCCATCGATAGGCATGAAGAAAAATATATAACTTTTATATATTCCAATAAACACATATGTACAAACATTTTTCATCAAACATTAAAGCAAATTATTTTCATATCAAATGGTAGTGATAACATTTAAAATGCATCATGAAATTTTACCTGACACAGGTGGCGAGACAGAAGAGAATTGTCAGATGAGATTTGAAGTACATCCTGATCTTCTGATCTTAACCAAAGGACAGTGGTGTATTGTCTTATATACCCATCTAAAACTGAACGCATTTTATTCATCCACGTGATGAAACGAGGAACAAATTAGAAAACACGTCAATAAATACCTGGGAAAATCCAATGCATTTATGCATCCTAGATGTCAAGGCAATCGGTGTACTAGCAGATAAATTGGTTCCGCCCTCCCTAGTATATTACTTGTATATATTAGAATTTTTTTTATCTAAACTAGAATTTATTACAATCTTTAAATGAAAATGGGAATTTGAAATGTCATCATACACTCAGTAATACGAATCTAATCTAGTCAGCTGTTACATGTACATGTATGTGGATTTAGATCAAAGTGTGAATTAAAGTCTCTCGAAATCTGTGATATTTTTGCAGTGTTGTATCATAATTAAAATTTATTTTAAAAAAATGTTTATATGACTAAGTGAATTAATTATATTGTGCATTTAATTAACATGTTATTATTTATAGACTAGGATATGTGAACATATTTGTATTTAAACATTCATGGTATATTTTTGAAAAATGTTATGTGGTTTTAAAGTTTCTTTAGTTTATTATGTTGAAGCTTTCTCAATTCATTTCTAAAGCTGGCATTCCTTTAAATCGACCACATTTAATCAAATTGATAATGATAGTTACTTCCATTTATTACAAAAAATAAAATAAAATAAAAATCTGAAATACTATAGCCTTGTCATATTTAGAGGCTCTACTGACACTACCAATGTATTCGATACTTAACAGTATACTCTGATTACGATAACTTTTTCACAACTTCTATGTATTCTAATATTTTTGAATGTTTATTTAGAAACTGCAAATGTTTTTACTTCTTCAGACTTTTATTAAATGATAAAAGACATTCCCCAATCAAAAAATATTATAGAAAACAACAAATCCTCATTGATTTTCTACATTTCGTTAAAAATATATTACTATGTGCTGCTAAAATTTACATCCCCGTTGAAGTACGTAAGTTATATGAGATCTTAAGTCTCTTAATGAAATATATGGAGATAACGAACAGTGTATTTGCTAAAAATTCCATTAAACAATACAAAATTGGAGCAGAGCATACACAGACTTCTAAAACATCAGATAGGATCAGGTGCCATGGAGGAGTGAGCATTCGGTGCCGACCGGTCACACTCGCCGGATACATGGGAAAATCTTTCGGCAATTCGATGTCATTGTGTAAATAATGGCCTAGCAATCGGTATGAAAAATGTCAGACTTAATGATACATTATATTTGCTGACAAGGTCAATGTATCCACGTTTTAAAAGCTTACTGCCAATATGATAAGTGTTTCTTGTTTTGTTCTAAAATGGTAGCAGATTGAGCACTTACAACCTCAGTTGAATAATTATATAACAAGACAACAGGTGTTATTGCGAACTTCGTTTTAGTAAAATTGATTTAAATGTTATCATTTTGAAATGAGGAGATATGTATTTGGCTTCATGTTTATCCATATGCCCATGCACAAGGACTTATTATATTAGATGGTACAATTATATCAAGTCTTTTTTAAAGCCAACATTAAATTCTATATGTCGATAAAGTGACCTTGTCAGTAAATAAATTAAAAACGAATTGGTCGGCCATCATTTTCCACTGAGTTCATTACAGATATTTCTGTTTGCCCTATCGTGACAAGGAACACATGGCGGCAGGGAATGCTTTCTCCGCTATGTCACCTCATCCCACATCTGGCCTGGGGGCCATAAAACTTAGACGAGCTCACTTTTGATCTCATTCTCTCACTTTTCCGCTATCAATCCCTTTTGAAAAAATGAGACTGAGATCAAAAGTAAGCTCATCTCAGTTTTATGGCCCCGGAGCCTGATGTATTTAGAAATCCTTGTTTGCTCTTCTAATTGTTATTGTTTCAACTTACATCCATTACATTATCTTCACTTTTCATGTAGGTTAGTATTAAGGTCCAATTACAATACAAGCCTATTTAATGAGTACATAGTAGTAGATAGATGAGGGCAGTGGGGAAGTTACTAGTAATTTGACTTTGAAATTAATTCTGACTTTGAAATTCACACAGAGGTTCTACGAAACATTAGGACATATGTTTTTTACTGGCTGAAGAGAGATAACCACTTATATACCAAGTAATTTAAGGTTTTCGAGTTATATATAAATTACATTTTTTGGTTTTATATGTAGAAAACGCCTCGTTGAAATTTATGACAGATTTGGTTGAAAAAAGTAGGAAGGCGCCATTATGAGAAATTTGAAATCAGTGACTGACAATAGCTAGCCGGTAGTTTGAGATACCAGAAGCCTGGGACGAATGGTATACTAGAATACCATAGAGTATGATACATCTGTTTCTAATCTGAATATTTTACTAGAAAAAGTCCTTTATGGTTATCTGACAATAAACTTATTAAACGAGCCGACTTTAACTTTTCACTAGAATACTTCCCGTACTTATGTAGCAATTTACCTTTATTATTTAGTTTAGATATGTCTCCTAGTTGATTCGATACCCAATATATGCTCTGCTTATACACAAGTTCTAAAAACGGGACAAGCTAACAACAATTAAGTTGATGAAACAAGAATATCAACATTCTCGCTTAAAATCAGTATTTCACAAGCTCTTTTGTAAGAAGCAATAACCTTGGAAAAAAAATCTATCAATAAGTCAAATGCTGACATGGTTCAAACTGATGGTCGACGGAGGATGCGTTTAACTCCTCCATGGCACCTGAACCCACTTTGGATGTTTTTCGAGATTTATGTATGTTCTGCTTTCGATTTATAGTTTCAATGTAGTACTGTAAGTACTTTTGAGCTTGGTTATTGTCCGTCTATGTCACAGCTCAATATTATTAATTCCATTGGAGAAGTTAGTACTTCTTATTATTGACATGAATGAATACAAACAACCCCTTTTTTAAGATATTAAAATTATTGAATTGAGTAAAGACCTTAACATAACTCATATTTTAATTGGTTTAGTCTTTGATCACATGAACGTCATTGACCTAAAGTTGAATCCATCCTCTTTCACATCGAATTAAAGACTCGGGAGCATGTATCACCTGGCAATTCTTGTCTATTTCTTATCCTTTCTCAGGTAAATTTTATCCTTCTTATAAAACAAGTTTTTATTTGGAATAGCTTTGTTTAATTGCGGAAAAATAATTTATGATGAATTTGTAACAGGAAGTATGGAAAAATACACACTGTTTTTATTGTGCTTTATATCATTAATATAATGTGTCGATAGTCTGCATCACAATTTTGTCGAGTAGTCATGGCCATTAATAAGGAATCATATCTATATAATGAGATAGCAGGGGTAAGGTTATAATTGTGAGTACAAAATTTACAACCATTTTTAAATCTTATACAAATGCAACTTTTTCACAGGACTGCCTACCTCGTTGAAAGCCCCTCAATCGTTTGAACCAAAAAAATTTTCTATGTACATAATTTAAAACAATTGAAATCACTTTTAATTTTAACAGCTTCATTAATGGCGAAGTTCTGTTTAATGAGATGGAAATGGGAGGCGAAAAAAGAGGTAATGCTGAGTGGACGAGGGAAAGATGAAGAGAATTATAAACAAATTATCCCCTACCACTTGAAAAAGTTTCTTCAAGAAAACCCTGCAATACAATATAACCAATATCTTATCATTTTAAAGGAACAATTCGTCAATTTTTAAGTTATTATAAACATTAAGTACAACATGAAGTAATTTATAGATTAAAACCATTGTCATTCTTTTTAAAAACTTTAACCACCAATTTAGATATTTACATACTGTTTTCCACATTGTTGTTTGAAATATGAGAAAATCAACTATTGTTTTGGTACTATGGGTCCATCCTAATTTTTAGTAAGTTAAACATCGTTATGATATACATTTGAAGGGTCATTGATGTATTATTCACAATAGTGATTCATTGCGATATAGACTTTCATCGTGTCAAGAACATACATGATAGCATTCACACAATGTTGGAAGTTTTGCTCCTCTTTTATTCCCTTTATCAAATACTAAAAAATATAGTACTGTATGCTCGACTCGTCTATTTTCTAGTATTCTAATTGTTATTTACTGTATACTGTATTATCACTTTACACACTGAATGAATCACTGTACACCCTGTTGATCATTGCACACACTGTGTTAAACACTGTACCCATTTTGTGTCTGTGTTGAAAAAAGAATATTATTACACTTCTTGCAGCTGGCTGAATAATAAATTAATAATTATTTCTAGCTTCCGACTTCCGATAGTAGATGTTTTGAATCTAGGACGTTTGTTTCTTTGTAGCTGTTAAAAGTTTAATTTCTGAGAGCGTTTTAATTACATGTATTTTATCAAAATGATTATAAGGCGAGAGTACTAGTACTTATAATTTTCAAGATCTTTGTACAAGCCATATTCTGAGATGATATAGATTTTACCCGCAGGTGTTTTTCAATACTTTGAAATCGTCATTGCTGTCTCACAAAGTTTTCCTTTAATGAATAGTGAACTTGAAGATTGTTTAACGTCCCTCTCGAGAATTCTTCCTACCTCTGATGCACTAGAGGTCCGTGTTTGCTCTGTATCTATTTTGTATTGTTTTATGGACTTTTGATCTCGTATACGTTATCTTCATATGCTTCACTCATATGGAGACGCCACCACTTGCCTGTGGAGAGCTGCAAATTTCGTACTAAACTCGGCACTCAGGGCCATTGAGTAGGGAAGGATTTTTTTTTTAACTACATTTTTGCTGGACACGTCATAACTGGTGATTTTAATATAGTTGAAGAGGAAGACCTAAAATCAATCACCATAAAAGCTCCTAAATACAGGGAACCCCGATTTTATAATTGACGACAGAACTTCATATCTATTATTTATTCTGTCTTATGTATACGTATACAAGACATATAGATTGCAGATTTATTGTAATAAAATGTGAAATTCCTTTGATAAACATCAGTTCTGAACACAATTTCCCTGTAGTACATAGTCCAGAATAATGTGATCTCCGTCCCGTGGAATATAGGTACTCACTCCTGCAATAATACACTATTGATTATCTAAACTGTTTTATTAATAAAGGTCACAGGGTTCAATGTAAGAAACAGCGTATTTTGAAAGCAAAATTTAAATTTCTATTATAAATAGAGGAAGACTATGAGGTGTGCTTTTGCTTACTTTAGATATGAACTAAAGAGGAATGCTTTCTTTAATAAATATCTTCTTCTGCCCGTAATGTAATTGAAACCTATAAACCCTATTACTTATTAGTAATTAAAACCTATAAACCCTATTACTTATTACGCCCTTAATCCAAATTATTCTAGCAGTAAACGTTAAAAATACGTGGGGCTCAAGTGTATTTCCAAGTACAATTTATATTATACTAATAAAGGGGAGAAAAGCCCCCGCCCAGAACTTACCAACTGGCAATACTGTAGATGGCGCTCTCACGAACTGCCAGTAAGACAAACCAAGAACGCCCTCCCTACTTGTTTCCTTTCCTAGCTTTTGTATGAAGTATCCAAGTTTAGCATAATATGTTGATGAAAACCTGAAGAAATACGAAATTTAAAGTTTAAAACAGTCATACTATGTGTTCTGAGTTTAATAATTTTAACAGATTATATTAAAGTATGTCTAAAATGGTCAAGTCAAAATGACCTGTTTATTTTCACGTTATATTTTTAGGAAGGAAGCTGGTATAAATTATTAATTATAATTAATATTAATAATAGTCTATCACTTCTAAGAAGCATTCTTATCCTAACTAGAGTTAAAAAATAAAATGTACTCACTGAAAGTTTTTGTCGTTTTCTGCCGCCTGCTCCATAAATCTGATGAATGGCTGACCAGCCTTTGACGTCACGTTCTGCTCATATTCAAACTTAGGTACCGCCAAGTTGTTACGTATCGTGTACCTGATCGTTATTTCTCCATTACCTTTGAAAAGTAAATAAAATAATGGTATAATAAACTTCAATACTGATTTTGCCTGGAAGAACAAATCCATTGACTAAAGTATGACCTTTGTTCTATTTCCGAATTGTATTGTTTCAATGAACTCTTGAGCTTGAATTCTGTTTCTTACCTCCATACAAGTATTTCATTTAATAGTAAATGGCGAGTGCCTGTGCATTTATATTATCCTTTACCTTTTTCTCCTTTTCCGGGTTTGGGTTCAGGGCTTGTAAGACATCTACAAATAAGATACTTATGATTGACTTATCGTCCATTGTCTTTCTAATATTTGCAGTTTCATAAGAGAGTACAATTCTCGAATGAAACGTTAAACAACATACAATCAATATTTTAATATGTTCACTGATATTCATTTAATAACTTCATCAATATTCAAAATGGTAAAACAATGCCTGAATTAAACTCAGAAATGATTGTGAAGTGTGATCTTATAATTTTGTTATCAACATGCATGAAGACAGTATACCGTAAATTGCAATAAGGACATATGACAAATGGTGACTGACATTTTTCATTCTAATTCATTAATAGTCCATTATATAATTAATCATACACTGATTTCATCACGGATTTTTTCGTTATTTCCCGATCATGACAAGGAGCACACGGCGGGTGTGACCGGTCGGCAGAGGATGCTCACTCCTCCATGGCTTCTGATCCCATCTTTTTTGGATGTTTTGGAGGTCCGTGTTTGCTCTGCTCCTATTTTGTATTGTTTTATGGACTTTTGATGTTGAATAGTGTTTGTTATCTCCATATGTTTCATGTAAAACATTCTGAACAAACTTTAAAGGGGCATAGACACAGTTTCAGCTTTAAATCCATATTTTCATCCTTACGTACAAGTACTCAACTAAGGTATTTCTAAGAAACATCAAAAATTTGAATTTCAGTTTTTGAGATACAAGACAGATTTAGAGCTTCAAACCTTTGTTTTGTAAACAAGGCCTGTGCCATGTTTTTGTTTACATAAGTTTTAAAATATTCTTAGACTAATATATGATTGTTCAAAGCATATTTTTTCAATAAAGAAGTTAACTATAAATAGGATTAGACGTATCTAGTTATTTGCAGAATTTCGTTTTGTTATAAATATTTTATATATGTGAACAAAAACAAGGCACGAGCCTTGTTTACATTATGAAGGATTTCAAGTTCTGTATCTCCTTCAAAACAAATTATGTTCATATTTTTGTTGATCATTAGATTTACCTTACGAAGGATTTGCAGATATTAGAATTGGTTTAAAAATATCAGTTGAAACTGTGTCTATGTCCTTTTAAGTTGTATATCAAATGGTAATGAAAATGCTAACATTTACAATGCATCATGAAACATTACCTGACACAAGTGGCGATAAGAGGAGAATTGTCAGATGAGATGTGAAGTACATCCTTTTTTCAGATCTAAACTAAAAGTGTATTGTCTACCTTTATATACCCATCTAAAAATGAACGCAATTATATACATCCGCGTGATGAAACGAGGAAAGAATTAGAAAACACGTCAACAAATGCCTACACGGGCCTTTCGGGAAAATCCAATACATTTATGCATCCTAAATATCTAGGCAGTCTATATATAAACTGATAAATTGGTCCCCCCTAGTATATTACCTGTATATATAAATATAGTAGATTTTTTTTTATCCAAACTTAGTATAAATGTACAGTATAATTTTTCCAGTTTCAAGTCCCCTTTTAAATAAAAATAGTAACATATAACATCATCATATACACGAAACTAAATAGGAGTTTATTAGTCAGCTGTTACATTTATTAGGCCTTTCAACTAATTTTTCAAGTAGCACATATGGTAAAAAACATTGCATAGATAGATTTATAGGTACATGAAAATATCAAAAAAGATAATGATTTATGCATACTTTTAATTAAATCATTAAAAATTTTATAATTCATAATTGACTTTAACGATGTTGTGTTTTAAGGACAGGTAACTCAGGTGTGAAAAATGACCAACTAAGTGCCGATTTATGAGTTATCGTTCATAGGAATGACATATAGGCTGCTTCAGCATTGGTATTGTTATGTACACAAAAGGGTTCCTTACATTGTTTTGTACACAAAAGTGTTGACCAAAAGAAGGAGAATGTCTTCACTCTACCTGAAATAACAGGGTCAAATGAATGGGGAACAGACTATATTGAATATTTTTAACTCTCTTTGACGATTGTTATGAAGTAGAAAATATAATGTCATGTTTTTTAAGTTCGCGCTTTTGCGCTTCCTATATAAATATATATATTTTTACAAGTAAATGCAACAATTGATCATCGTATTTGTGTTACTAAGCACGAAGGGGAACGACCAAGAATAAAAATTTAATCAGATTAGAACTAAGGAAGAGGGTAGATTTCACTTTTTCTTTTAATTAAAAATTTTAATTATATGTAGTTAAACGGTGTCCGCAACTATACAGTAAATAAGTTTAACATTGGTGCTAAATTTTAAAACCACTGCATTCTACTGACAGCAGAGGAACACTTGGGAAATGCTAAAAACTGACTTGCGTTTAAACAGTTAGATACCTCGGACCT